AAATAATAAATATTAGATCTTTAGTAGTATAATATAGTATAATAGAGAAACGTCTCTTTACTATAGATACTACTTACTATAGAGTAGAAGTAATTAGTAGTAGTAGTATATATAAAGAAAGTATTATTAGTAATACTACTAGCTAATATATTAAAGATACGTATAATAGAAAAAGAGTATAAGAATTACTAACTATAAACTTTATAAGTAAGTTTCTTCTAGAAAAGGTCTTACTATAGTCTAGTAATTACGTAAAAGCTTCTATTATCTAGTTTCTATAAGAATATACTTATTAGGTATATAAAGGCTTATTAATAGACTAATACTTAAAGATCTATATATAGCTTATTATTAATTACCTTATCTACTAACTATTATATAAAGTTTATCTTTAGAGCTAGACCTTTTAAAGATTTAGACTAACCTAGCTAGTAGATAAAAGAGTATAGGTAATATATAAAGTATTAATAATAACTTAAACTACGCCTACTTTCTTATAAGAATAAAAGAGCTATAAAATAGCTCTTTTCTAAAGTAGTCTATATATCTTCTTAGATATAGACTCTTTATAGATAAGAGTGTACTTATAAGGTATTATCTAAGAAAGTATATTTATATAGAGATATTTAATTAGCTTTTCTCTTATTCTAAGTATTATAGCTAGAGAATTAGTATTATCTTTATTAATAAGAGTTTATTAGCATAGAATAACTATATTAAAACTATTTATAGCTATATTCTACGTCTAACCTTCTCTTCTATCTATCTATAGATAATAGTATAACGCGCTATTTACTATATAAACGTATTTATAGAAATATATTAGACCTAATAAAATATATAATATCTACTTATAAAATAAAAAAAAATATTTTAAGTAGCTATTTTTATACTCTAACTACTAGATTAATAGAGCTACTATATAGTATAAGTATATAGCTATATTTTATACTAAGCTTAGATCTTCTAATAATTTCTATACTAGAAAGTAAAAGAGAGACTTAGTAGAGAAAAGCGCTACTATTACTATTAATAGTAAGCTTCTTATAATACTTACTTTAATAATCTCTAGTAGCTAAACTTTAGTATTATTAAAAGATACTAATCTTAGAATAGAATTAATTCGCGCTTATTAATAAAAAGATCTAGTAATAAGTAATAATAAATATTATAAAAAAGAAAACTAAAAGCTATATAATTAGATAGCTATAGTTTAGAGTAATATAAGAGTAATCTATTATATCTCTAAAGTACTTATTAGATTTATAATATAATAGGTAGCTATAATATTATTTTACTTAGTATAATAGAAAACTATAAAAGCTTAATATTTAGGCTATAGATTTACTTAGTATAATAGGTTACTTTATAGTAATTAGAAACTATAGAATTACTTATTATAGATAGATATATAGAAGATAGATTTATCTATACTAGTTAGTATCTTCTCTAGTAATAGATATAATTATATCTATTTCTATTCGCTTTATATAGTCTAATTTTCTTCTTTTTAGAGTAGAGAAGAGAGAAATAGTTAGGTACGTTTTATAGAGTAGTAGATTATACTTATTCTACTTAGATTTATATACTATATTACGCTATTAAAGATCTAATACCTATTATTTCTTACTCTTCTTCTACTATAGTAAGCTTATATTTATATTATATATATTAGGCTCCTAAAGCGGGAAAAGAACGCTCGCTTAGCATCTCGCCGCTTTTATCTGGCCCGTGCATCGACCTCGTCGCATATAAGCACGCTGCCCTCGCCGGTCTATCCTCCCCCTTCATAGTCTCTTTTCCCCCAACACCCTTCCCCCGCCTCATTGGCCGCTCCGATCCACTGTGAGGCATTTTCTTGCCCTTGGCAATCATGCAACCGCTGCACCGCCCGGTCCTGCGTCCAATTCCGCCCCCCTTGGTCGGCCGACGATGAGGGCGCTGTACCGTATTCGTTGGCAGACCCCGTGTACGCATCTTCTCCTCCACATTCAGCGAGAATCTTTACCATTTCCTGGGACTTTGGCCGCTCCATTTCCTCCGCCTTTACCGTAGCTAAGCAGTGAATACCCGCCACCTTCCATCTCAGAGTCTTTCGCAGAAGGCCACCGACACTTTCTCCTTGGCTCTTCCACTTCAGAGCCCGCGGATCCGGTAGCTCTCCGACTTGCCATGTCATCAACCGCCCAGGACGGCAATAGCATTGCCTTGGACGCCCCGATTATGTCTTAGGAGGAGGGGTTACGCCCGTGCCATCGCATCCAGACACCTAGTAAGATTACGAGACCACGTAGCCCCAGGGGAGCGATGGGCCTCGAGCCATACAGGTGTCGGTGAAAGCCAGATGTCACCGGAATTACGCCAGGGAGGCGCGGCTAGGCTACTATTCGCTACTCGGCCGGGCAGGTGGCAGTCGCAGCATGTACTCGCCCATGCTGCACCGTCTATCGGATTGGTGGAGCTTAGGTCCACATGACGTTCTGCATGATGCCAGTGTTGCATTCCGGTGTTACAAATCAGGGGGAGCGAAGGACTAGAGCGAAGCCTGGACGAGAGTTTGAGCCTAGGTTTGGGTCTCGGGTCTTCGAAGAGTCAGCTATCTGTGTTGGGGATCTCTCCGCTTAGTTCTGGGACGTGGATTAACTAGAGCGGGCATCTCCGAGCTCGTTTTGTTGAGGAGACGGGCTCTGGCGGAAAAGGGGGGTGCATGGCGGCAGCGCAACCTGGCCCGTGGGGAGCTAGCGTCGCAGTTCCTCGTTCTATGACGAGTATTATCGGGATAGACACGTACTTTCTCGTCCGAAAGAAGAGGGGCTTGATGCGAAGGCCGCATCGCCACCAACATTACGCAGCTGCGCGGTTGCTGATTCGACTCCAATCTTATGTACCCCTGGAGTCTGCGTTTCGAACGCCGTCTCGTGCCGACTGCTGCCTGCTGGAGCGCTTAAGGGCATTTAAGCCAGCTTTCTAAGGCGGTTTGGATCTAAGCGTGGAACCTTCGCATACTTAAACCACGGCGCCTCCGCATTCTCCGCACCGCCAGATCTCCCTGAAGCAGCAACAGCGGCCACGACGATGTCTTTGAATTATTTCCCGACGCAGAGCGGTCTTCAATTCTTTTATTATCTTGGACCTCTGGAGCTAAAGCCAAACTCGCGACGTAAGCTCTCGAAAACGATGCCGTCTAACGAACACGAACCCCTTGTTCATGACGAGAATCTGAGTACCGGGCCTGCTCTCACGTCGCACGAAGCCGGAGACGTTGATTCGGCATCAGGTAGGCATTCTCAAAGCTGACGAAGAAATATTGTGTTCATTCTCGCGTTCTTTGATGGCTAACTAGAACGCAGCCGGCGGCAGCATCTGCGAACTCAACGAATATGATTGTGGATGTCGCGATATTGCCTCTGAAGACGGTTTCCTTCCCCAGAATGGACCTTAACGCGTGGGAGTCGAGTGTTTTATCCTAAGGCGAACTTCGCGAGGAACCGCAAGTGAGGAGAGCCCAGGTCAGTCGGCGCCTTTTGAGGGTAGCAGTAAAGGTAAGCCCCAGGCCTGTCGATGTAGTAGCTTCCGCATATCATTTCTAACAGTGCGTAGAGTATGCGGTCGTCATTAAGGACGGTCAACCCGAATCAGATGCCAACATTGACGAGGATGGCTACCCTCACGAAGACGATTTGGGTACGCAAAAACAAGATCGTTTTGACGATGCAGGACTCTTAACCTCAGACCACCACGGCACAGAAGGCATGGAGGATGCTATCAGCTCAGAACTAGTTGAGGGATCCGAACTTCGAGTTAGTGGGCCCCGGCGTAGCGATCTCTCATCAACACTATCAACACCGCCAACTGGATCGTCAATTATGGAGATCGGGCAGCCTGTGGACATGAAAGCAGAGACACAAGGTAAGCGCGCGCTATTGCAAGTGTTTTGGTCTTATCTAATACTGGCAAGGCGAGTCTGCTCACCTCGAAAGCACGAGCAGCAACAGCAGCGACGGATCCGAGAACGACGCCGACGACGACACTAGCAATCAAGGAATATGGTTGACGCGCAAACGGAAACGCTTTCCGCCTTGCCAGCCGCACACTCAAACGTCGAGCACGACATCGATGCGGTACCTTAGGCATGCGGGACTCTTAAGGACGCAGCGAAAGCCTTCCTCCCACGGCAAACCAGTCCTGAACCGTCCTTCCGGTCTGAAATCTCTTCCAGCCGCGCTGAACTGTGGTCACGATTCCAGGATATGTTATAGTGTTGACAACAGCGACAGCAGCGACAGCAGCAGCGGAAGCAGTGATCGCGGCCGCCATCTTGGAAGCAACAAGCGACGAAAGTCAGCTTTACGGCCCCGTCGCTCGCGCAGTCGCGGTGGTGCAGACGAAGATGACGAATATGAGGTAGAGCAGATCCTCAAAGCCCGTGTCTATCGCAGAAAGCTACAGTACCGTGTCAAATGGCTAGAATATGAGGACGATCCGGCGTGGTACGATGCATCCAACTTCAAGAATAGCCCGTACAAGCTCCGTGATTTTCACGGAGCCCACCCTGGCCGCCCGGAGCCCCCAAAAAGGCTAGAGGTGTGGGTGCAGTGTTGGAAGGAGGACGGGGATGCGGACGATCATCCTGACGACAACAAGCCTCGGGCATCACACACAGGACACGGAACAGCGTGAGAATGCCCGGGCCATGCCGACATTAGCTCTATAGTCAATGCCGACTTCTGCGATGCAGCAGCAAGTAGTCCATGCCATAGCTCTTGTCCAGATGCGCCCCGCCTGGTTCCTTTTTCCCACAACCGTATTCATCCAAATCGTCGCCACGCTGCCGTTCACGCGGCTCTGCAGCGGTATGTGCTTGCCGTTGTGTGGCTCCACCAGCCTCGTCGCTCCTCTCCATACAGCCGCGTGTAGGTGCCAAAGCTCGTGTCCGTCTCGCACATAGTGGCAGCCTGCGCCAGGGCTAGCCGCAGCCCGTCGAGCAGGCTCAGCATCGCTCTCCTGTCCTAAGATCACCTTTCCACTTAGTCCCCCCTCTCCTGCGTGCTCTGACCTTTACCCGGCTCCTCCCGACGTCCCCATGGAGCCAGACGCGAAGAGGGAACGCACCAGCGTCGCTCCTGGCCCCGCCCTCTCCTACCCAGCCCACGCTGCCATCGACCCGCCCCGGCCTTTCGTCGTGTACAACTTGATGCGGTTCGCCCGTGGTACCGGATCGCTTCTTTCTTCGAGGCGCTGGATAGCGAAACCGAGAGGTCAAGCCGGACGTTTATGCCCGGCAGCGCCGACAGCAACGACGTGGAGAAGGGCGATTGTGTCGCACCTCTATACCGGGAGACAGCGGGGTTTGAACAAGGTGGCAATGCTCCCCCTTCCCCGTGGCCGTCGCCTTCACCCTAGGAAGGTGGTTTCTAACGACGCTTCTTCACCATCGTTGTCCGTGCTGGCGTCCACACCGCCCCCAAGCGAACTGGGAAGTCTCTCCCTTCTCAATCTCCTATTCGTCCTCCTCACGCTCGCCCTACGTACTAAGGCGGCCTCAACACCCTCTACCCTCGCACCGTGACTCGTCGAAAGTCTGGCATTACTAGACTACCGCCCAGCCCGTGTAAGGACGGTCCATCTTCTCTCCCCGCGTCCCCAACCCGCTCCCTCGTCCTGCAGCAGTACGTGTACGCGTCGCGCTCCTGTAGCAAACGCTCACCATCACCATGTCCCCTTTACCGCCGCAGACCTACTCGTCTCTCTCGTCACAACGCTCACCAGGGGGCTTCACGATCACCGGGGGGCTTCACGATCACCGACGGCGCTTTTTTGCTTTGGTAGTGCTGCCCTCTATCTACTTTCCTCGCTCTTTGTCTACCCTCGACTCGAGCCTTTTTCTTGCTATACCCCTTCTAGCGTCGATATCTCTTCGCTCGTCGTCATGTCTGATCGCACGGTCAAACTCGACCTTAGTGCAGGCAGTACAGCTGCTGGTGGTACTGGTGGTGGCCGACGTCCTGGCGGCAATGATCCGAACCGTACTCCGCCCGGCAAGGGTGATACAGACATGCCTCTCTATCGGTACCCCCGACGCTCTGCTCATGACCACATCCTAGAGTGGCGTAAGTACTTGTAATAGCGCTTCAAGAGTTCTTCGCTAACACCTTTTGCAGTGAACGCGCAAGCCAATCTCCTGGTATCTCGGAAGTTCCTAATTACCTTCGCGCAATATCTCTTCGAACTCCAGCGACGCGGCATCGCGCTCGGCCCAGTCGTCCGCACTGCCGCCATGCGGAAGGACTCGAATCACGACCTCTCTGTTGCCCGCGAACTCGATATTGCCAATCCTGATGGTCTCACAGTCGGTCAGTTCTTCGGACTTGGAACTAAGAGAGGCTATTACGACACCAATATCGCGGCTGGCATGCAGCAGGCAGCGAAAGGCAGTCGAGCCTATGGCTCTGACACCAAGAACGGTCCTGTCTGCGGTCGTTGTGCCAGCCCAACAGCTGGGAAGGTCTTCAAGACCTATCGCCAGACTACTTAGAACAGCCACCTAATAAGCAGTGGTTCTTGCATGAACTGCCTGTTCGATGGTAACGCGTCTCAGTGTTCGATGAGCCGTTGGTCCTCCTCATCCCTTCGCTTCAGTTCCTCTCGCTTACTCTTTGCAGGTCCTCAGAATCAGCGTGATAACGAGATTAACCCTGCTAATATCATCGACCCAAACTCTCGCGTCCTGCGCCTGCGCGCTCGGCCAACCTCTCCTCACCCTTACGCCTCCCTCACTAGTCTCCTCTATGCGGACATTGGCCCTGAGCCTCGCGGCCCAGCGCGCGACCGAGTGCGCTCTCCGACACCGTTTCAGACTTCTGTCTTGCCTATTCGATCTCCCTCTAGCAGCGAGCAAGTTGTTTCCCGCTCCCCTTCCTCAGCCGGCCGTCGCTCCAGCGGTGGCCAGTCTGAGGAATGGGAAGGCTTCAGTGACACCCAAGAGGAAGCTAGTCGCCGCCCCGGATCCAGCTCCCCCATGCAGGTAAAGCAGACCGCTCCTCTCCCGTAATTTCCCTCCTTGATCCCGACGCCCTCTCGTAAGAGCACTGGTAGCTCTGGCTACTCCCGCCGTCGCTCCATCCTTAGTCAGATGCAGACTGTTGATGATGAGGGCGAGTCCCGCTGCTCCTCGAGCAAGCATCGCAGCAAGTACAAGAAGCGTGATGGCGCCGGCGCTTTAGGCAAGTGGATGAGTGAGCATAGTCACGGCCCTGGCGGTGGTGGTTTTGGTACTGCTGCGGCTTAGAGATTTAGCGGATCGGTAGTGCGAGGCCGGCGGCCTCTTCTCTCATCAAAAGTATTTCCTCTCTTGCTTTCCTGTATTTTGATGCCCTGCCCACGTCATGTCGCATGTACCCTTTATAGTCGATTTGCAGATCCATGTAGCAGTTATTATGCTATTGTGAACTGTTTTATATATATGCTAACACCCTAAAGCTTCCCGCCGTTAACGCATCGGCGTCTAGTTGCGCGTTCTAACGCCCACCCTAAGAAGTTCTATTGCAGTGTCTAGGGAACACACATCGCATTACAACCCCAGCTCCGCTCCGCGCACTTAAACAAAGCTCATACGCGTAACATAAGCGCCCATCTCCGCCCCCTGCACTAGAACAAAGGTCGTACGCGTAATAGAAGCGCCTAGCCCCGCTCGTTCGACACAAAGAGTGCCTCTTAAGAAAACACCACTAAATCCCACTTAACCCGTCTACTTCCGGCCCCCACCAGTCCGCCCCCTTGCGAACTTTTCGATATTCTCGAATCCACACTGACGGCCATCCAGGAACGCTGCGATACCATCCCAAAAGCGTAGAGAGGGATTCCGGCTGCGCAACCTTATAGCGAACTGGGTGCCTAAAGGAGACATGGTTTGCGGGTCTGTCGCGGTTGCTTTAATGTGCCAGCCATCGATAAGACACTATAATCCATCGGTTAGGTTCTTAGCATGTTCCAGGGGGCGCCTGTTACCGTAATAAGATCGGTAATGCGCGCGCTTCCAACACTAGGCGCATAAGTTTGCTTACTGCTGGTGTACTGGCGCAGACGGGCTTGAGATCTGAGAGCGGGAAGACTTTCAAGATGCTGGACGCGGGGACATCGCCCTAGACTATTAAGAATTATCAAACAGGCTTTCGCAAACTTCTAAGCACATACCTAACCGTTCACAGGTCCCCTGATACCTTGTCCACTCGGGTATGAAGGCGTAGGCTCTCTACAATGCGCAAGGAAATCGTAGATATATCCGCACACGCCTGCACGCCGAATTTGATAGCACGAGGATGAGGAGAGTAACGCTAGGGCAAGGGCACTGGCGGACAAGGTCAGCCCGCTGATGGCTTATCGGGATGGCAGGGGAACCCGGCTCTGGGTCTGTTGCGTCTTTATGTCTCGCAGTATTAAGCTGTTTGATATGGTGTCCGCACCTGGGCATCGTCGTTGGGGCAGGAATTGTATAATGTACTACGAGGACAGCTAGTGGCGATGTTACAGGCCCTATTGGCGACCTCGCCATGGACCTAAGTCTGTTAGCTAACACAGCATGAAATCTTTGACAATTCGCGCGAACCTTAGGAACTACCAACAGGCCGTGAAGATCATTTCTCGTGCGCAAGGCACTGCATAGAAATGGGCGAGACGAGAACAAGTTTTCGCGGAGATGGTTCGGCCACAGCTTGAACTCTAACTCATCCTTTCTAACACAGTGAACCTCATCGTGCAAAGCGTGTACGTCGCCCGCTGCCGTTTACTCTTCAGGTGGGAGCAGCAATGGCAATGGTGCCGTTTTGGTTATATCTTAGGTACTAACGAAAGCGGAAAGACTGTGATTAAACATAGATCTGCTATGCTGTGGCCATTTTCGCAGGGTCATAAATAGCATTGGACGCTACGTTGGAAAGAAAAGCCTTCTCTATATCTGCGCTACACTATCGAAGGGTAGAAACCCACAGCATCTGATCAAGAAAGTCATCTCCATTCACGGCGTTCTTCTCTACTCCACCACTAAATCCATACACGGCTCATATCCCCAAAGGCCCATATTACCAACCGCCTCTACAGAAAAATAACTCCGCCTGAGAGATGGGGACCTTAGGTCATAGCGTAGCAGGGCTCCTCCATCACAGGTCCTCATCACTATAGTACTCCCTTGAAGCTTTCGCACTATAATAAACGCGCGAACTGCTTCTGCTGACTAAGGATGTTTGGCACAGAGACTGCAGGACAGCCCACGCCGCGTGTACCGTTGAAGTTCTGTAAAACGATTAGACAAGTAGTTGCACGGTCGAATCGATCTTTATCTGATTGCGCAAGAGGGTCGACGTTAAACGTTACTGGAGTTCCAAGAACATTTCCAGCAGCGACGGCTGAATTAACCCTGTCGACAAACTCTCCGCGGTCTGGTGGGCAGAAGCATGGGATTAGAATGTTGTTAGCAGTAGCACAGCTACCACTTCCGTTCGGACTCTGACCGGCTCTTAAGCCAAACTCTGGAATTAGGCTTCGATCGATGGTACTGCTTGGTATTGAAGAAGCCGAAGCAGTAGTCAGTAGAAGAGTGAGTATGTTGGAAGTAAGCATTTTTGATCTGGTGTGACTTAGCTTAGGCTCAGCGTAGGAGGGTTTTATACCTAGAACTAGCAAGTCCCAGTTATTGGACCTTGATTCCTGGACTCACGCTTGTCCTGGGATGGTCGCGCTAAGTTGAGACAAGCGATGGGTTACTTTAATTAGGTGATGGGTCCAGATCTGGGACAAAACACTATTTAGTTCCTGCTCGTCCTGAAAGCGGCGAGGGCTGTCACCTATGTCAATGTCGCCGTAGTCGGTGAGGTCGGGCAGGGTGACGGCGTAGCCCCCGGAGTCGGAGCCTGACTGAACGTGCTGCGGCACTAAGATGCCCTGGATGTTGCACGTGCAGCGGACTTTGAGAGCCATGTATTTCACATTCTTCGAGGTCGTAAATACTCGGTTGAGTGGCGGGAGAACCGGGAGGAAAAAGCCAGCTGTCTGGAAGGCTCTTGGAGATGTTCAAAGAGAGAACAACCGCACTTGTTAGCTACATACAGCTAACAATATATCATCAACAATCGTTTGTGTAAGCCTCTAGAGGATGAAAGTCTGCTCCACTCCAGTGGCAACGATAGGAGAGGGGGAGCTTCGAGGACGCGTATAACGGGTCTACTTCTAGTCAACTCAGTACATAGACAGCGAGTTACAAAGGAAGGTCGCTAGCCAGCTTCTCAAGTACCACGCCTAGAAAGCCACCCCAATATCCGTTCTCGTCCTTGTCAGTTCCATACTTTAGCAAGTTTCCATATAGTCTAACCAACCGAAAGATGCCACGAATCGAATCCGTCCCGAGTTTCTCAAAGCGGTCTGAATCCGGGCCCAGCACATGCACACCACTTCTCCCAGCCACGAGCTCATTTTTCGGATAGGCATAGTATACGTAGTGCTCATGGCCAACAACAGTAAACGCAGGCTCAACAATCGCCGCGGGCTCGAATGGAACCTGCGCGGTGTATGCAAGTTCCTGCTTCTTGCGCAGAACTGCAGCGATCCATATGCTCATCTGCAGCTCGGCCTCGGTATGGACTCCATAAGCAGGCTTGATCTCAAACCCCGAAAAGAGAGCTGTCCGCTTTGTGAAAGTATCGAGCGAGTGCGAAATTTCTTCTTTGTTTGCGGCAATAAGGCGTTTGTATAGTGATGAGTAGGTAGGGTGGCGATGAGAGTATGAGAGGGCGTAATCGGTTTTACGGTCGATGAGCTTCAGGCGGTTGGCGTCGTTGGAGGTGGGGCCGGGTATTGCGGAGAGATAGGCAGGATTGATGGACTGGGATTGACTTGATGAATTAGTTGATGAGTGCTCGAGTTTAGGAAAAACTGTACGCACACGCCTTGGAACCACCATTGCTCGTTGCCGTATATACGCATCGCGAGATGGATGAGAGGCTGTAACACATCATCACACCACGCGTTCTCATCGCGGTTGCCATCCTTGCAATCGCGCGCATTAAGGAACAGATTCTTCACTGTCTCCCATAAAGCCGTCAGCTCATCAGCAGAGCGGATATCGCTAGAGTCGTAGTCGGCCGGTTTGATGACTTGGTAGCCTACGTCGGGATCGCTCTTGATGACTTGCTAGAATAGTATAAGTATCTGATAAGCCAAAACTATACAGAACGACGTACCTCCAGCCCTTTGGGTATAAAACGAGAGTCGACACCGTCGGCTAATAGATCACCGAGTCGCTCGACGTGCGTTGGTGGCGCGACCTTTAGACCGTTCAGACTCTCTACTACCACCGGAGGCCATGCACTTCTTAGTATGATGGGCGTCTCGCGGGTCGGGCTTGGGGATCGTTTCGAGGACAGTCGACTTGTAGGAGGGCTGAATGTGGTCTTTTCGTGCAACGGGAATGGAGTGCTGCTGCCGAGTTGCGACGCGCTCTGTTCGGGTAAGAGTTCGTCCACAGGTTCAGGTTCGGTTCTTTGCCGCTTTAGGCTGTCGCTGCGATGCGACATGACGCGCTTCCGTTTTGATGAAACGGGCTCCGGAGCGACTTCGTCAGGCGGTGGAGACAGAGGAAAGTAGTGCTGTTGTGTAGAAGTGACCCACGACCTGGTGCGATCGTCTTTGGGCACATGGCAGGATCCTGGGTGCATTGTTGTGTACGTTGAGGTTGTTGTCTAGATGGACGGGGAGGGTGCTGCTGTGTGTTGTTATTATGCCGATTGGTGGCGCTCTCGGGCTTTTCCGCCAAGGTCTCACCAGAGCGAAGCTCGGTCCACCAGTGTTTCCTCCAACCGGGAACGATATCGCGCAATAGAACGCTCATCTGGTAGCTAGATAGGCCTGGAGTGGATAGAAGACTATGCAAGGCAGGCATGGTGCAGATCCGTCTAGCAAAAACGCTATAGGCTAAGCCTGGACATGTGCAGGGCCAAACGCTGACTGTAACGACATGCCACAACTCCATTTTATCTCGTTCTACGCCTCTCGCACGATCGTCAAGCCTAGATATCCAGCGTCAGCCAATCCGCGTCCGTTTGCTGGCAATCAACACACGGCAGATTCGTCCTTTGGTTCCAAAGCTACACCTAACCTACACTCTTCTGCAAAGCACCAGCTTCTTGCGCCTCTTCATTTTGTCGTCATCTCAATTCTAATCCTGGTGTTCAAGAACATCGATGTCGTTAGTGCTGCTAGGAATCAAAGGTCGTCTGCCGGTCGCAAGGAGGAACTGTAGAGAAGAGTAAGCTTTGTGTTATCTCAATCAACGTATGCACAACACACGAGCGCCCCCGGAATGACCAAGTATGCCACCGGGCCATTGTCCTCATACAAGTCCTCATCTTCGTTATCCTCGTCCTCAGCCGGCTTGAATTCGATCTCGGCGGCAGTGATGAATACGATGTAGACCCATTCTGATTCGTGCAGGTTAAGAGCTACGAGAACGTCGGTATCGCTGCTCATGGTGATTGTCGGTTGCGAGACGTCTGGTGCGGGAAATGGTGCTTGCCGTCAAGTATGGCGTGGGCGGAGGAAAGAAGCAGAAAGGCCGGGTGACGTGGGTGATATGTAACAGGGCAGGTGCGGCCCCCAATCGGGCCAGTCGTCGGTAGGCAATCACGTGCCGGTGGTGAGATGGATCGAGAGGACAGCATGACCCCGGAGATCTAGAGGGAGTTCGACCTGCCCGCTGCCACGCTCGCTCGCCTCCGAACGACAGCAAAACAGTACCAATCGACGTATAAAGGGCTCGCCGGCGAGAGAAGAGAGGACAGAGAGGTGGTTGAGCGATGGCTGGAGAGGGAGAGGGCCGCGTATAGGGCAGCAGTGGAGAGCTCGGGGGATCTCTGATGGATCTCAGAGAGCAATTCTGATCGATTCTGATCAGTCCGGACGGCGCCAAGACTTTTGGATTTCCTTCACTCGCGCACTCCAACTGGAACAACATATTGATATCCCATCCGTCCCCGACGACGACGACGATCAACTCACGGATTTGAGGAAGGTCCTCTTTGTAAGCCTTGCTCTTCTAATAATCGAAGAAGTTCATAGTATGCCGCTCGATCTCGGCGTAGGAATTGTACTCGATCGGTTGCCAGGCATTCGAGACCCGTGAGTTGACGACCGGCTGATTAAGCAATAACTGACTGGTCTGAGTAGCTACAAGGACCTTAATCAATTGATTCAACTCGTCTCCACCCTCCCAGCGTTCTGGGATCTTTTTTGCCCTCGCTCGATCAGCGTCGTCCTCTGTTCGATGCAACGTCTGCCATCCCTCTCGCCCTAGCTTTTGAGCCTCAGCTGACTTTTTGCATAGGCACTCCCCCACCGCAGCGCACCGTCACCGATCCTCTCAATGAGATCGATCCTGCCAACATCATTGACCCCAACCAGCGCTCGTCGCGTCTGCCATTGACATCCACTCACCCTCAACATGCTTCGCTCACCCATCTGCTCTTAGGTAACATCGGTGAAGAGCCGCGCGGCTCGAGACGCGATCAGATGCGCTCCCCTACTCCCCCAACAACACCTGGTCTATCTGGTGGCCGACCAATTCGCTCTCCGACTAGCCCTGGCGGCATTGTGTCGTGCTCTCCATCTTCCGCTGGCGGTCGCTCCGAATCTTCGTGGGAGGGCTTCGCTGACTCCCCAGAAGAGCACCCACAGCGGCGCGAGAGGTCTGGATCTCCAATGAATATTGATCCTCCACATACCCCGACACCCTCTCGCCAGCCTGGTCCCCCAAATAACCCAAGGGGAGTCCCCAAGAAGCGCACCACCGCACGGCTGGACCTGCTACAAAGCCCGCCCGCGGACCTTAAGCCACTGAAAGACCTTTTAGAGATGCTACGCAGCAAGAACAAGATTGTTGTTATTGCGGGCGCCGGCATCTCTACCTCAGCTAGAATTCCCAACTTTCGTTCTCGCTCTGGCCTCTTTCAGAATCTCGGCAAGGACCACAAGGGGATCTCTGCTGGAAAAGACCTCTTTGACGCGTCCGTGTACCAGACTGAAGAGTCCGTATCATTATTCCACGACACGGTGCGATATCTGTCAGAACTAACAAGGAAGGCGAGACCCACCAATTTCCACCTCCTACTAGCGAAGCTTGCTAAAGAAGGCCGATTGCTACGTCTGTACACCCAAAATATCGATGGCATTGACGTCGCGCTGGAAGGTCTAAACACCCAGGTTCCTCTCCCTGAGAAAGACCCTTGGCCAAAGACTATCCAGCTGCACGGAGGCTTTGACAAGATGGTATGCTCAAAATGTCATGGAATATCACCTCTTCAAGCCGAGAAATTCATCGGTCCAGAGCCTCCTGCATGCCCAACCTGTCTAGAGAATGACAGGGGTAGGAAGGAAGCCGGAAAGCGAAGCCATGGCATTGGCACGCTTCGTCCACGTATGGTCTTGTACAACCAGCACAATCCAGACGGCGAAGCTATTGGGTCGTGCGTCAGTGCTGGTCTGCGCAGGCGGCCTGACGCTGTCATCGTTGTCGGTACGGCCCTGTCGGTTCCTGCCGTTCGACGCACCACTCAAGATATGTGTGCTACAGTTCGCGACCGCCGTAATGGCATGAATATCTGGATTAATATAGACTCTGAGCCGAGGCAACAGCTTGCGAATCTCTTGGATTTTGTAGTGAAGGGTCCTTGCGACAAGGTGGCCCAATTGGCGCTTCAGACTTGGGATTGAGTCTCCCGAACTACTATTCCCTCGAACTTTTCTCGCAAGGAAGCACGGGCGTTTTAGGACGGCGCTAAGGAGACACTAATACAGAGAGAGTTAGTCTGATTCAGGAGATAAACCCGGCCCCGCAAACTTTAAAATTGCAACCTCCACCACACAACATCCACCTCCGGCAACAACCAAGTCAACGTGAGTGTAACCTTTCTACGTTATGCGGAGTTGCTGACACTTAGTTAGGCCTTCCGAAATGGTGCTGCAGTGCCGGTCAATGCTTCGGTATCTGCCTCTTGAGCTATGGGCCGCGGTCTTTCGCTTGGTAAACGAAATTGATCTATGGAAGTCGTGTTACAAGGTTCCAGAGTGGCAATGCGAAGCGGGACGCGAGATTGGGAGAAGAATGGAGTTCCAGTGGGGATGGGACGTCCAGGATGGGCGGAAGTGTTGCCGGGGCTCATTTGAGCCTACCGGAACAGTGCGGTTTTCGGAAGACAAAGCTCGAATACATATCTGCCTTGCCTCCCAGGCCTATGTTTGGTTCTCTGCGGACAGCTCAAATCTCGAGGAACGCGACATAGCGGATTTCGACCCGGATGTTAAGAACTGGGATGAGAGACTTAGAAGACGTGTGAGCAAGGCACTTGATTTTCGGAACCGATGCATCACTATCGGGGGCTACGCGAACAAGATCGAAATTCCCGATATGGAGCTTGATGTCGGGGATAAAGAGTTATGGTTATCCTTCCGCTGGGAGGGATTCCTCACCGCGTTTTTCGCTGACGCAAAGAAATGGGAGAGGTTTCAACACCAACGAGGCATGCGTTCAGGCACCGCAGCGGCAGGCACCGAAAATGAAGTCACCAGCTTAGCTAGCACCAACACCATCATCAGTGAGTCGACCACCTTGGTACGGATGGCGCCAAACACTCTAATCCGGTTGCGAAACCAGCCAGCACCAACGAGCCGCACACCCAGGCTGCCATCGCTGACACTCCAGAGCCAGGTGGTAGACGGAGCCCACAAACAGTAACAGTTTTCTTTTCAAAAGGAGGCCCTACGTCGTCCTCAACAACCCAGCTCAGCAGGACCAGAACGAAACGGGCTAGTGTCGCTACCGAGGGCCACAAGGATGAAGAGCCTCGCGGCCGTGTCCCTCAAGACCAGACACCTATAGCGCAGGCTTCGAAGAAACGCGCCCGTAGCCCTGAAACTAGAGAGGAAGATGGCAGCGCAGATAATGCAGAGGACCCAGACGAACAGGGACAAAAGAAAAGCAAGGTCGCCGTAAAAAGGCAACGCGTGGAATACTTGGAGGGTCAGAACAGGAGTTAGGTAAGCGGACTTTGCGCAGTACGACAGCTAGGCGACGCTGCGGATAATAGACCACATCGCCGTGGCGCAAAATTGACATTGCCCTTCTCGTAATAGGTCGGATTGGAAATTGAATGTCTGAATCGTTCAATCATCCCTCCTTTCTGTAGGACGTGAGCCCAGAGTCCCGTCTCGGTGTGCGAGGACAGTGCGAGTGTTCTAAACTCCCCAAATCAATCGTCTAACCATTCTTACTAGCTTCGCCAAGCGCCTTCTCTTATAACCACATCATCCAAGAAGGGTTTAAAGTTCTCTTCCACTCCTCCAACAACATCCAGCGAGCACATGCAGAATTAGTGGAGGCCAAAGCCACCTGTCTGCTGCGTCCATAGGCTCCACGCATGCGCCCACCGGGCCCTCCCTGTCCAACCATTACACAGATGCGCGCATCCAGATGGCTGCTGACAAGTTGCCACTTCAGGGAGCCAGAATTGAAACACCACTGGAATCGATAGGTGACCACGCTAGGCTCTCCAAACACCCCTCGGGTCGAGTCTTTTCTGCCGCCCGCTTCTACCCTTCGGTTCATGTGTCAGACATCCAGCTGAACTTCTGGAGCTCACAGCCCTTGCGCGCACTCTAACCGAGCTGCTTCTTCGTGCGGGGGACGGTGTTTGGGCGTCGGTGAGGTCGGCCCCCTCGGCTACGACATCTTCTGAGGTGAGCTCTCGTCTTTGGACCTAACACTTTTATCATCCTCGGGCAGAGCCTGAAGAGAAAGGAAAAAGGAAAAGAACAGGGTGTGCGAAAGACTTCACGTGTTCGTCAAGGGTTGCCAGACGACTAGGGAAGTCACAACGAGTTCCAGGTCGTCGCTACAGGGTCTGGGGCTGTCGGTGGGGTCTCGCTTCCATCCCACAGCATGGGATAGACTGCCAGGTACGTTGGCCATGCTCAAGTACAACATCACCGGACTTTCCATGCATTTCCTGAAAAGAAAAAAAAGAAAAAAAATGGGGCGCCTAGCAACTGAACTCCCGAAAAACTCCCTCTTGCGTGGAGCAAAAAAGGTGGTCGGAGAAGTTGCAGGTGACCCTGGCCCGGGGCCCGTGGGCTCCCCGCCGCGTTTCCGATTGGTCCCCTGGGGCTCGCCGAGTGGGATGACGACGTACATAGCTGTCTCGTTTGGCCGTCGCAGCGACTGTTCGCGCAGGCCTTGCGGCTCTACGCGCTGTTCGCATCTGGAGCCTCAGCCTCTGCTCGCGAGGGACTGGTGCACCAACTGCCTTCCTCATGTTGGCGGAAGTGGCTCCCGCAGGGCACCAGGCAGGAGGACTGCACTATTTTACTATTGAGATCACGTGTTGATCACGTGATCGCGCTAGGCTAGTATATAGCCAGGGGAACGAGCATATGTGCTCTACCCCCAAGACTTCCGAGTCAGAAGACTCACCCACGAAGAGGAAGACCTCCTCTTCGACGGCGAACCTTGCAGACACAGCGCGCCGGGGGAGATGAACCTCGCGACGACGAATACTGGCGTTCGCGTGGCCTTTTATGGCTCCACCAGTGGCAGCAGGAGCTATTGAAGCACCTGAACTACTGCGTCAAGGATCGTCCCGAACTCGAGTTCCTCCCTCAGGTCACAGTGTCGAGAGTCATGGCAACGACCAACAATGAACCTCCGCGCCGAGCGCGAAAACCCACGCGGAAGTACCGCGACAGCCCCGACGGTGATCCGCCGGTGGCCCGGGAATCCGCCGGCAAAGAGGACATCCCGTTGGATGACAGAGCGCTCGTCCCAGAATGCCTCTGGGACCAACTGAGGGTCTTTGACCCCCGCGCATCAGGCAGGATCGCTCCAAATTCAGAGTACGACCATGCCATTGAACTGGAGGACGGCAAGTCACCGCCGAACCTCCCGATCTACAACTTATCCAGGCGCGAGCTGGAAATCCTACGGGAATACCTCGATAACGCCTTGGAGAAAGGGTGGATTCGTCACAGCAAATCCCCAGCGGGTGCACCGATACTCTTCGCGCCGAAGGCTGATGGCACACTGCGACTTTGTGTCGATTACAGAGGCCTCAACAAAGTCACGGTCAAGAACCGGTATCCCATCCCGCTGGTCAGTGAGATGCTGGACCGACTTTCGAGGGCCAAGGTCTTCACAAAATTGGACTTGCGCGACGCCTATCATAGGCTCCGCATCAAGGAGGGGGACGAGTGGAAGACTGCGTTCAAAACTCGTTACGGGCACTTCGAGTACCTCGTCATGCCCTTTGGCCTAGCCAATGCGCCAGCCACCTTCCAGTCCTACATCCACAGAGCCCTAGGGGGCCTGTTGGATCGAACCTGCGTCGTCTATTTAGACGACATCCTCATATATTCTGAGGATGAGGAGGATCACGAACGCCACGTGCGTGAAGTCCTCGAGAGACTGTATGACTGGGGATTGTACGTCAAGGCGTCCAAGTGCAGTTTCTTCACGAAGTCAGTGGAATTCCTCGGCTTCATTGTGACACCCACGGGTGTCGTCATGGACCCAGTTCGGGTTCAGACAATCAAGGAATGGCCGGAGCCCAAGAGCTTCCGCGTCTTCCTTGGCTTCGCAAACTTCTACCGACGGTTTGTTCACAACTACTCGGAAATAGTTCGCCCGCTTCTGGAGCATATGGTCTCCGCCTAGTCCCCGCCACAGGACCGGCTGGGTGCCGATAAGACCGCTCAGAAGCCGAAGTCCAAGAAGAACACAAAAGGTCCAACCAGGTGGTATAAGGAGTGGAGTTGGCCCGATAGCGTGCGCGACGCCTTCCTCCACCTACGGGAGCTCTTCACGAAGGCTCCCGTCCTCCAGCACTTCGACCCCACGAAGCCAGTGATGGTTCTGACAGACGCCTCCGAGTTCGCGATGGCCGCAATCATACTGCAGCCCCAGAGCTCCGGAAAGGCTACGGAACAACACTGGAAGCCTGTCGCTTTCTGGAGTCGTAAATTTGTTGGTCCGCAAGTCCGCTGGCACACTCACGATAAGGAGCTGTGCGCCATAGTGGAAAGCTTCAAACAGTGGCGACACTACCTCGAGTACTCTCCGGACACGATCCGGGTGCTCACCGACCACAACAATTTGAAGTACTTCATGACAACGAAGGAGCTCACGCCCAAGCAAGCTCGCTGGGCAGAGGAGCTAGCTCGATTTGATTTCGAAATCGAGTACAAACCAGGCGCGTCAAACCCAGCAGACGCACCGTCACGGAGACCTGATTACGCCGACGGCTTTCAGATGGGGGAGGCGAAATCGCTTCGCAATGTCATGCTCCCTACACTCCAAAACAAACTCCGGGTGTGGACTCTCCGGAAGTCCACGGCTCCATACGCTGGCAGTGAGACAGCGTGCGACTCAGCACTGCGCGACGAGGATCGCCGCATCACTCAACTCGCTCCTCCCTATCCACAGAAGAATCTGTTGGAGACGTTGAGCCCGGAGAGCGACCAGAAGGTTTCGACGTTATAAGTGTCTTCCTTCGGGACCACGTCGCCTACCCAACCTGCGCGTCGCGAAAACTTGCAGTGGCAGCCCTGCAAGGCACTTGCGCGTTTGATCAAGACGATCCGGAACCCTTCCTCAAGTACCTCGGAGAGGCGCAGGAACGCGATGTGGCCTATCGCGCGAAAGCACTCCTCGCGGAAAAGAGGGCCCAAGGGAACGCGCCCAAAGGTGACCCTCACTGGAGGATTGATCCTCAGGGTATCCTTCGAAGGGCCGGGAAAGTGTGGATTCCCGACGATAAAGCCCTTCGGCAGACCTTACTGTCGAACAACCACGACGACCCGCTCGGTGGGCACTATGGAATCGACAAAACGATCGATCTCCTGCGGCGCAAGTACCACTAGAAGGGCCTACGCAGCGATGTGAAGGAGTACGTCTCCCGCTGCGCCCTTTGCCAGACAAACAAGGTACGCCGTCACAAGCCCTGGGGTATGCTGGAATCAATCCCCCCGCCGACAGAGCCGTGGCGCGATTTCTCGCTCGACTTCATCACGGACCTTCCGGAGTCAAAGGATTCTCAAGGGAACACCTATGACTCGGTCCTAGTCCTCGTCGACCGTTTTGCGAAGTATGTACGGTACCTTCCCGTGACCAAGAAGATCACTGCCAACAAACTCCTTGATCACGGATCGAGGCTCTGTCTTCACGAGTGAGTTCTGGAGCGACATCTGTTACCACTTGAAGATAGAGCGTCGCATGAGCACCGCTTTTCATCCTCAAACAGATGGCCAGACGGAGCGGCAAAACCAGGAGCTGGAAACGTTCTTACGTATGTACGTGAACTACCAGCAGGACAACTGGTGTGAGCTGTTACCACTCGCGGAGTACGCCTACAACTCCAAGGATCACGCTCCGGCTTGTTTGATTGGCTTATTTATAGCTTGAAAAGCGTAGCGCGTGAATAAAACGGTCACGTGCCGTCGTCCCCTGAGAAGCTTTTGCGAGGCTTCAAGCCAAGGCGCTTCCAGCTCCGTAGGCTGAGACGTCGTACTTCAACGAGGTCCCCGAGCCCTGAGAAGGTCCGTATACTCAGTGTATTGAGGGCGACGCGTGAGAGCAGGGGGCACTGTTCAGCTAAGCAGCCGATGAGTGGCCCTCAGGAGAGCTGGCTCAGCTTTCCAGCTACCGAACCATCCTCTGGCGTAGTAAACTTAGTCGGAGATTTTCGTAAGAGCTAGTTGACATTTGATTTTCATGTGACCCTCAGGGGCATCAGAATCGTTGAAATCGACGTCGGCGTGCCTCCCGGTAATATTCGTGAGCTGGTTAACTAGCCAATCAAAGGTCACGAGAACTTCGTATATAGCTCTAGAAGTGCCGGCTTTCCCCCTGCCTTTAAGAAAGGAAGTGGCTTCTTTAAAGGGCGACAGGAGCTGTATATACTCGGAGATGGTTACCTAGTCCTTTCTAGTAAGGCAGCTCTCCTCGATAAACAGTCGTGGCTTTTTCCTAGAGTCGTCGTCGACTCTGTAACGGCGTTTGGCTGCCTCTCGTTGATACTCATTAGTCTTATATGCCACGTAATCGTCGAGGGCGTTACGTAGCTTTATCGCCCTGGCAAAGCAATCGTAGTAGGAGTTCCAGCGAGTCTTGACGGGCTTTACCAGTTTAAGTATAGTGGCCGTAGGGTCCCCAGAGCGACTATTAGAGTCTCTCTGAAAGTCCTCTAGGAGCTGGCGAGCTTGCGGAGTACATATAGATGAGATGACGTCAAGCAGGACCTCTAGAGGGCCAGCTCTCCGCCACTCCTCCATGAAGCTCTATCCTGAATATTCTCCTCAGAGTTATCGAAAGCGTCGCGATCCCTGCCATATATAACCTGTTGCGCACCGAGGTTACCTATATGGCAGGAGCAGCGTAGTCGCCGATTGCGGGCGTTGAAGTCGTACTTTTTGGCCAGTGTCGTTATTAGTGGCATTATCGAGGACGAAGTAGCCAATGCGTTGTGGGGTTATCTTGAAAGCTTGGTGCGTATTTTCCACGATAGAGGCAATATTATCGCCCGAGTGCTGGCCAAGTAGTGCCCAACAGAGTCTAGATGGTGTACACACATTCCAGTGAGCGCTCTTTTGCCGCCTGTTGAAGTCTAATTATCGAATGAGATATGTATAGGCGATCGGGATCGGTTGAAAACGGAGGGCAAGTACGCTTCGTATTCGTCGATAATGTGGTGCCGGAGGCTAGTATGGGACCTCCAGAGGGCAAAGTCGTAACTCGCTTAGAAAGCTCTCTCGGGAGAAGCCTCCTGCTAGGATATTTGCTACTTTCCGAGGGACTTTAAGGCCGTTGTTTTCTCGACAGGTTGCTAGAATGGCCTGCCTGCGCCCTAATTTGAAGTTGACCTTGCTGTATTTATCAAAGCTATGGTCTCTCTTGTTCTCCTGCAGGCGTGGAGCTATCGTAGCAGTAGCAAGGTTGACGGCGTAGAGGCGTCCGGTGGCTCTGTGGGGGCGGCAATATTGCAGAGCCAATACAGCCCCCGCCGCTTTCGGTGAGCCCGCGTTTTCAATACGCTGCGAGAATACTTGCGAGAGGTTAGCGTTCATGCTTTCTAAGGGCTTTAGCGATAGCCGCAGGGCGATAATTGATAGAAAAGGTGGTGTTGAAGGTGAGGGCGCGTAGGGTGGTTGATGTTGACGGAAATGTTTGGCGCGTCAGAGTTAACTTACTTTGGACTAGTGCGATAGAGTGAGCCAATCAGAGCACAGGGATCCTAGAGCTCAGATACTCAACACCACAGAAATCACGGAAATTGTATATACGGCAAATCTATACAGCCTCACATATTTACAGCTGCGAAACAAGTCAAGCCAAACAAATCATTGCCTTCTAGCTTGTTTGTTTGATAAAATCGGCTGCGGCAGCTTGTTTGGCTTGATTTGTTTAAACAAATCAAGCCAAACAAGTTATCAAGCCTTACTTGTTTGTTGCCCGGTCTGGTCGCACTAGTCGGCGGGGCAACGCCGCCAAGCGTTTTAGCCCGCGAGTCGAATAATTCTTTATTTATTACCAATTCTTCAACCATCACCAATTCTTCAACCATCATCAAACTCTTACCACCTCATCCTCTCTGTGCACCACCAACCATGGCCAATGTTGCTCTCAATCCGCAGCCTAACCTCGCCGCCATGGCTAATGCTGCTCTTAGTCCGCAGCCTGAGTTCGCCGTCATGGCAGCCGGTTGCGAGGAGACGGCCAACACTTTCACCTTGGTGATACGAACTCGAAACTGCCAGAATTTGCCAACTCTGCGAGGCTACAACGAGATCGTGACTTTGTTGCGGCGCATTATTGAACGACTCGACCGCATTATTGAACGACTCGACCGCATGGAGGAGCGGCTTGACCGCGGGTTCCGTCGTGTCGAGGTGCAGTACGTGAAGAATACCCTTTCGAACCCTCGCAGACATGGTGGCTAACATAAAACCCACATAGCCAGCTGAACAACCAAGCCCGCCTCGAGAACAGCTACAATATCGCTGGCAACGTCGCTGAGGACCTCACGCCGCTCTATTCGTCAACAGCCGCCAATGCCCAGCTACAAGTTATCCCGCACTTCCCCTCCCGCATCGAGGACATCAACCAGTTAGACACTAGACAAGTCAACGACTTGCTCCGTCATTTGGAGCAGAGTACTGGCGGGAGCCTCGCCCAGCGCAGGTCGAGGCTCAAGAGAGCGGTGGGGGGGTTCATTCGCTACAATACCTCGGCTGTCTAAGCTCTGCGGCATACTTGCTGGCGTTTAGGGCGAGGCATTGTTTGTTAGCACTAGCATTGGGCTAGAGTTAGGGATTTGGGTGGCGACGGAAGGAGACTGGCGAAAGAGGGGCCTCTTTAGGTAGTTAACTCGAATAGCATTGGGTACGGAGCACATGGTCCATGCAAACCTTTGGCGCCTGCACAGATGTCGTCGTGTTGCGAGTAGTCTGGATTTGATGTTCTGTGGCTGGGGCGCTCTGCAGTGGCTTGTGGGGCTGCAGCAGGCTCTGATTGGCGGCCGTACACGCTAGCCGTATATAGTAAAGCTGGCAACTGATACCCGAACTAATACTGAATCACCGATCCCCGACTTGCTGATCCGCGCCGCCAGCGCCTCAGGCACCTGAGAGCTCTCTGCAGGCACCCGCAACGCCCGCCAGCGCCGTATTATTACTGCGTATTGCGCTAGGATCGCTCAGAAATACATGCGACGGCCATACAAAGCTGAGCGAGCGCGGCGCAGGGCGTGGTTGTGGATCAGGCGTGGGCAAGCTGCTGGCTGGCTGGCTGGCTGGCTAGCTGATTGGCTGATTAATTGTACCCGATCGCACCCGATTCCGATCGCACCCGATCACTTTTCGGCAGAACGTCGAAGTCCCTAATTAGGTAATTTTTTCGTCCAAATTAGAGAATTCTGCTAATTTAAATCGGGTAATTTTTTCGTCTAAATCGAGAATTAAAGTTTTACTAGTATTCTATAAACCTAATTATAATTACTCTACTTATACCTTACTATATAATAAGAGACGCTTAAAGTAGACGTATATAAATATAAGTACGCTACTTCTAGTAACTATATAGACTTAGTCTATTTTAGATCTAGACGCTATATAGTTAGACGCTATACGTCTATTATAAGAAGAATATATATAGAAAGACTTTTATTTTTATTATAGAAAACTAGAATATAATAAGACTAATTATAAGAAAAAGTATAAGAATAATATAAAGTAGAGTAGCTAGCTCTAGTTATTCTCTTAATTATATATATAATAGTTATAGAATCTATAACTATTTAATAACTATAGATATCTCTATAGTAAATATAATACTAGGTTTAGCTAGAGTAGCTATAATAGCTAAGATAGCTATAACTAAAACTAGAATACTAACTTATTCTTTAACTATTCTATAAGTAATAAGAGTAAAGACTATATTAAAGGTAAAGTTTCTTCTACTCTTACTAGCTTATTTTCTAGTACTATAAGTATATCTACTAAATTAATTTCTTTATTTATAAGTACTTCTAACTATAGTAGTATAAAAAATAACTAGTCTTTAACTATAGTTATAGCTAGAAGTCTAAAAAGAGTATATATAAATAATAATCTTACTAGATATAGATAATTCTTAGTAAAAAGAGTTCTCTCTAGCTTAGATCTATAGATAGTAAATTACTACTTATTTATATATTACTCTATTTTACGTATTTACCTATTACTATATAAAGTCTTATTAATAGTAGCTATTTAGACTATAGCTTTATTAACTACTCTCTAGTTTAGTAATATAATATTCTATTATATACTATACTATTCTCTAGACTCTTACTACTTATAAATAGATATATAAGTAATATACTTATATACTACTATATTATATCTATATCTATTAGTAACTACTATAAGTATTATATACTCTATATTATAAAGCTAGCTACTAATATACTAATTATTCTTAGTTTTCTATAGTTATAGTAATATAATCTAGCTATTAATTAGATCTCTATATTTATAACTTTTATCTTTTAGTACTATATAGCGTACTATAGTTCTAATAGTAGACTAGTACCTATAGTACTATAATACTAAGCGTCTAGTAAGATTCTTACTACCTACTCTATATAGCTTCTATCTCTAATTACGCTTATACCTCTAGATTCTTCGCTAGCTATAGAGAACTACGTCTCTATTCTAGATAAAAAACTACTCTTTCTAGTAAGTTATAAATAAACTAAGTAGTTATAATTAATTATATAAGATCTTTCTATAAAAACTAATAGTACTTCTAGATTAAACTATATTATACTATTATATAAAGATATATCTAAAGATATATAAAAGAAGAATATAAATAGAGAAAGCTAACTACTAGAAATTCTACCTAAGCTTATACTAGGCTACCTATACTACTATACCTATAATTCTAGAGTAGATAAAGGTAGAATATCTAAATACTATAGTATAATAATTAGAAATATATACTCTATAAAGAAAATACTAGCCTAAAAAGTAGAAGGTATCTAGCTCTCTATAGTATAGATTAGAAAAAAACTATAACTATAGCTTAGTATTCTAGTTCTAGAACTAATAAGTAGACTATATAAAGTACTTAAAATAGAAGATATTTATCTCTCTAAAGTTATAAATTTTATCTAATTCTATAAGTAGCTAGCTATTTAGGCTATTTAGGTTATATAAGATAACCTAAATAAGATAGTCTAAGAAAGTAAGTAAGAGAAAGGTAATATACTTCTTAGTCTTACTAAAGCTAAGTATTTTAATATTCTATTAGAATATATTAGTAATTAATTATATAGTAAATTCTCTAGCTAATTCTATAATTTTATAGATAATTACTAATAAGCTATTTACCTCTATAGCCTTAAGTAAATAAATATTAATAAATTTCTAGAAGATAAAAAGCCTCTTTCTAAGTTAGAACTTAGAAAGAGGCTACTAGAATAGCTATAGAATAAGCTAGTAGAATTTCTTCTCTAGAAAGCTAATAAGCTATTACTAATAAGAGCTTAGAACTATAAGATTAATATTATTCTAGAAAAGAAGCTACTATATTAGAAGAATAGGCTCTTCTCTACTAAGAAATTAAAAGTTATTAGAAAATAGCTAGATAAAAACCTAGATAAGAGCTTTATATATAAATCTTATTTATATTATACTATACCTCTACTTCTAGTAGTAAAACTAGGTAGAGAGATACGTATCTATTAAGACTATTAAGAACTTAATAATATAACTATAAAGAACTAATATCTACTTCTATTAATTAGAAAAACGCTTAATACTCTATATAATACTAAGGTGTATACTAAGCTTAATATTATTACTATATTTACTAAGCTAAAAATTATAGAAGACTATAAATAGAAAATAGCCTTTATTATCTAATCTAGACTCTTTAAATTACTAGTTATACTATTTAGCCTCTATAATACGCTAGTCTTATTCTAGAACTATATTAACTATACGCTTTATAATCTTCTAGACTATACGTATACTATATACCTTAATAACGTTTTTATCTACTTTATAAATAAAAAGAAATACTAATAATATATCTAAGACGTAGTCTAATAGCTTATTAATATAGACCTCTAAATTAATATTAAGAAGTATAAATTTAAGGTTACTAAAATAAAATATCTTAGTCTTATTATCTCTCTAGAAAGAATCTATATAGATTTAGAGAAAGTCTAGACTATTTATATATAGATAACGTCTCTATACCTAAAGAATCTATAGAAGTTTTTTAGCTTCTCTAACTTTTATTAACGTTTTATTTAAGACTTCTCTAAGATATATTAACTACTAAATAAGCTATTATATAAAGATATATTATAGATCTAGATAGATAAGTATATATAAGTCTTTAAGACTATAAAGATATTATTTATAATAGCTCTAGTACTAGTAATATATAACTATATAAAAAAAATAATTCTTAAAATAGATATCTCTAACTAGATATTAGAGAGTATACTCTTATAGTATAATAATACTAGCGTACTCTACTCTATTATATACTTCTTAAGTAAGTATAGCGCTACTAAGTATAACTATAAGATCTATAATAAAAAACTTCTTACTATTATAAAGTTCTTAGAGAAGTAGTACTCTAAGTTATAAGAAACTACTAAACTATTTAAGATTATTATAGATTATAAGAATCTTAAATACTTTACTATAATAAAGGTACTCTTCTAGAGATAAGTCTACTAGTCTAAATTTCTCTTATAATTTAACTTCTATATTATATATTACCTAGAGAGTAAAGTAGTTAGACTAGACGCATTAAGTTATATACTAGGCGACTAACCTACTAAGAATAACCTTACTAATAACTATGTTAAAAACTAGATATAGATAATACTACTATCTAAAAGATTTAATAAGAAGGTTCTTATAGAGCTTCTTTAAAATACTCTACTAGAAGTAGTAGTACTTATTCTACTAGCTATAGATAAACTAATTAATAACCTATTATAGACTATATATAAGATATTAGATCTAGTATAGAAAATAATTACTATGCTAGAGAACCTATTAGTAAAGCGCTAGCTAAAATACCTTTAAAGTCTTCTCTAGGTTCTAATACTTAACTATAGAGTCTAATAAAACTATATTTAGTATAGAGATTATATATTTATACTACTAAATAATAAACAATATACGTAGATCTTATACTATATCTATAATACTAGCTCTACTAGCTACTCTAGATAGGTTAAAACTATAGATCTTATCTACTATAATTACTAGTAGCTATAAATCTTCTATAATATTAAGATATATATATAAGCCTATACTATATACGTAAGAATAAAAGTATCTAGACTCTTACTCTAAAGCTTTCTAAAACTACTACTAGTTCTATTCTAGATATAGTTTAATATATTAGTTAATTATATTACTCTACTACTTAAGTATAAGTTATATAGTTAAAAATATAAATATATTCTTATAGTAGTCTATTAACTTATAAAAATACGCTATCTTATCTCTATAATAAGAATTAATATAAAGAAGCTAACTAATATATTTATTTTATAAATTTACTTACTCTATAGCTACTCTAATAATATTATTTCTAATTATAGTATATAGTTTATTTCTTAGTTCTAGACGTAGCTTTCTATTTACTTAGAAGTTATACTTAAACGCTTATCTTTATTCTATCTAGAGATAGATAGATAAATAGAGTAAGTTAATAGCTTTATTAAAGTATATCTTTAGGCTTTTATAAACTTCTACTAAGATAATTAGATATAATAGCTAACGTACTTTATTATCGAAAGTCTTATATTATCGAAAGCCTTACGATTTCTTAGCAACGAAAATTATTAAAAATCGTTTGTCTTAAATAACTAAGTAAAACCTTAATATTTTTCTATAAAAATTTATATATATATTCTCTATAGTATATTACACCTTATGGTAAAGTTGCACTAAGATATATTACGTAATTAAAAAGCTATACGTATTTAACTAACTTTTAGAAAAAATCTAGTTTACTTCTAGTTAGTACTATTATCTCTCTATAATAATCTATAAAACTTATAGTATATAGTATTTATAATCTAATAAAGGTTTCTAGAAAACTTCTATAGCGCTAGCTCTTCTAGGTATAGCGTAATAAGAGATAGAAGTTTATAAAAAGTCTTTCTAGAGTTTTCTTCTCTAACTATATATATATATTAATAATCTAGCTATATAAAGTTATATATTATAAGATTATATATACTATAAGCCTTCTATATATTTAGAAGTAATAATTTTAAAATAGTTTTAGTATCTTTCTATCTTTCTATACTATACTACTAAAAACACTTTACTTTTAAATAACTACTTAAAGCTACTATATTATTAGGTAATAAGCTCTATATAGTTAAAGTCTACTATAATGTATATAATAATAAGTTTATATAGCTAGATTATTAATATCTATATAGAGTTAGAAGAAGAAGGCTCTAAGAAGAAATTTTTTTAACTTCTATCTCTTATTACGCTATACTTAGAAGAGCTAGCGCTATAGAAGTTTTCTAGAAACCTTTATTAGATTATAAATACTATATACTATAAGTTTTATAGATTATTATAGAGATATAATAGTACTAACTAGAAGTAAACTAGATTTTTTCTAAAAGTTAGTTAAATACGTATAGCTTTTTAATTACGTAATATATCTTAGTGCAACTTTACTATAAGGTGTAATATACTATAGAGAATATATATATAAATTTTTATAGAAAAATATTAAGGTTTTACTTAGTTATTTAAGAAAAACGATTTTTGTTAATTTTCGTTGCTAAGAAATCGTAGGGCTTTTAATAATATAAGGCTTTCGATAATATAAGGCTTTCGATAATATAAGGCTTTCGATAATAAAGTACGTTACTACTTATAGAGTTTATAATAAATAATATTATATCTAAGACTATAGAAGTATCTCTATTCTTTATAAATTATAGTTTTTATCTAAGACTAGAGGTTAAGCTAGTATAGCTAGTACTACTAAACCTATCTACTATATAAAAATATAAGTTCTTTAGAGCTAATAATATAGCTAACTACTTTAGCTATATTCTATTCTAACTAAAAGTACTAGCTATCTAGTCTATTACTTAGTATAAATACTATATAAATAAAAGATATAAAAATATACTATAATTTTTAATATAAGATTTTATCTATATTAATATATAAATTATAAAGATAAATAAACCTATAAAAAAGAAAGATAATAAGCTTATAGAGCTATATAAAGTATTAAAGATCTATAACTAATTATATAACGTACTTTATAAGCGAGCTAGTTATATAAGCAAGCTAGTTACCTTCTCTTAGCAACGAAAATTAACAAAAATTAACCTGTTTTTCTTAAATAACTAAGTAAAACCTTAATATCTTTCTATAAAAATGTATATATATATTCTCTATAGTATATTACACCTTATAGTAAAGTTATACTACAATATATTACGTAATTAAAAAGCTATACGTATTTAACTAACTTTAAAAAAAAATCTAGTTTACTTCTAGTAAGTACTATTATATCTCTATAATAATATATAAAACTTATAGTATATAGTATTTATAACGTAATAAAGGTTTCTAGAAAACTTCTATAGCGCTAGCTATTCTAGGTATAGCGTAATAAGAGATAGAAGTTAGAAAATTTCTTCTTTAGAGTTTTCTCTTCTAACTATATATATATTAGTTAATCTAGCTATATAAACTTATAATTTTATAAATTATAGTATACTTAAACTATATAGAGCTTATTAACTAATAATATAGTAGCTTTAAGTAGTTATTTAAAAGTAAAGCCTTTTTATAGTATAGTAGAAAAAGATAGAACTATACTAAAACTATCTTAAATTTATTACTTCTAAATATCTAGAAAGCTTATAGTATATATAATCTTATAATATATAACTTTATATAGCTAGATTATTAATATATATATATAGTTAGAGAAGAAAACTCTAGAAAGACTTTTTATAAACTTCTATCTCTTATTACGCTATACCTAGAAGAGCTAGCGCTATAGAAGTTTTCTAGAAACCTTTATTACGTTAGAAATACTATATACTATAAGTTTTATATATTATTATAGAGATATAATAGTACTTACTAGAAGTAAACTAGATTTTTTCTTAAAAGTTAGTTAAATATGTATAGCTTTTTAATTACGTAATATACTTAGTATAACTTTACTATAAGGTATAATATACTATAGAGAATATATATATAAATTTTTATAGAAAGATATTAAGGTTTTACTTAGTTATTTAAGAAAAATAGGTTAATTTTTATTAATTTTCGTTACTAAGAGAAGGTAACTAGCTTACTTATATAACTAGCTTGCTTATAAAGTACGTTATACTAGAACTTCTATTATATATATAAATCTTTCTAGTATTCTATAACTTACTACTCTACCTCTAGTATACCTCTATAAGGCTTCTAGATTAATAGGTAATTAATAAAGTAGAGTTATATTATTTCTATAAAAAAGTTCTTAAAAGAGAAAATAAAATAGAAAAACTTACTAAAAAGTAGAAGTTTAATATAATACTAGACTACTATAATAAGTAACTAGAACTATAGTATCTTATTAAATAGAAGAACTACGCTATAATATAGTAACTAGTATTAGACCTAAAGAGTTAGAATAACACGCTACTAAGATTCTATACCTAATACCTAAATAAGCTAAGTTTACTATAATAGATAAAAAGGCTATAGATACTAGTTAGTCTAAATTTTTTATTATTTTATAAACTATCTAAGACGTATAGTATACTAGAAGAAAGGTACTATTATAGTACTAACCTACTTATATAGTTATATAATCTTAGCTATTTTAGTATCTTAGTATAGTAAATATCTACTCTATATCTTTATATCTTTATAGCTTAATATTATATAACTTATTATATATCTTAAATTCTTATTTTTTATTTACGCTATAATATACGCTAAGAGATAGTTTTTATCTATAATAATAAAAAATAGTAAAATCTATATATTATCTACTACTCTTACTATTATAATTACTAAAATCTACTTATAATTATTTAGTTAAAAGCTCTTTAGTTATAATTATCTCTTAGAGCTAGTAACTACTATCTAAGATAATATTATTTCTATTATAAAGCTAGATTTATTAAAATTATATATATTTTTATTAATAATACTATACTTTATCTTTATATTATCTACTAGATTAAACTATACCTAAATAATTATAGAATTTTTTTTCTTTACTTTCTAATAGTTATACTTATAATTAAGCTATATTTTAAGCTTAGAATAGTATATAATAAAGTAGTTTAGCTAGATTTAACTAATACTATTCTTACTCTACTTAGTAAGTAGCTTATTAGCTATATCTTAAATAGTAGTAAGCTAGAGAGTAAATACTTATATATCTAGATTAAGTATATACTTAACTATTATCTACTCTTTATTCTTTATAAGCTTTATTAAGTTAGGTATTTTTTTATATTATAGAGTAATTCTATTATATTAACTATAGACTTTCTTCTATAGTATATTATAGAGAGCTATAGTATACTATAAGCTTAGCTCTAGATTCTATTAAATAGTCTAAAGCGTAAGCTATATCTAGAATTTATCTAAAGTTAATTAGATATTTATAGAGAGCTTTATAATAGAGATAATAGTATTTAGTAAAAGCTTAGTATTTTTAGAGCTTTTAGTAATATAGAGCTTTTACTAATATAAAGCTTTTACTAATAAAGTATATTAGAGTAATTCTATTATATTAAATATAAACTTTCTTTTATCTTATATTATAGAGAGCTATAGTATACTATAAGCTTAGCTCTAGATTCTATTAAATAGTCTAAAGTATAAGCTATATCTAGAATTTATCTAAAGTTAATTAGATATTTATAAAAAGCTTTATAATAAAGATAGTAGTATTTAGTAGAGACTTAGTATTTTTAAAGAGTTTAGTAATATAAAAGGTTCGCTAATAAAGTACGTTATCTACGTAGAGACAAAGTGTTTTTAGTAGCGTTAATAGAGAGGATTTATAACAAGGTGTTGTTCTAGAAGGCGCTGATACACTAGCCACGATCCATGGCCTTGGCCGATCGTGGCGGTGTTGCTGAGTCAACCCAAAACGCCGAAGCTGCTTAACCGCGATCAGTCTTCGCGACAGCCACTGTGCAACTCCACGATGCCGTGCAATATACTGCTATGTCTTCATCGCAAAATCAGCAAGAATCAAATCAAAACATTACCCCGCCTTCGAGCTTTACAGACCAACCGTTGACCCCGCCGCCGACCGACGAGAAGCCCTTCGCGCAAGCCCCTCGCGTTATCGCGCTCTTCCGCGAGATTCGGGCCGGAAAGCATAGCAATCAAGGCCCGTGGATCGAGTTTCAGCTTGCAGAAGGAGATTACGATAAGATAGAGCATCTGCTCAGCCAAGACGAGGAGCTGCTGGGTTTTGTAGAAGACAAAATAAGGTGGGTGTGCTCGAGAAACGATGGACATGGCGGCTAACAAGGAGGTCGGCAGGTATGATTACGCCGCGGAAAGTCGTCGGCTTGTCGTTCGCATGCCTACAGCCGTACACGAATTGTTCATCGCCCGCGTCGAGGATGCCGTATTTAGTCAACTGAAATCGATCCGTGAAGGATCGGACGATGCGGCAGCTTTTGCCCAGAGAGTGAACCCAGCTCGGTCTACTGAAATATATTTTCCAGTCGAGAACGATTCATCCGGCAGGAAGTCTAAACACGAGCCAGACGCGTCTTTCTGGCATGACAGTGCACAATACCCTGGGGTTGTCATTGAAGTGGCATATTCACAGAAGAAGAAAAGGTTGGAGCGGCTGGCTGAAGACTACCTCCTGGACTCAGACGCCAGCGTACAGGCTGTTGTTGGGCTGGACATTGAGTATGGCAAGAAAGACTCGCGCAAGGCAACGCTCTCGGTGTGGCGTGCCGGAGTTTTCCGCACTGCTACTGAAGATGAGCTACGGGTAGTGAACGAGGTCGCGGATGAGGTAGGCTACAACTACGATTCTCTCATCGTTGGTATTCTGACGTTGATACCAGGCGTTCCGTGACGATCAAGGGAACGATACCGACCATCCAGGCCTACGGCTACGCCTCAGTGATTTTGCGTACGAAGAATTAGTGCAGAAGGAGCTTGGAGACCAGAATCGAGAAATACACATATCAGGTCAACAACTTTGCCAATTTCTCGCTGCGGCGGAGAGCAAGATACAACAAGTGAGATCACTTGGCAAGCATTCGGTTGCTCCTGGTGTCCATAAGAGAAGGCGGTCGGAAACGCCACCAGAAGAGATCGCTTCGGGTGATGAAGAGCGATACATGGAACAAGAGAGGGGAGTAGCGAAGCGTGTGGAAGCCAAGGACTTGAATTACGAAGATACATCCTGAATCAAAAGCTCGTCAGAATTGACTAGAGGATCTCATCCTTGACCCAGTCCCTAGGGCCCTAGTGCTGCGCAGAAAAGCTAACATTATCTAAGCACATCTCGGTCTAGAGCCCTGATTGCGATCCCGCTCATCTGACCCACAAGAAGCCCGTGGTGTCTGGATCTAGTTTCCGCAGTGGGCCCTCGCTTCAGGTCACCCACATACCCGAACTCTAACCTCAAGGCACGCCGGACACGCACAAGCACTCACTCACTCCAGTATCATCTCTTAAAAGGTTCAACACATTGTGTGAGATTCTTCCTCTGCTGCTATCGAATAGAGAATGCAGAACAACAACGGTTGGCGTTGGGTCACTCCTCCGGGCTGTGGCGTTGTGCTCGCTTAGCTATGGAGGGCACTTGCATACCACTTCCTCGTCCTTGCGTTTGCGCCAGTGCACCAGTCACCATTCAATCTAAGCTGCATCGTAGTCACCGTCTTCCCTTTCGTACCTTTTATTTGCCTTAATATACCTCGCAATCTTATGTAGGTTGTTCGAACCATTTCCGCAACATTACCGGAAGAGTAGTTTCAGTATCGTGGATTTTTCGCTACCGGTCTCGCCGACATATGCGATTGTTTCGCCTGGTCTTGCAGTGAAACTCATTCCCCTTAAAAGCGGTTTCCGGTCTCCACAAGTGAAATTGACATTCTGGAACTCAACGTTGCCAGAGTCGAATACAAGTTCTTTGGATGACCGGTCGATCACAGGTTTCCGAAGGAGCACTTGAAGGAGCCTTTCGGCGTGAACAAGCTTAGAGTTGGCCTCTTGATATGAGTTCCTGTCGCGAAGCCAGAATTCTTCATGAGGGGCCTGAGCAGAACTTGGAGCAACAATAGAGGACCGAAACCATAACATCAACATCATCCATAGAATAGGGTTCTATCTGATTCTGTCGTATCTTCAAAGTACCTATAATACGACCCATCAGTCATCAGACCCCGAGTGAAAGCAGTGCATGGGAGAGTAAGCGCACCCTTTCGGTATTTGCGAGGATGCTCAACCTCGTTCTCGCAAATCCTTGCGCCGCTGCACTTCAAACCGCGTTGTCGACGTTGGTCAGCCTTTAAGTGGGTATGAGCTAGTAGGGAAGCTCCCTTCCCCAGCCTCCGCGGCCCTTCTCTGCAAAAGTCTTCTTCCTGATGCTTCCGTACGACCCGTCTGGACACGATCTGCCAGGACACCAAGAGTAGAAGTGTCTGATCCATCTCCTCTGGATCATCTCTTACGACCTCAGTTCGCGAAGACCCTCAACTTCCGATCCACACCTCCCGTGGCGATAACGCAGCGGATCTGCACATCGGGGGTACCCACTCCAGTCCCCTTCGGCGTCCCATTGCTTTCGCCATTCTGCCCCTCAGCAGCGCCACCATAAACCGCAGGTACATCCTTGACAATTCCCGGAGCCCACCTTAGACAGGTGATGAAGCGTTCATGCTCGTCCCTGAGCACCTTGACGCACTTGCCTTCCTGGCTTAGGTCCCAGCACCGTAGCGTTCTATCATCCGACACCGAAAGGAGATATTTGCCGCCGGGGTGAAAAACGAGCGCCCGAACCCAGTTATCATGGCCTATCAGTGTCATGAGGCAAGTCCCGCGAGCATCCCAGAGTTTGATAGTCTTGTCACGCGACCCTGTCGCCATAAACTCTGCCGTGCTACTTGTACGTGAGGGCTTCTTCAGTCCAGTCAAGGATGTAAGATACTGGTACGAGGCAGGTGGAGCAAGTGCGCAGCATTCATTGAAGTGCTCGTGACCAACCATTGTCAGCTTGATTTCTGGGTTGGATACGGAGATATCCCATAATCGAGCAGTCTTGTCATCCCCGGTCGAGAGGAGGAAACGTCCGTCAAGCGAAGGGTAAACATCTCGTACCCAGCCGGTATGGCCTTGTAGTGTCTTCACACAATACCCAGTGGTGACATCCCATATCTTCAGTGCCTTGTCTCTGCTTGCGCTGACAAGCAAGTTTCCGGATGATGGTACTCCAGCAGCTCCGGAAGGTATGAAACGGATGGCGCTGACGCTGTAACCGTGACCTACCAAGGTCCGAATGTTCTTATACTCGTCTGCCGGATCCCATAGCTTAATAGTCAGATCGGAGCTGCAAGACGCCAGAAGGATACCACCTCTTGGGCCGCCATAGTCAACATCCAGTACTGCTCGCGTGTGGCCTTTGATCGTCTTTTCCAGGTCGCCAAGTTCCCAGTCCCATATTTTGATAGTGTAATCGTCGGAGCCGGAGGCAATGGAGGAGAATATTGGATGGAAAGCAACGCAGTTTATAGTATCTCGGTGTAATTCCAAAGAATGTCGAGGAGGGGATCGAGGGAGCCAAGAAGTAGGGTCTTGGTTGCGCCTAGAGAGGGAGGTAGGTGTTGCGTTATCGAGCTCGGATTGCAGTGCCGCGTTTCGGGACTCGAAGTCCATTAGCTGTGATAGAATGCTGGTTAGACATCGCTGTGACAGCGGTGGGCAGATGTGGTAAACGGAACGGAGAACCTGCTGTGCACACATGCCTTTTTCTGTAACCGGACAACGCTTGTCCATTTTCTCTCCAGCAATGTTTCGTATTTCTTCGCTGTAGATGTATCGAAGACATCTTCCCCAAGGCTCAACTCTGCCCTGAGTGCAGCGGCGGTGTTCGGTAGGTTATTCGCCGACAGGTATGCTATGATCGACTTGTGTCTGGAAGCAGAGCGTTAGCTTCGATCTGGAGCTCATCACCGTCCCTCATCACCAGAGCATGTACGCACAGCTCTTCAGCTTGCCGACTCGTCAATGTACGACTCATGCTGGGATATTGTTACGACGGTAGCATCCAAGTCGGCCTCGTGCGATTCCAAAGGGCTAGAGCCACTATTGAAGCCACTTCCTCCAATCGTTGTCTTCTTGCAACGATCACCGTCGACTGCAAGCAGAGAGGGGTAGTGAACGGGGGTGTCGAGGAAGAAGTCGAGGCGTCGATCGCGAGCGCCGAGGGAGCAGAGCGTCCTCGGGCTAGAAAATTCGTATATCGCAAGATGTTAGAAAGGCAGTAATGAGCCAGGAGAGAAGATGGCGATCAATGGGTTTCAATCGTCCGTGTTCAGGCATCGACATTAAGCGGAGAAGGCCTCGAGGTTTTTCCTTCTCCGAGATCCGGCGGTCCGTGCCACTTTCCTCGGCGCTGATGACGTACGGTGTGCAAGGCGCATTTTGACTACCAGCAAATTTCCCTCAACCAGCTAATGTTCTCAACAGGATCGAATTAGAATGAGTTCAACGCTTGGAGCGGTCACGTTGCCCTGCTGCCTGTAAGGCATGGGTATTTTTTCGCGACCCGCTCTGCCCTTCCTCCGCCCATCCACTCACGCTCCGCATTTTGACGAGAAACGTACATTTATCGATCTTCCCTCAGCTCTTCTGTTGTCAGGCTCACAAGCATTCCGGTCAGTGATGGCAAGAGTGGAGCGCAGGAATGATTTGTTGAAGTAGGAAATTGAGGAATACAGCATATTGGGGTGAGGTGTATTGTATTGAGTGTATATGGCTCCGAGAAATCGAAGAAATCTCTGTGGCGCTAGTGCCCGATTAGGAAGCTTGGCGATGGATCCAACATGATTACTAGCACCGATGGCAAGTAAATATGTCACGCATTCAAAAGTGATTTTGATGGCCAGCTTTAAATATCCCGTTGGGAAGCCTTGGAAGGAACAGCTGATATGCCTTTGAAACCCACAACTAAAATGGAAAAAAGCGCACCTACCACCCCCACCGACGAACCACCACCCGAAAGACAAAACAGCAACGAAACTGACATCCCATGACTTAATGAGTCCTTTCCCAATCAACGTTTAGTGCCATGTGGGGATTAGCTGTCGCTGCTCCCACCTCCTAGTTATGGAAATCATCTAGGCATGAATACTCTATATTACCATTAATACAACCCGGTTGTTCGCAGCGGGTGAGTTTCTTGCCCGTTCCTTTGCACTCATCGCAGTCTTTATTAGGATCGCTCTTCTTGGCTCCGCCGTTGCAATTCGAACCAGAACAGGTCTTAGCGGTAGAACTGATGTAGTAACCCCTATAGGTACCGCGGCATTTGTCGCAAGATGTTTTTCTTATCTTATTGTACTTTGTTTGTCCGCAGTCGGAGCAAAGTTCAGCAGGCATTGTTTTCGAGAATGCTGGTATAATGTCAGAGCATAATCATCTAGTATGGTCAGCCGAAGTCGAGCGCAAGCCTTTGATTGCTCGAACAGGCACGTGAGCAAACGCGGTCGCGTCAGTTTTCAGCCTTCTCGATTCAGTACGACTCGATGGCTCGACGAGGCGAGTCGCTGTAGGTGGCAACACGGGCAAAGCTCTTCGCGGCAGCAACACAGATCAGCTTCGACGACCCTATGGCGTCAGGCGACTCATAGGCGGGTCTAATTAGGCGCAGGGCGGCGAGAAGTGGAGGTGGAGAGTCGTGGGGACAGGGCTTGCACGAAGGGCTTCTCGTCGCTCGGCGGAGGCGCCAACGGCGGGACCGTCAAGCTAGAAGGCGGTGTAATATGTTGATGCGCCCTTATAGGAGTCTACGACATAGGCATAGCCGTAAGTTGTGCTGCATCGCGAAGGTTGCTCATGGCTGTCGCGCAGACTGATCAGGGAGTCAAGACTGTGCTCTAATTGACTCAGCAACAGCGCCACATATCCGCTAGGTCGTATGACGTACCTGTGGCTGGTGCTATGCCCAGGGGGACCCCTTGACACCAAGCCAAAACAAGTCGCCACAACATTCACACGTACAGTACTAACAAAACTGCTCAAGCTCCGCAAGTGTGAGGTGGCTACAAGGGATGAACTGGTCGACGGGGAGGCAGAGAGTAGCCAAGGTTTAAAGTTTGATCCCAAGGCTGCGGGACTCAGCGCCCGCTTGCTAAGGAATTTGCACAGCCACAGGCCTGACAGCCACAAGCACGCCCGCCTTGGTTATGATTATATAGTAATTTTGTGCTAGCCAGAATTGGTAATCGCTCCTATCGAGGCACCGACGGGCATGGCTGCCATTCCTGTTCTTGTGTGAGTCGGCATAGTCGCAGCGGACGACGAGGCACGGGAAGCTATTCATTCGGCCAGCTGCCTCCACCTCAAAGCAGAGAATGTCCCACGCTCCCTACTCACTCTGCTATATTGCGCCGCCGAAAGTTTGATGCCCATTATTCCTTGCTCTCCTTCCGCCGCAGCGAGCCATGGTTCATGCCCGTAGCACGCGCCCTATCTTATCCTTTATGTATCCCGACAGCGCCTCGTCTCCGACAAGCCGGTGCCCTGACTTGTCCACGGGTCTTGCTGGGTGTACCTTCGGCTCGGATAGCTTCGAATAGCGTGATAATTCGTTGGGTTGCGCAAAGGGCTTCACGTCGGTCAGCGGGGGCGTCAACGGCGGGTCCGCGAAGCTAAAAGACAGTGCGATATTTTGATGCGCTGTTAGAGGAGTCTGCGACTGCGGACAAGACATGCTGCAGGATCTGCGGCCAGGCAAGATGCTAGGCTTACGGGAGCGGGGTTGGCTAGCCCGCTCACTCCCGCTATATATTTCTCTTTCACCCAACCCCCCACGCAGATTTTTTCTTCCTCAACCACCAACAGCACTCTCCACTCCCACAACACCATATCTCACCTCACCTCACTACAACAACACAACCGCCACCATGGCCGACAAACTCCGCGATCGGCAGAACCTCGAGGCCCTGCAAGCCCGCTACATCGGCACGGGCAGTGCGGATACGGCGGCTGCTGAGTGGCACGCCAACATCGCTCGCGATACGCTGGCGTCCTTCGTGGGGCATCCGCCCCTCCTCACGTACGCGGCGATCGGGCTGGGGCAGTCACGCGAGCAGACGCGGCTGCAGATGCTCGAGAAGATGGTGTGGGGCGCTGGGCTGCCGCCGGCGAAGGTGAGTTACTCCTCTCTATTTCTACACACATATGTCCGTTAAATAGCGCTAACATGTCGCTTTAGAGGGAGAGCAAGAAGAAGGCGGAGGTTAAGGAGGAAGTCAAGATCAAGACAGAGGAGGAGGAGGAGGTCTGGCCTTCTCCTCCCCGACCGCCGAAGGTGAGTTACTCCTCTCTATTTCTACACCCATATGCACGTTAAATGGCGCTAACATGTCGCTTTAGAAGGAGAGCAAGAAGAAGGCGGAGGTTAAGGACGAAGTCAAGATCAAGACAGAGGAGGAGGTTCAGTACGACTGGCCTCGTCCTCCCCGACCGCCGAAGGATGCGCCCAAGGCGGACAAATACGGCTTCGGGCCGGACGGGCAGCGCGCCCGTTTCTGAAGACCAAGTTGAGACTGGAATAGAGGCACAGCGGAGCTCTCAATGACCGATCCTACCTTTTCGTTCAGAGGATCCCAGGTCGAACCCTGGACGCAGCGTGGCCAAGTCTGAATACACAGTGGCGAATTCATTACGTCAACGCTGTGGTAAACATGTGCAAGGAAATGGCAGAGTGGAGAACGGACAGGCTATGCGGCGTAGATAATCAATGCATACCAGAACACTTCCTTGTCACGCCCCCGGGTAGCGATAACTTCAGCTCACTTCAGGCGGGGTGTGAGGCGATAGGCATGGATTGCTCTTCGTTCGTCTTTGGCCATGCTAACCTAGGACCCACGAATATCATTGCGGAGGATAAGCCGAAGTTGGGAGAGGTAGGGATTATTGACTAGGAAATTGCTGGCTACTTTCCTCGAGGCTGGATTAGGACTAAATTTCGAATCTCCAGCGGGATGAACTTGTCTGCTTCAGCAACCGATGATCAGACCTGGTGGAGAGCCGAAGTCCAAAAGGCGCTTGGAGCTCAAGGGTTTGACGAACATGCAGAGGCCTGGATGGAATGGCGAGGGTACAAAGCGCCCCAACGGTGATCCGACAATCAGATATTTTTGCTGAGAATGTAGAGAATAGTCTTATGATTCCTGAATAGACGGCGGCGAAGTCTTGTAAAGATTCCTATTAACAGTACTCTACTATAAACGTGTCTCTGCCTGCATTCCAGTGCTACTCTAACAGCTGTAACCCCTACACTAGCCCATGGCATCATAGCTGCTTCCATTTCTCTGCCTTTACGCGCTACGGACAATTACTATGACTTCAGTACGCTGGATACGGAGACTGACTACCTTATCAGGCTGTAGCAATAGGAAGCGCAGCACCACAGATGCTGCCATCCGCCAAAGTTCCTTCGCATGTTTCCTTGCCGGTTATATTGTTGTATCCACATTTTGGACAATTTACCGAGTTGACAGGCTCGATATAGTTGCCGACTGCCATCGTGAAGACTTGAGGGCGGATAAACGATCAAGGACGGTGATAAGCAGCCGACAAGAGCGGGGAGCGCAACCGAACGGGTTGATGTTGATTGAGGAAGCCTTGAATGATAACTAGTAACTTCGACACAATCACAGCGAGTTCGCTTCAATTTCGGTCGATTCCGTGGCGGGAGAGGTGGACGAGATACTGTACCATTGGCGTGTACGGGGACTAATTATTGGATGTGAGCAAGACGCCTTCGTCTTGCTGATATAGAGACCAGGAGTGGCTCTAGGAAGGGCATACGGACCTGCCACTCTGGAGTGATGTCAATTTGAACGGCAGGGCCCTCGGGGACCTTGTAGAAGAAGACTTGCGCATGCTCAACGAACGGAGAGTTGGGAAGTGCCAGGAGTTTCGACTTGACACCCTTTGGCGCACTGTTGATGTTGATAATGAAGTCAACATCCTGGAAGCCGTGTCAGTCCGAATAACGGCTACAAGCAATAGTAGAGCTTAGTACCTCGGTCGTTCTACCGTTGGGAATGTATTTCCAAAGGGCTAAACCGCCAATGACGGCCACACTGGCATCTGAGAATTCGCTGATGCTCTTGAGAATGGCGATGACTTGGGCGGCAGCTGATTCGAGCTCGTTTAGAGAAGGCATATTACAGGATAGTGAAGGATAGGACAAAAGCAAGAAGCGGAGAAAGGACAGCAACTCAGGAAAAGCGTAGCGGATTGGAGAGCCTGTAGTCGTGCAGGAGATATATATACTTACACGAAACGACAAAATTCTCGAGACTTCAATCGTGCTGTGCCTCTCTGCTGATCTTCTGAGACTGTCCGTAGGGGTATTCAAACGATGCCATATCCTATTGTTCCCGGCGTCTCGAGGGATCTCGTTACAGGAGGCGGCGCATCGAACATTGTGGCGAGCGTTAAACAGAGCCCGGGGGCAAAAGATGGAACATAGGAGGCGAATCGCCGAAGTAATCAAGCAGAAGCGCTCGCAGATGATGCGTGTCAAGCTGTTCATATCCTAACTCAGGCCCGCTTTTTTCAGCAATGTTCGCGAAGCCAGCAGCCGTCTCGAGACTCAATGGCTTGTATGTGGAGTTATTGGTAGCAATTTCTGATTCGCTTCGCTGAATGATGACGGTGCGAATCCCCGGACACAACGCCGCCAAGCGCTGGCACGTTCGAGCAAGTCTCTGGAACCGGTACCATGATAGACCGACGTGTTCGAATTTTGAGAGTCCACCCGCACTAAAGCTGTCTAGGACGGCTATCGCGTTGAAACCACCGCCGAGATAGACGACCGTCTTCTTCAGATCGACCCAGTAGACGTCGCCGATTGTCGCTGTGCCCCTTGGACCGAGAACGGGCTTGACGTAGGATCGTTCCAGCAGCCGCCGGGCTTCCCTGCAGGACAGGCCTGCCAAATACGGCACGGGCCCGACGAAGGCCATGGTGAAAGGCAAACGATTCGCGGTGAGGTGGCTACCTGCAGCACTATTGGGAGCCGCAGCCCAGACTGTCCATACCGAGAGTGCGTGTTCCCAAACCAGGAGTCGCAGTTCTGGGGGGAGCGCGCTAAAACAGGCGAAATTGTCTCCGGCACACATACCTTCTCGAAATTCGCGGTGAGAGACTGGATGGCAAAGTACGCGCGTCGACTCCGGATTTTGAGGGCGGCGTTGGTGTATGTGGTAACGAGAGGTGTTCAGCGGCAGCTGGTCTTGGCACTTCAAATCCGGTAGTGCCAAGCCCTCCAAGCGCCTACGTTTACCATTTTGTATATCCCCGTCGCCATCCGCACACAATCCAACAGCAATCACCCGAGACCTTAGCGACTCTGACGGAAGCAATTGTGGAAGGAAAAAATGTCGGATCTTTCTCCATCATTCGTGACATCCATTGCGCAGGCTCTCAACTCGACCCACGTTCCCTGCGTCCTCTGGGGCCACTATCTTCTCAATGTCCACGGCGTACCATCTATCATAGGCGTAGGTACCCCTCGATCGCAAGAACTCTATGTCCTGGCCTAACTCTGTACAAGTCGATTGACTTTGTCATTCCGGACGGCTGTTTGCAGGCTGGCGTCAAGGCGCTCTCTCAGACCAGCAGAATAACGCCATGTCAACATGGAGAAACCTGTCCCTCAGGCCCACAGGAGCGATATACGCCACCGCCCGCGTTCCACATGCACGTCGAAGCCTCAGAAGTCGCAGTGGGGCTCTATGTCCAATCCGAGACGCTCTGGTTCCTGCCAGCACTGGACGAGTCTCTCCTATGCCCGCAGAAACCCAAGCTTCCCCCGTATCTTGTTCTCGCATCTGACCAGACCGTTCTGCCGCCTTGGCGACCTGGCCGGGGATCAGGCGTGTTCGAGCGGATCGAGCATCCAGTGGTTATTCCCCAGTCTATAGTCCTGTTGGAAGCATTTCTGCGCCTGTACGCACGTGATTCAGCGAAACGTATAGGTAGCTTCGCAATGCCCATGATTGGATATATGGAGCAGTACGTCGACGACGATGGATTCCTGGATGCGAAGCAGCTTCCCGAACCGCTCAGAACATTCTACATGGAGCTGCGAGAGGGAAAGAAGCCAGTTCGTCAATGGACCAAGGAGTTGAAGAGGGCTCTTGGAATGCCTGACGAGGATCCTGAAGATCATCCCAAGTAGTAGAGTAACGACATATTCCCCAACACACGCAACCTCGTTTCCATTCCCTGGAGTCGCTACAGAGCTACAGACTCGCCTCGCCACACTTTCCATGCTCCCGACCTTGCCCACTTAAGCACATTCACACAATCGGCCAACTACCTCAACACCGCCCCCAGCACCCAACCAGCCCTCGCCATCACACTCTCTCAAACCACTCCTCAACACCTCAAATTCCCAACCCACTCCATCCACCTGCCAAAAGCTGAAGTTCCTAATGGAATCCCGGCTGCCCATCACCCACCAACCGCCTACGCCCGAACGCAGTTCGCCAGCCTCCTGCCTCTATGAGTCTTCAGCTGCTGACGCCTCCGGCTCCGACATCCTCTCTAACTCCTTTTTCTCCGCCACTAACTTCTTCGAGGACCTCACACTCGACGAGTTCCTCCTCGGCTCCGCGATCCTGCGCCGTCCGCCCCGCGGATGCGCGTCCGAGGAATGTGGCGACTACGCCGTGGCCGCATGTGTACGATAATAACTGGTGTAATAGTGTAAAGATGAGTGGGATAATTTGCTGTTTCGGGTAGTGGGGTGTGTAGCTTTGGGGGCGTTTGTTTGGGTGGTACGGGGGAGTGGGGCGGCGTCGAGGGGAAAGGGGATTGAGGGGTGTGGTCTTTAGAATCAATATCAGCTTGGGATAATGTATTCTGGAGGACTTCGGCCTCATTTACGGAGACAGGTTGCGCAGGAGAAGCCGAAGCACGAGGTGCGAAAGAGGGCAATGTATTCATGAACCTGAGGGCCTTCAGCTCGGCTACATTGGGTTGATACTGCGCTGTCTCGAAGCCGGATAGTATAGGGCCTAGGGGGTGATAGATTAGCCAAGTAGCTCCTAGTACACTTTTCCCAGGCCTCTAGAGGCTTTTGGAAGCAGGGCATCCCCAGGCGCTCGAGGGGTGTGGAAAAGGGAGAAGAGCGGTATCTCTTGCGAGCCTGTGAGGAAGGCGAGCCCCTCGAACGGCGGGGGCGAGATGCAGACAGATAGTGCACCGGGGCCTCCAGGATGAGGTTTACGAGGTCGGATTGCATGTGTGCGTCGAGCTGCTTGCCTCGTTCATCCCCCTCAGATGCTGGTGATAGAAGTCTCACTTCGGCGTTGCGCTGCCTCAAAAACCACAACATCAGCGGAGCGGAAGCCAACTCTTGCACCATCCCGGGACCACTCCCTACTAACAGCGATACTAGGAGACGGGCGACGACGGTTCTCTAGCTACCGCATTCGACGGGCGCGCAATCTATTCGAGGCCGGTGGCGGAGATACTCCATCCGCTGATGAATCTACAGCGGCGGCACCAGCATCACCTCTGCAGACCATCTTCGCAAGCCGCGCTGCGATACACTCCTCTTACTGACTTCGATCGCAGAAGAGTCCCCTGACCGGCCGACCGAAGCGACGCGCCGCCTCGACCACCGACGTTTTGTTCCCGCGAGCCTGGGCGAAGGCGCCGCGCTTCTCTATTACGACCCCCGCATGGAGCTCTGAGCGTCCTCCCACTATGGGAGCGCGTGGAAAACATCGTGAGCAGGCAGAAGGTACTCAGGGACGCCCTGCTACTCCGAGATAGGCCCATATCAGCTCACGGCGGAATGAGAGCGGCGGGTCTGATACCGGAGGCGGAGCTCTACTCCAAAGATGGCGGAGCAATTCTCCGTTCTTGCTGTCTTCTGAGAACCGAAAGGATAAGCCACGGACTTATCGGCGACTCTAGCCCTTCGACAGAACGCTCGATCGGAAGGCCTGTAGTAAAGACCTCTATAGGACCAGGAAAGGCACCAGCGATACCGCACGAGGACCGACAAGCCATAAAACTTTTGGATCAAATCAAAGCTTCGGAGAGACTCTGATATCCACGGAGTAGGATAACCCGGCTGCAACAGGCGGCGCGTAACTGTCCAGCGAAACTTTACTTCCTGAACGCGGTGGACTACTCCCGTGGGCCTGAGCGAGGATGGAGGTGCATACTTCTGGCTGCTGCAGTTATATAGAGAGCCACAGCTTCTCATTCCCCGGCTGCATAGTCGCCGCTGACTGTCATGCAGATTTGCATTCTTCGCGCTCCTACACTCCCCAATCGCTAGCTCTTCAACCGAAACGTATGCGCATCACCGCTCTTCTCATCCGTTACCGTCGTAGACCCGCGATCGCCACTCCGAAAGTAAATACGGACAAGATAGGATCTAGAAACCCCGACGTGCTGACCACTTGGAGGATACCTCAAACAAACGGCGAAGATCTCTGGACAGAGGCCAGTCGGAAGCTGAACAAGTGGAATACAGACGGCATATCTCTCCGAGGACTCAACCTTTCTGAGTGCCTTCAGCGCGGAGTCCAGAAGTCGTAGGACCTATCAAGATCCTCTGGGCCAGCGGTAGATGCCCCGGCTTTGGAGGACCAGCAATCATACAGGGCGAGGCAGCTACAAGGCTCTGAATCAGCTACGCAGAGCTCTCCGAGCGTATATAGAGGCTGTTGCAGCTCGCGATGAGCTCCCAGATGGCCGTGACGGATGTCGGGACGCGATGGAAGGTCTGAATAACGTTTCGGCATTGTCCAGAAATGGGAAGGCTGACTCGAAGCGAGTTGTGGGGCAGGACAACCAGGGGTCGCACGCGTCCCTCACGACCACGTGACGACCTCCGCGAATGTCCGACTTTCCCTCCTCCACGCAAAGATGAGATTCTGGTGTCAGCAATCGCTCGATGCGCATGGCGGAATGGACTTACCTGGAGTTCGGGATTCGATGGCGCCGAGCCTGGAGAACAACATCACGACGCGTTCACGATGCGCACCCGGAACCGGTGGCTGAGACTACAAGAGGAAGCTTTATTCTTGACTGAGAGTATGCACGTCATGGCCTACGAGGGGCCGATACAAGAAGCCAACCTACTAGTATACACTCGCACGAGGCGCGTCTCCATTCGCGGTCCACGGCACTCATGCAACCTGGCTGGCCGCCAAAACCAGCTCAAAAAGTCAAACAGGAGTGTCTGTCCGGAGATTTCGATCCTTCCAGTACCTGGCATCTGCGTTGGCGACACCGTTAGCTTGTCCTTAGCCTTTGGGAAGCTTTATCTTCAACCCGTCATTCTCGATCAGGAACTTCTCGGCCTGCTTGTTGCAGGTATGCATGGAGAGTGTGATTTGACGCAGTGCAGTTTTTTTTTGGTTCTGCTATCGATAACGCGATCAGCCACTAGTCCCTTTCAGCCACCCTAGCGGAGGTGCCGCGGAGAAAATGCAGAGCAGCAGCGGCAACGCCTTGTCTCCGTGGAGATGGCGCCTCTACCTAACCTTTGCAGGTATGCATGGAGAGTGTGCGGCCCAGTACGGGGCAGTGAACGCCGCGGAAACATTGGAGAAGCGGGAAACGGGTCAGGGCGTGGGTATCGCGCTCAGTCCATTTGCTCCTCGCGGCCCAGAACAATGTTGAGAGCCTTCCGGCTCAGAATGACACTGTGCTCGAGAGCATTGAGTTTGGCCATGGCCGAGATGAGGGCGGGATCCTGGCTCTCAACGCGGATCTTCTCCTTGACACGCACCTCCTGCCCTCTGTACGTGAATGTGCGATCGGCCTCGTCGTGAACGGGGGGCCTCGCGCCGCCCAGTGCTACAGCCAGCCTGTCGCGAAAGCTGAAGCCGGCGTACGAGTCGTCGCCGCCGCCGTTCTGGATCTCGAGTGTCCGGATCTCCAGGAGGAGGGCGGCGTCGAAGATGAACAGGTGGAACGACACGTTGGGGGCCAACGGAGGGTCGAAGATCTGGATGGGCAGGGCTCGTTAGGCGCTCGAGAATAGGAGCGAATAGGAGCTCGCATTGCCTTACCTTCTCGTCTACGGGATTCTCCCACCATGGAGGCTGGACGTCTGAGTATCCTCTGAGCGCCTGTCGAGCCTCCTGAATGTGGTCGTGCAGCAGCCGCAGCTGGCCTGCGACGAAGTTGGCGTCCTTTGCATCGCCGGTCCAGGTTGTCACGTCGATGACATCCAAGCAAGTGTTGATCGACGTCCTCACCGAGGTCAGCTGTGGGATGACGAGCGTGGGTGCTTGCGGCGCGGAGGAAATGGTGAGGTCGTAGCCGGACGATCCGCGCGGAGGGGGGAGGCTCGACAGGCGGAGCTTGACATTCTATAGAAGAGTCGGGTCAGTCCCGAGGTCAGCGGGTGCAGATACATACATACGCCCTTGACTATGCGGGCCCCGACGCGGGTGACGAGCCCCTTCAGGCTCTCGGAGCGCACCGACGACAGCACAAGCGTCGAGCCGTTCTCCGTGGGCGCGAGCAGGGCGGCGCATTCCTCGAGGCCGGCCTTCAGCGACTGCAGCGTCTCACGCAGCTGCACCAGCAGCCATGCGAGCTCACGGGCCTGGGCAAGGGATCAGCGTGTCGCGACGGCTCTGGGCGAGCGCAAGACATACCTGCGACGCGGCTTGCTCGCTGGCGAGCCGGGCCGCGTCTATGGGCGGCCACACAGCGGTGGACATGGCAGACTCGGGGTGTGTACTGTTGTTTTGGGGGTAGTTTTGGGGGTAGTTGTGGGAAGCAGGGCCAATTCGCTTGGCAGAGGAGGTCCGGGAAAGTGCTGCCTAGGCGCTCGGGAGCCGGTGGCGGACGCGCAGTTACTGTCTAGCCGCTAACCGCTACTACTACTACTATTACTACTAGCCTAGATATTATATTTTATTAAGCTCTCTAGCTTAAAACTATTATTATAGATATTAAACTCTTAATCTACTTTATTATTAAACTATCTATAATTTCTTAGTAATAAAAACTAACAAAAATTAACTTATATTTCTTAAATAACTAAGTAAAATCTTAACGTACTTTATTATTAAACTCTCTATATTATTAAACTCTCTAAAAATACTAATTCTCTACTAAAAAGCTACTATTTTATTTAGATTTCTCTAACTCTAAGCTACTTAAGATAAATCTAGATAAGCTATCTAACTTATCTATAATATATAAAGCTAATTATTTATAAATATTTAGAAGATATAGTAAGTAGATTATATAAAAAAAAAAATTTAGTAGATAAGCTCTTATATTTTACTATAAAGCTAATAGAGCTATATATCTAAAAGGTTCTATAAGTAAAATATTTAAGAAACTAAACTCTAACTCTAAGCTATAATACTTACTACTCTAACTCTAGTCTAAGTAGCTATAAATCTAATCTATAAATAACTTATTATAGTTATTATTAATAAAATTAAACTAACTATCTAAATTAAATATAACGCGTAGAATAAGCTTAATATCTCTAGTCTAAAAAGTAATACGCTTTCTATAAATATAGGTAAGATTAGTAGCTATAAGTAGATTAGACTAATATATAAACTAATATATATAATAGAATATATACTTTATAGAAAAGTATATAAAAAGTTCTTAGTTAGTATCTAGAAAATACTAAGTATATTAGTCTACTAGCGTATATTAGCTTTATACTTAGTACTAATTTTATAGTAAAGATAGTAGAATAGCGTTATAAGCGTAAGAGTACTAACTATTCTTTAGTAATACTTAATCTTCTAAAGAGTCTATACTTTAATATATTAGTAAATTATATATAGAATTTAGAAAAATAATAATATAGATACTTACTACTAAACTCTATATAGTATATCTTAGATTCTTTAGACGTAGCTCTATAATAGATTTAAGCGTAGAGTATATTAATATTATAGCTAATTATCTTCTAAATACTAGAATCTATATTAGTTTTATAGATCTTCTTTTACTTTAACGTCTTCTAAGTCTTTTTATTCTTACCTCTAAGAGCTAAAAATAGTTAGTAAGACCTAATATATAGACTAATATCTAACTAACTAGTATTTATCTAAGTAGGTTTTTTTCTTAGTATCTTAGTAGTAATAGTACTATAAGAGCTACTATTACTATAACTACTATAAGTATAAGCTATATCTTTACGCGTAGGTCTAGCTAGATTATAATAGATAGTTAAAGAAGTTATAGTAGCTAATAGAGTAGGTCTAGTAAAACTATTAATTAGAGAGGTAAAAGCTTACTTAGTAGAAGTAACTAGTAGAGTAAGTCTAGATAGTAAAGTAGAATTAGACAAAGAAGTAGATAGATAACGTAAACTAGAAGATAGTAGAGAACGTAGACTAGAAGATAGTAGAGAACGTAGACTAGAAGATAGTAGAGAACGTAGACTAGAAGATAGTATAGAAGAAGTAGCTAGCAGATTAGAATTCTCTATTTAAGACTATAGAGCTAAAATATCTAACCTAGTAGAACTCTCTAGTATAGAAGAGAGTATAGAGAACTTAGACTAGATTTTCTAATAAGATTAGTAGAAGTTAAGACGTATCTAGAGCTTTAAATAAGACTTCTTAATACTTAGCTTTTCTATATTATAATAACGTAGAATAGAAACCTAATATATAGGTAAACGTGTTAGAATAGTAATAATAAGCATAATAAGAAAAGTTAAATTAAAAAGTTATAATAAAAAAATAATAATAAGAGTAAAAAGAAACTTAAGTACTTATAAAATAGTAAAATAAAAAGTAAAGAAAGATATTAGTTAAGCGTATTAGCCTATAATAGCTAAAATATTACTCTATATATAAAATTTACTAAGTAGAGTAGTAAAAAAGTATAGTATAAGAAAGAAGAAAATATTTAAAGATTAAAAAGTTAAGATAAAGGTAGCGTGCTAAAAATTATATAATTATATAAGTATAATATTATTACTCTACTTCTATAGCGTAAGCTATAAAATTCTCTTACCTACCTATAAATAAATAAAATTTTTAACTTATAAGTATTATAAACTAGAAAATCTATAACTTTTATTAAATATTATACTAATACTTTTTTTTATACTAATACTCTTTTTTTAGCTTTTATAGACTAACACGTAGACTATTACGCTAATTATAATATAGTATCTTAAAAATTATAAAAAAAAGAGAAAGAGTTATCTATAAACTATAATACTATTAAGAACTAATAAATATATAAAAAGAAATAAGATAAAGAATTCTAAGTACTACTAGATAAGAATACTACTAATAAGTACTACTTAGACTTCTAGAAAGAGAAGTTTATACTAGTAGCCTAATAGAAGATAGATAAGAAGAATAATAAGACTAAGAAAGACTAGCTTATAAAAGAGCTTAAAGTATAGTCTAAGAATATTATTATTAATTATAAGTAAGTACTTATAGGTATTAGTTTATATATTAGACTATATAACTAATATTCTATAGGTTCTCTACTAGTAAGTACTAGACCTAGTAAGTAAAGTCTAGAAATTCTAGTAATAAATATCTATTTTAATAAACCTTCTATATACCTATATAGCGTATATATAATATTAGTATTAACTTTAACTCTTTAAAGGTAGCTATTAATTCTAATACTACTACTTAAACTATTCTATTCTTAAATAATAATAACTAGAATACTATAGATAAGAATAGAGATATTAAGATAAAAGATATAATAGAAAACGTAGAGTTTAATTCTATAGTAATAGCTAAATTCTAGAAGAAGACTACTAAGTTTATACTACTACGTAACTAGCATATTATCTAAACTAAATAAAGAAATATAATTAATAAGATTAGTTAAAAGCTTACTATACTTAATAATTTTAGCTAGAAGATATATATTCTCTATATAGAACTATAAGCTATTTACGTAAGTATAAATATAGCTTTCTAAAAAACTAATACGTTAACTAATATAATATAGACCTACTTTAACTTTATCTATTCTAGCTTTAAAGTACTAGTAGATATATTAAGTAATATTCTTAACTAATAGAATAGAGTAAGTAGTAAGATAGAATATAAATATACTATAGATAAAACTAATAATATAAATAAGGTTAAAATACTTTATTAACTCTATAAACTTACGCCTAAAGATAAAGATAGTTTTAACTTTAATCTAAACTCTAACTTACTACTACTATAGTTCTATATACTATTCTCTAGCGTAGAATAAGTAGTTATAGCTCTAACTTTTTAATATTAGATATAAAAGCTATATATATATATAGTAAAATTAACCTAGTAGAAGAAGATAAAGTACTATCTCTTCTAAAGCTATTTAATAATTACTATCTAACTAATTATAGGTAAGTCTAGTATTAGTCTAAGTATTAGACTATTACTAATACTGTAAATATAGTATTACTAAAGAGTTCTTACTAGAAGAACTTAATAATAATAATACTAAGTATATACTAGAGTAAATATTAGAGGTTAAGGTAGTTATACTTCTATATATAGAGTAATAAATTCTACTAAAAGATATTAGAAGGCTAATAGTAATACGTCTAGATATAGAGAAAGACTAGAGATTATAAGAGTAAAATCTAGACTACTAAGGTATTAGATAGTATATTAGACTAGACTACTAAGATAGTTATACTCTATATATAGAGTAATAGATTCTGCTAAGAGATATTAGAAGGTTAGAGATTATAAGAGTAAAATCTAGACTAATAAGATATTAGGTAGTATATTAGGCTAGACTACTACCTAAATTAAATATCTATAGTCTAAACCTATTACCTACTCTACTACTATACATCTACCTTAATATTTTTAGAACGACAATCTTGACAAGGATTGGCTGCCGTTCGTGTGAACGGGGCAAACTCGGCCGGATACGAAGCGCTATTCCACAGCAGCCTGCATGGGGGACAAGGTTGGGAGCCCACTTCCGCGCACATTTCTAGTTCCGGCCAGGACCGCCTTGGCACAATGCGGGTCATGCATCAACCTAGCTGCAGGTTTATTGGCGGAGTTTCGGCCAAATTGGGTGTTACGAGCAGAGAGCACACTCCGTGCTCGTTTCTTTTTTCGGGGGTGCATTCGCCGACAAATTCTCATATATAGAAACGAAGTCTTGAACACAGTCGATAGGAAGCCGCCTTGAGAATATTCGGAGACTTCAAACGCCATGTGAGTCCACAAACTCGGAGATCAAGACAGGCAGAACTAATGATTGTGGTCCTACAGTATTCCCCAAGCTTCCGACTGCTCTTGATCTAAACCTGGTTTCTGTCTCACCCTGCGTTCTCCAAGATGGCCACTTCTCCTTGTTACCATTGCCGCACGGAAATCTCGCACACCTGGAAAGGCAAATGTCCTACCTGTAATGCACAGCCCTTTTCTGTATGCTCTTACACAAGCTGCGGACCGACTGCCGAGAAGCATACACCACAGTAAACGAGAAAGCTGTGCCTCGCAGCTTGATGGAACGGTATGTGAATGGAATCATCTATACAGCTACCTTTGTTGGCGGTTAAAGATTGTTTTTCGAGCAAAGCTTGCGTAAACGTGTGGAGAAAGGGTCTTTGGCGACGGAGGTTATTTGAACAGGATGGAGACCTTCGTTTACATAGAGCTGTATTGAAACGTCACGGATGTCGTTAGTGAATCAAAACGCCATGCGTTCATACACCGACTACCCGTTACTGCTCTTGTCCGAGGCCGTTCTTTGTAATTCGCTAATTCCGGACGAAACTTCGGCATTAGTTATGAGTTAACTGGTGAGGGCTGACTCATCATAGCGCACGGACAAGCTTAGGCTGGGCCATAAAAACCCTTCCCAACGCACCCGAATCCTGGCAGGACCTGGATGGTCTTACGTTACAACCTCACGCACGAGAACCGAAAGAAACATGGAGGCAAAAGAAGACGCAAATAGCGTCCGACAAGAGATTAAGAGCTGGAAGACTTGGGAACGCTGCGTGATTGTTGAGGAAGATAGGGTCATCAAAAGAGAGCTAGGTGAGGGGGAGCTTATACGTCGCGCAAGTAACGACGTTCTCCGACCTTTTTGGGCCAAGGAACGGCTCCGAAACGAGGCCGCAACGATTGAATATGTCGCCTCAAAAACGGCAATTCCTGTGCCAAAATGTCGACTGTACACCAAGGATGGACTCCTTCACCTCGAGACGGAGCGAATCACGAACGGGACGCTTCTCGAGGATATAGAAGAAGGGTCTCGGCTAGCCGCGATTACTGCCGTCGATGAGCAAATGAAATCTATCGTGCTGCCACAGCTTCGCTCTCTTCGTCGAGATTACATTGGAAGCATCGACACCAGCCTTCCAGTATTTCCACCACAGCGAGTATACAATCGTGACCGACGGTCTTGGAAGCGAATATCGGCGAAGACTGAATGCTTCGTGCTTTGCCATAACGATCTCGGCCCACAGAACGTCTTCATCCGCCCGGATACATTTGAGATTGTCGGTATCATAGACTGGGAATTCGCAGGGTTTTTCCCGCCATATTTCGAGCTTCCATTGTGGAGAGCGTTTAACTGGACCGAAGAACAGGGTATATATGACGAGGCTAGTTTACGCGAACTGGGCTTTTTTGGGCTCAAACCGGAGGATTTAAAAGACTGCATTCCACCACCGTGATCGCACGTCATCCGCCTGCCCCGACCCCGCTTGGTCCAGGGCCATTGTTCCTTGTTGTCGTCCCACCGCGGCGAGCGACGATTCATATTTGTATGCGTAGAGTGTGGCAAAAATAGACTGTGGGCGGGGTTTCGGCGCATGCGAGGCGGGCGTGGTGAGATTGCTTGGCCGGCGAGCTATCCGTGGATGGTGGCGAGTTAAACCTGGGCGGAGGAGTTTTGCGGACACCAGAGGCAGACGGGGCGCCCGCATGCGGAGGGTGGAGGAATGGCCGAGGACGATTTCGTTGGTATATATCAATTTTTGACCCTATCCAAGGGATGAACAGTCAACAATACTTCTTGCTGAATACGTACTGAAGCGGCAATCTCGTGTGTGGATGAATGTGTGTGAGTGTAGAAATGTTCATGTTCGAATTGGGCGGCTTCCATTGTAAGATGAGGAAGGAGGTGGAAATATGGATCGGGACAGTACCTGTATTATTCCCACGTTCTCGCACAGGGCCTGGAGATCCTCGACGAGCACATATATCCTCTAGCAGGTCGCCTCTCACCACATCCACGTCGGCGTATGTGGCCGGCTTATTCAACGGCTGCAGGTCGTTGTGGGCCAGACTTGTTGCCCGCTTCGACTTGGACTTGCCGGATTGTGCGGAGGAGTGATGAGCGAGCGCTGCCTAGAAGACGCGTTTGGGAGAATGCAACTGTTCACAATCTGATGCAGACAGTGGCACAGTCTAGTCTCTTGTCCTCTCATATATGAGAAGTCCACGAAGCATCATCCTTGCCGTAGTGTCCGCCAAGAATGACTTCAACAACCAGTCAATCACCAGATACTCCCGTGAGATCGATCCGAAGGGCGTGCGTACTCTTGGGTTGATCAACAAGCCGGATACGCTGGATGAAGGCTCTGATAGCGAACGTTTCTATATCGAACTTGCGCAGAACAAGGACGTCATATTTCGACTTGGATGGCACGTTCTCCGCAATCGGGATTATTCTACGAGACACTCCTCTTTGCAGGAGCTCAACCGTGCTGAAGAGCAATTCTTCTCTTCTGGTGTCTGGAGATCCTTTCATCCCACCCAGGTTGAGGTTCCAGTCTGAAGCCTAGACTCAGCAAGATTCTCAAGGATCAAATCCTAGCGCAACTACCTGATGTCCTCACTCAGATTCAAGATGGAATTCATGACTGTACGAACAAATTGAATGTCTTAGGTGCATCACCAGGCCCGCAACTGCACGGCTTTCAGACAGCGGGTCGAACCAGTCGCCTCCACCTTTTCGTCTAACTGCAAGCGATTTTGGGAGTCGACGAAGTGCACATACGAACGACAGGGTGGACTCTGCGATAGGTCTCGAAGGAGGGATGGGAGGGGCTACTGAAGGACCGAGGACACTTATCCATCAGGTTCCAGAGCTCGGTACTGTTGAAGAGCAGCAAGATGGTACCGTGCAGAGCCCGCAAGAGGCGGAGGTGCGTGCGGCGCTCGTTTTCGAGATCTCTGTGAGCGCAGCGTGCCCCTTCGTTTGGGTCTCGAGAAGGATGTGGCGGGAGAAGGGACAGGATCGAGGTTGGGTCTGCTCACTAGGAGGGGAGTTTCGCTGCCAGGCTTCTAGGCGATCGGGGGCATTCATCTACCAATCATGTCAGCTTATGCAAATCTCGCTTCCATGGTTACGTAAGGTAACCAACCTCGAATTTGCATCACCACCAGCCATCTCCTGCCCACCACAGCTCGCGCCGAAGCTTCTGGACATAGTCGCTACACAAGGCAGATACCTCTTGCCACCCATCTCAACGCTCACTTTGCGCGGCCGCCCTTACCCACACTCTACGCCTGCTGGAGCGGCAGCTCGAGTCGTCAGAAGTCCTCCGCAACCCACATGCCCGGTGTCTCTCAACTCCGGCAGCATCCGGTGCCTCCCCGACGTCCAACTACACTATCATTTGCAGATGGCTCACCGACCCAGCCAGCCTCTGCCACCCACGTCCGTCCCAAAACAGCGCTCGTAGTCTACACCCGCTGGCACCACCCAAGCGACGTTGACGGCTTTTAATGTACACATACGAGCATGAACCATCGGTCCCCACGGCGGAAGGAGAGCAAAGAATAATAGGCACCAGACCTTCCGCCGGATGATACAGTATGGCATGGGAAGACGACGCCGGGTGGGTTTGAGCGGACGCGGTCGCTCAGCTCTCCGCCACAGATTTTGCTCGCTGCGGGACAGAAGCAAGCTCTCTAAGTACGTTACCAAGCTCAGCCGCATTCCCAAGTTCCAGCGTAACAGGACAGAACCCGATGTTCTATTCGAGGCGGCATTCGACCAAGAGAGAGGGTTGACATGCGACTTGCGCACTGCCCAGGAGGCTCGGCAGCTGTGCGAGAGCGAAGAGGTGATGGTACACTACAGGATGATTACATGGAGGATTAGTTTGCTGCTAATGAACAGCTTCCCCTGCCTCGTCATCTGCGACTATGCCGACTCTCACCAAGAACAGGAGTGGCAGCCGTACGCAGCGGCATGGCGAATGCACGCACGGTGGAGGAGGCTGTTTAGAGGCGCCATACGTGCTGCGGAAGGTAAAAAAGATCTGGTTGAACGCGTGAGTGTGCCAGTCGATGGGCTCTCGATGAGAACACGTGGTGCATGGACACCATCCGGCCGCTGGTGAAGCTCGCGATGAGGCTTGAAGGGGGGACAAGTTCTGGCTCCAAAGCGGGTAGGTAACCATCCGCCTCGTAGTGGCAGTTCTCACCTTGCTGTCTATCGTGGCGTATCTACCCTGGTACTCAAGCAGCGGCGCTGTAGAATGGACTCCTTCAATAAAAGGGGCTTGGCCGGCGAATGAAGAGAGCAACAATGAGTTGAGGAGTAGCTTGGGGAAGAAGATGAAGGACTCGCTTTTATCGCAGACTTTATACGTACTTTCCTACGCCCGTTGACCACCGCCATGCCTTCCCGAGTCCTCGATCTGCGCTCCTGGGTACGCTCGCGCGCAGCTGCAGGAGCAACAACGGCATCCCCACATTGCAGACGCTTCACTGTCAATAGCAATGCATGTTGCAAGGGTTGAAGCAGGTGCATAAAGCGAGCTCTTCTCGCGTCGCTGAATCAATCCGTGTTACGAAAAGTTCTGCGGACCTGCATAAACTGGCCTCCTGCACAGCTGCAGAACTCAATTCTATCATTGTTCTGCTATGAGGTCAAACCGCGGATTGTTCGTCATGTTCACAGCTTAACACGTAATCAACTTGGGTTTGGATCCTGCACGGCCGGATATAGATTCACCTTAAACCCCCTGCACTTGAGTATGACCGCGTCATGCACGACTTGGGCGCTGCTTTCCTTTATGCAGGCCGACCGAACTTTCAAAACAGCTCAAGACGCAACTTACCTTTTCCAATCGGTCTTCCTTTGTCCCTTTAATGACCCTCAAAAACATGCCGTCATATACCCTGATTCGATCGATGACGCCAATTTGACATACCGCTACATATCTGTTGAGCTAATAGAATACTTCATTAGAGTAGAAGAGTCCAAGAGTCAACAGATGTTCTGTCTGACAAGGTTCATATGCGCAAAGAGTTTCCGCCAATCATTGGTGACATCGAGCGTTTTGTTCATCTAGTTCTATTCTTTAATGCTCCCCAAGTTGCGTCTAGTTCCGCGGTCTGACCGCAGGTAACTTTTGGCAGCACCACCGCCAACTAGGCCAGGCCCTTGTTCTTAGGGAAATGGAATTGTAACAAGGTGTCAAATTGCGGCCATCGTTCGCTCGGTAGGATATGGGTCCTTGAGTCAATGTGAAGTGGGTATCATATGATTCAGGAGAGATATCCGCATAGCCCATCTTTAGTATTGGATATCTGTGCCATGAAGCTGACGCTCCTCTGCTGCTTTAAGAATGAGGGCCACTTCTGTGAAGTTACATGTCTCGGCCCAATATCGTGGTGTTTTGCCTTTGGTATCCAACTTCAGAGGGTCGGCGCCTGCCTCCAACAGGTACTTAACGATGTCTACTTTCCCAAACTCCGCAGCCCGATGGAGTGGGGTGCCAAGGCCAAACCATTTTCGCGCCGACCATCCTTCTGGGTCATTTTCATACTTGATCTCATTAATGGGTACACCTAGCTCTACAATTCGACGGACCAGCTGTAGAGCATCAACGTTGTCCCTGATAACAGCCCAATGAAGGAGTTGTCCACAATGCTGGTTTGCCCCCTGGGAGAACAAATAGTTGATAAGATCCAGCGGTGCTGCCAACATAGCTTGAGACATAGGTGTCAAATCCCAGTCGCAGCGGCTGTTAGGATCAGCACCGTGGGCGAGAAGCCACTCAACCATCTCCCAGTCAGATTGACATATAGGAATGCTAGAGGTCTGTAAGCAAAGATCGTATTCAGGGCTTGGAAGAGTACCTCAACGTAGAAGGCTCACCTGGGCCCATTGGTGTGTTTATATTCCATCCAAGCCCAAGGAAGAGATCCATAACCCTAAATGCTCGTGCACGTACCGCGGCTTCAAACGGAAGATTTGATTCTTCCGCGACTTTCTCGTCGAGCAGGAGTTGCACCAGTTCGAGGTTCTGCCTTTTAACGGCGATAAAAAGCGATTCGGACAGCCAGGTGGGATGAGGCTTGTTTCGCTCAGACGTTGACCACCGAGGTTCATGCAGGAGACTCTGGACCTGTTTCTTGACACCATCGATATCCTCTTGACAAGCGGCCTGGTAGCATAGCTCGACTTCTTCGGGCCTTTCATAGAGGGAGAGGTCGGTGATCTTCGGCGGAGGTAAAGACATTGTCCCGAGTGGATGCGTCTTAGCAGGAGATTGCCGTGAGGTAAAGAGATCGAGCACCCGCGGGGTAAAGTCTTGGCGTAGCCGGCATCAAGATGCGTGAGCTGAGCGAGGTGCATAGACGCGGGGTGACCCATAGACCCGTGCGAGCGATGAAACGAGCCAATGCTGGTGGCGATAGGTTCTCGTCGCAGGTTCCAGGTGACTCATCTACTGCCAAGAACAAGATGCACCGAATCGACGCGACTCTAACCTCTCAGCTACGCACTACATAGACGCCGCTTTCTGCCTCCCGTACGTATGTATCGCAAAACACCTACCGGTTTCAAAACTGACGCTCCTAGGACCCTGAACCTACACGTCGCTTCGATTACGCAATGAGCTCTAGCCGTTCGGTTCGGAGCCGACAGCGAGGTTCCGCAACTTCTTCGAGCACCGGACCCACTATGAATACGACAAGAATAACGAGCACAGGGGTCTATAACCGTGATTTTAAACAACACCTCGTTGACAATGGCGTCTATCCCCAGATAGACACTTGGATAGCAGTGTACCAGCGAAGCCGGAGGAGGGGAGTTTCGCAGCCACGCTTCTAGACGATTACGGGAGCATGCAAATCTCGCTTCCAATGATTACGTAAGGTAACCGACCTCGAGAAGCTTTTGCAGTGCCTTCGCCCGCGATTTGCGTCACCATCAGCTATCTCGACCTTATACCCACCACAGCTCGCGCCGAAGCTCCCGGACATAGTCGCCACGCTGGGCAGATACCTCTTGCCACCCATCTCAACGCCCACCTTCGCGGCCGCCCTCACCCACGCTCTACGCCGGCTAGAGCGGGAGCGGCAGCTGCAGCGCAGGGAAAGCCTCTACGGCCCACACGTCGACGCCAGCCGCTTAGACAATATCTTCCGTTCTCCAACAGTTTGCGGAGCCGGCGCTACCCCTGGTCTCGTTATTCGTCGTCGATCTTGCCACGGATCGCTGATATAAGATTATAGAGGTAGCCCTACGCTCAAGGTTCGCTATAAAGCCTCGAGCCTCGAGCCTCTAGTGCCATACTTGCGCAATACTTCCACCGTCATCTTAGACCCTGTTTGGGTGATCCATCACGCCACTATGGCAACAAAGTCGTACTCGAATATCAACTCAGTCTACACAATCTCCCCCCACACCTTCGAGAAACGCTCCCGTACCCTTGCTGAATACCTTAGCGAACCCCGCGGCCAGATATTTTTCGATGCACGACCTTGGAAAACAGAGCGTATCACCAACGAGGCTAAAGCGCTACAACTACTCGCTGAACGAACAACAATTCCAATTCCCCAGCTTATCCGGTATGGCCAGAACAATGATGGATCTATGTTTCTGGAAATGAGCCGAGTGGACGGCGTTGATCTACTTTCAGTGGCCTCGGAATGCCGGAAGCCTGGTGGTGTGAGGCACAACAACGGCGGCGAATGCAACAAATGCCTGGAAATTGCGCAAGCAAATGCTATGCACTTTATCAAGACCGTTCTTCTCCCTGAGCTCGCAAAGCTACGTTCCAACGAAACTGGGCTGGATGGGTTTGTGATACCGCCGCCGTGGGTGGTGGAATCTGTCGACACACGACCGCACTGGGAGGTGAAAACATCTCTAGATGAAGAGTTCGTGTTTACCCATGGCGACTTAAACCCCGGTAGTCTGATAATGGACCCGGATACGCTAACGGTGAAGTCTGTGGTTGATTGGGAGCATTCGGGATATTTCCCCCCGGGATTTCAGAAATGGTCGCTCGATATGGATGCTTATTATGCTCTGTTTGAGGACCAGCAAGCAATTCTCGAGCTCATTAGGAGTATCGAACCTTGAATTATGCTCGCTGGAAGGAGTAAAATTAGACTTGCTTCTATTTAGATCGGCACAATTCTCTTTTCAACATTTTTTGCTAGCATCATGACGAGAATCGGTCGTGCTTGTGTATTAAGTAGAGAGAACTCAAAACATGCGTGTCTAACGAAAGACGAAGACTGCCGCTTCTGTAGTCGTTAAAACTCGCTCTCAGCTTCACCTAGCGGCTCACAAGCGCCCCTTCCTCCTAAGAGACGAAAAGGCTCGAGGAGATTTAAATTCACACCAGTCCGATGCCCGATGCCCGATGCCCGATGCCCGAGGCGCTTAAGCTGCCCTGCTCATTACACCTTTTCCCGAGATACCACGTATTGACGCCGTTATTCTTGCCAGTTTCGAGGAGATGTCAATTTGGCAAGTATATAACTGTCCACTTCTGTTCTTTTCCTTTCCGTAGCTTAACCTCTTCAATACAAACTGCCGTTTTGACATCAACCATGTCAGGCTCGTGACACACCAGGTTCGTCCGCTCGTCCGTACGCAAAGTCTTCGCGCCACTTTCGTTTCAATTCAAAGCTATCGGTGTTCTTCTAAGGCGTCTTGTTACCCTGTCAATGACCGAAGAGCACGAGAGGCAACTAATAGAACTCTACCTCATTTCCCTATATAACAACGCCTGCTGGACGTGCACGTCGTGGTGGGCAACATGAGAGTCGTAGCGGGCAACGTGAGTGGGCGCTGGGTAAGTATAAAAGGGGGCACGTTGCAAGATCAGGGTGACAGAACAGAAGCAACCCGGGTGAGCGAGCGTCGCCAGATCAAAGTGACATAACAGAAGCAATCCGGGTGATAGAAAGAGCCAGGCAGGCGTCAGTGGACAGCAGACATGCATACACGCAGCGGACGGGCAGCCAGCAATGAGCAGGAAGAGCAGGTGGCCACGGCAGCGAAGGGGCCGGAGGCGACGATGAACGGTCAGGACGCGTCACGGGGCCGAACAGAATATATTCCAACTCTAGCTACGATGTAAATGAGTGTAATGTAGGAAAATAGAGGATTGGTCGGTCTAAACCCCTTCCGATCCAACGAGTTCACAATTTAGTCCAGCCCCATCCTAATCTCTTCTCCATTCTTAAAGCTTCCTGGAAAGCCGCTAGGTAGGTTTGTGAGAGCCCAAAGTCGAACTGCAGCCCGCGGTATTGCAAGCCTGAAATGGTCTGATGTCCTTGCCGGCCTCATGAGAGCAGGCTTGACATTTGTACGTGCTGAGGCTGAGTGTCGTCTTGCAGTGCCAGCATTGGCCCTAAGCAGGCATCGTGGCTATTAGTGGATATAATGTTAGCTATGATTTGGCTGTGGCAGTTTGGAGTTAAGGACTTGCCAGTAGTGAATGAATGTTTCTGGACTGGATTTGGGCTCGTGAATAATAGTCTGGTTGTTGCCTCCGCAGCGTTGGTCTCCAGGTACTGTTCGTAGATCTCGTCCTCGTTACATTCTGTCGAGCTCCCTGGCTCGAAACCGTTGTTGTAGGGATCGAACCCCCATTGCGCGAAAGCTGTGTTCGTTGATATATTTACCGAATGGGAGCCTTCGATGCCAGGGGCAGCAGACAAGCCCGGGCTGTTACATGGGGTTGGAGCAGTATTGATCTGTCCTTTCCGTCCACCCTGACTGCTTCGTGCAGTGAAGTGTACGCGAGAGATCGAGAGGGATGTCGATGGCTATCTCGGTGTCGTGGACGGGAGAGAGCAGTGGGATTGAATAAGGATGAGGGGCTAGAACGAAGAGTATAATATACCTCGGTGGTCTTGTTTCAAGTCTGGCCAGGAGGGGCTTCCCCAGTTCGTACTAGGCGTCTGGCCTGTGGATCGTGGGACCTCATCATCCCACTGACTTACGCGCTCACTCGCCATCCTCATCCGACCTACTTGTTCCACTTCCACCGTAAGTCAGTGAGTGGGGTAAGGTCAGCGGATTCCATATCATCCTCGAGACGTTACATCTTAAGTGAGACCACGACATGATAGATGAACACGACAACAGTCATCTCATCTCCACAAGTCCACCCTGGCATGCCCCGGTCAGAAAGATGATCCAATCACACTATATAGGTATCGGTATCTATACAAGCTCTACAGGGGAATGCTCCTGCCCCAGGTTTCCCCACAAAGCCTACCCACCCCTTACTCACTTGCGTATGCGTAGTCCCCTCTCTCGGGTCCGAGGAACCCTAGCCACCTCCGTGTCAGCGGCCTGCTCATTGGCGATAGTTGCCTGTCCCAGTATGCGTGAACGCTTCAAGGGCGATGGAGCGTCGATTCCATCTGTCTTGTTGTCCGCGTTCTCCTCCTCCTCCTCGTCGTCGTGTCTACCCTTGCGCTTCCTCCGCAGTTGTCGTGTGTTGACACCGCTCTCTGTGGGCCCCGTTTCCCGAGCGTTCTCCATCTCTGAGTTCTTCCGTATGTTGTGGCGCTCGATCGTAGGACACTTCTTCTTCTTCCCCGCAAGCGACAGCTCCTCCAAGATCCACCTTGACCTCAGCTGATGGCGACGAACAAGGGCTTGACGCCTGAGGTACGGTGCCGAGTCCTTGCTGATAAACTTCATTCTTCTCCGCTTGGTCAGTTCTTCCTTAGCTGCCTTGAGTTGCTGCTGAGGTGTCGTTGTGTCGCCGCTCTTCATCAACGGGGCTGGTTGCTGCTCCTTCTCAAGCTGCAACAGCTCCTCCATCGCCTGTCGATATCGTGGTTCAGCCTTCTCCATGTCCGCCGTGTCATTGTCCTCCTGCCAGCAGACAAAGTTGAGGTACCCACCAGCGTCGTCCACTCGTCCTGCTGCCGGGGGTCTTGCAGCAACTGGAAGCGTTGGCTGCTGTTGCTGTTGCTGTTGCTGTTGCTGTTGCTGTTGCTGTTGAAACCATGGGACGCGAGGTGTGTCTCGACGGCGCGCGCGTAGGTCTTGAATCCCCTTCCATTCGAGGCCTCGAGCCCTACTTGCTCAAGGTCCCACTTCCGTCTGGCCATTCCCTCGAAGGAGGCCGTTTGCTCAACCCACTTGTACTCTCCCACGGCAAGATACTTCTGCTTCATCGACTCGAGGAACTCGGCGAAGCCCTTCTTCCCTGCGGCCTTGCCGCGATTGCACCACTGCCACCGCTGCTTGAACGAGGTCCAGTGGTCCAGCTGCGAAGTGAACAGGGGCGGGATGTAGCTCTCTGGAGCGTCCTTGGGCAGGTCCACAAAGCATGCGGCCCTTTGCAAACTCTCCTCCGTCATCTCTCCGATCGGGCGAAGCTCTGTCTTCGGCAAGGCTGGCCGCCCGCCCGCCCGATCGAGCTTGTCGCAAGCGAGAGCTTCCTGGTGCGCAGCATCTTCTTCTGTGGGTGGCGGCGGTGGTGGACTCGCCGTCCGTGTTCCATCTCGGCTTTGGCGAGGACGTGAAGATGCGGCCTGATCCTCGGCTTGAGTGTCTTGTTGCTGGGATATCTGAAGAGAGTCGAGCAGCTGGCGTAGCATGTCTGCGTCGAGAGGGTTTAGGTTCTTGGCGGCATTCCTGGCAGGTAAGGGAAACACTAATTAGCAAGCTGATACCGAGACAATGAGACCCATTCATGGGCAGGCACTCACTCATGAAGTCCACGAACGCATCATCGTTGGACGCGAGCAGCTCGCGGGCTGTGATGGCTGCCTCGGCCTTGGGCGGCATGGCGCATCAATGGGAAATCGGGATGGAAGATTGGTTCGTCGCGCATGCAGCGTGCTGGCGGGGATGCGAATGCCAACTTGACGCAATGAGAGCGTGAGGCGAGAGTTGGACGAGCATGAGCTTCTTATGTGTCGGGGTGCGGGTAAGAGAAGAGGGCGGGTTAGGCGCTGACCGGGGGCTGAGTCACACTCGCTAAATTTAAGGTTCCAGCAGACATTACTTCTCTTGCTTTCAGACGGCTCTACGCTTCCGTCCTCGCATACCATCGCTCCTTCGATCGTCGGACACGCCTTTCTAAATCAACACTTGACCCCCGCTACGGTCAATCAAGCTGTCAGTCTACTGTATCACTTGTCTCCACAATAATCTTACAGTCGCATAGGTGCACCACTCGAGTGCAGACTATTATAACAATTATTAATGGCGTGCCAACTAGTAGACGTGTGGGAGGTTGGGCAAGACGATTGTGGCAGGTTAACTTGCTCGCGATCCCTAACACGTCAGGCGGCGGCGCATCTGGAGGAACATCTGAAGCAACATCTGGAGGAACATCTGGCGGAACATCTGGCGGAACATAAGGTGGCATATAGGATTGAGGTCTGAGTGGACAGCGGACGCATTTGGTGTAACTATAGAGGTTCTTACAGCTCGGAGTCAGAGCCCGCATTGAAACGATAATCCACAAATGCTAGCTAGAACCCTGTCACATAGCCGACTCAAAGGTTCCTTCCCTCAGCCATGTCCGAATTCTATCCAAAGCAACCTCATCATTCCGTAGCGCGGAAGTAGTACAGCAATCCACATCCACCCATCCAGGCGTGCCTGCTGAGACTAGAGCTTTCCCGAAAGGCTGGCAGGAACCGAAGTCAATGATGATAGGTTCTCCTTGGTTGAGCATAATGTTTGAAGGATTCAGGTCATTGTGCGCCAGCCCAAGTGAATGAATATGCTCAACAGCAGACTTAATTTTCTTGATGCACAAGTCCTTGTCGAACATCCCAGCATCATCTGGGCTGAGATTCTCCGTATCACCGGTAAATCGCTGCTGCAGGGTAACCGGATGACGATCCAGGACGATGCCAACGATACGATCTCGTTCCACAATACAACCATGATACCGAATGATATTGGGATGCTGCTTGTGATGAGCAAGCCGTTCCAATGTCTCAGCTTCATGCAAGAGTAGCTCTGAAGCTATGCCTGTTCCCTCCAATTCGTCGTATCTGCTCAGCTTAGGGCCTTTGACGAAAAGTCCGCTGCTGCTATCTGTTGCGATTGAAGCAACCGTAATATGGGCCGGTGCTCTGGGGTATATGTCGTCGTCCGGGACACGTTTCAAGCAGTCGTTGACCATCTTCGTGGTCAGCTCCCACTTCCCAACAGCGGCCTGGCCAAAGTAGGCACAGTAATCGTTGGTGACAAAGCCGAAAGTGGTGCGCGAAGGCTTTTGTTGACCGTCATCCTGTATAGGGGACCACTCGGTGAGCGGGCGAAGCTCTCGGACGGATGCCACTAGTTGCATCTTATGCTTCATGTCTCGTAGATGATTCCACAGGTGGTGGAAGATTGGAGATGGTTCGTTACGACTTGAGCGGATCGATCGGGGAGGCCTTCGGGGGAGGGTGCGGGTATTGTCATTAATGGCGAGGTTGACGGTGTAGAGGGGGCTGACGGAAACAGCCGGCCCGCGGTCTTGGCAACGCACTACGCCGGTCGGGCGAACTACTGCCGGCAATCTTAGCACCATGAGCGGACACTTCAAAGGCACACCCGAAGTCGGGACCACCTTTCAGGAAATAGGACCACTGAGTAGAATGTAAACAGCTGACCGGACCCTGTCCGTACGCTACGCTACATATCCCAAAATGAGATGGGTGGGGTAAATGACTAATCAAATCAAGTCAAAACCCTGAAACGGTCGAACCCCGGAAACAGCAGCCATCAGAGCGCCTTGAAAACGGGAGCCTGTCACAGTAGTGTTCGCTGGCTGGCGGGCGTCGCAAATGAAGTGCGAGCGTTGTTTTGCTCGCTATTTGAGCGGACTTCAGCCTCTCTTATTCCTCAGTCGTCACTCCCTCCTCTTTCACATCACGTCATTTCGTGAGAGGCAACCACCAAGACCGAGAGCAACATGCCTCAGCAACAACCGAAGCCACAGACCAGGAGGACCTTTACCCAAAGGACCTTCACCAAAGCAATCGCTGCGAGACCATTCTACAATATCTACGGCGTCGACACCAGCAAGAAATGGGCCTCCCAACGCATCATCAATGAAGCCACGGCCCTTGACTTCATCCGGAACAACACCACCATCCCAGTGCCCCGCATCCTCGAGACCGGAGAAAGCGCTGATGGCACCTATCTCACGGTGGAGCGCGCTCCTGGCATTCAGCTCGACCTAGTCGGGGCCCAGTGCCATCGCCTACATTCACGCACCTACGGCCCGCACGAACATCAGAGCGAGAAATGCGAGGCCTGTCAAAACATCGCCAACAGCGTTGCCGCTACCTTCATCGAGAACACGATGCTTCCGCAGCTTGCCGCCCTGAGGTCCGACGTCTCCGGCCTCAACGGCGTCGTCATTCCGCCGCCCTGGGTGACCGAGGTCGATCGGAGGCCGGAGTGGAAAACCAAGGTCTCAAAGCGCCAGGACTTTGTTTTCTCCCACGGCGACCTGGGTCCGCAGAACCTCCTCTTTGACCCGGCGGCGATGAAGATTAGTTCCGTGGTTGATTGGGAGAATGCCGGGTTTGAACCCGCGGAATTTCTCGACCTCTGGGCTGTGGATACGAACAGCTACTATGACATTTATAGGAACAAGGACTTGCTTGCCAGGCTGATTGCCCTCCTGGAATAGGAAGGATCCCACGCGGAAGAGACAGGGCTGCGACTTTAGAAGGGTTTCTCATATCCATGTCTATTCGTCGTTATTTCTTCCTCTTGTGATTGCTTGACTCAGTCCGGGTCGTTGTGTCGGGGGTGATTTGCGGCACGCTTGGCTGGCTGTCTGGTATAACTCGTTCACCGACTAGGCTGTAGTCTTCAAGTCGCTGGGACAGCCCTGAGTGTGAAGAAGCTCGTTCCTGGTCTAAAAACAGAGGTTCGGACTGATCAGAGAATTCAAAATTCAAGCCAGCGGGTAACTTGTCGATAACGGAGCAGATTCTTTGAAAGTGCTCAGGAAGCCACAAATCGTAGACGTTCCGGACAAAGGTGTATGCTTTCCACCTTTGATCTCCCTCCTCCGTTGGCGAGATATCAAACTTGGTGATTGGATGTCGGTAGAACATGTAATCTCTCCCATTAATAACAGCATAATGGCCCCATATTCTCACGTACTCATCGCTATGAGAAATTGAAAAGCCGCTGATTTCTCGATGAAGCTGCTGATGTTCGTACTCGCTTTTGAAACGGCTCGGGCGAAGTGCGGGAGGGTGGAACTTGGGTCTTCTTCTCGAGGTCGCTTCAGCGTTTTCGCCTGCTGAACCGAGGCGGGCGTTGTCTGGATAGGATTGGCGGTTCGGAGGCGTAGGCTTCTGCGTCTTTGTTGTGACGAGTTTTCTTTGCCAGCTGGTTTCTGGATCTGTTGAGAATTTGATGTTAGGTCGCCGACAACGATGGGTATTGGCGCATACATGCCTGTTTAATAATTGCCCGAGATCCAGACCTCTTCTCAACCCTCAATGTGCTTGCGATGCGCGGACTTCGTCGTAACCTGGTGGCTTTGCTGTCCCGATGCGCTTGTGCTTGACGGTCAGGACGGTTACAGTGTAGCGGGTGTTGCGACGACATACCGTTCTTACCCTGGGTTTGCATACGCCGTATCCGTTGCGCGGCTATAGGTGAACCACCGGCCATATCGATTAGAACCGTAAGGTCGAAGCGCTTATATATGTAGCCGTCGAGAGTTTGAAGTGGAGGGTTGCCTAGCTTGGATGCGAGCCCGCAGGAAGCTAACGGAAACGCCAAGGCATCGGAAGAGCCGTGCGTGGCACTAGACCGAATACGCTCTTCAAACGACGCCACTCCGAGACGTTCATCAGCACAGCTTTGAGGCAACAATTTCAGGATTTCCGTCGTATCTCCAGCGCTAGTATGTTGTACCTGACGGATACATCCTAATGGCATCTGGCTATACTTGATTTATTCAGACCTGATGCGCGGTACAAGATTCGCACTAATTCGGCTAGCGTGCAGGATGCATGGGCATCCATCCTAGGGCGTGATGATTTCGCAATATCGGCCACTACTTAGACTCCGTAGCCGCTACAAGTATGTCTGCGTCTTGGTAAGGCACATGAGTTGCAGGGTGGGAAGGAGATGCAAACTTTACTGCTGCTCAACGGGCGGATCGAGATAAGTACTTGGCACTCCTTTGATATGGATGAGCTACAGACGAGCTACATACGACTACGACGACCTCGATGCTGCAGAATATTCTAACCAATGCCGCATGCCCGCAATCCAGTATTGGGCATCTCTTGGTTTTGCCAGCTCCTCTAGAGACGCCGCCTCCTTCAGAGACGCGTCCACCAACCACGTCTGGCCCAAACGCCTTAAAGTGTCGCAAATGGACAGTACAATTATTCGAGTCGAACGGCCATTGGTCATATGAAACTTTCCAATTGCTTTCATGGCTCCGCTCCAACAAGACAATGCACCCTCGTAGTCTGACTCGACATGGCGTATCTTTGCCATTGTGATGTGTAAGCGCAGTTCCTCAAAGTCTAAGAGGCTGGGACGGGACTGGACATCTAAGCAAAGCCTTTCTGCCTCTTTGAAACGTTCTTGGGCAAACAGGGCTTCAGCTAGAGACAACTCCAGAAGAGACTGGCCCGGAGAGCAGATACAATTCCGGTCTCGCCGCGTGATTTCTGCTCGAAGGTGGCGTTCGGCGGTGGCTGGGTTATCAAGCTCTCGCAACGTGTCGGCAAGGTCGCAAGTGAGATCACAAAGGTCTTCTTCGGAGGTGAGAACCCTGCGCTCCTCTGCTGTTTTCCGCGACTTCTCGAGATGCGCTAGCGATTCTGCGAATTCGCCTTGGAACCGTAAAAGCCTCCCAAGCATCATATCCTTGCGGAAGAGCACGACTTCCTCCATTGGAGACGGTTGATTAAGGGGACTCCAATTCTCCAGCGATCTCTTGGCACCAGGGATGTCTTCAGCCTGGACACAATTCAAGGAATATTGGATGGTCGCTTGACCTATCGCTGAATGCATCCTCTTGTCCACGGTGCTCGATAGCCTGCCTTGGCTGAGATCGCCAAGACTACTAACAGCTTGGCCCATGTTTCCGGCAATCTGTCCCAGACGACTTTGTGACTGTGCGATGCAAAAGTGAAGGTACGAGTCCTCTAAGTCACGCGCAGCAACTTCCGCTTGACCGATCGCGAAGGGTTTCCATACCATATTGGGAAACCGAGATGCCTCGATGAGTGTGAGTACAAGGTCGGCTCTGGTACTCGCTGGCATATCTTTAAAGCAATCTTGAAATGCCTCGAGAACCTGTTTGAGGTGCGGCAGAAATAATTCAGGGTTGGGGATGCTGTGCGAGTATTAGAATGGAGGATTGCTTCCGTGGACGGCTTGACTTACGCGGGCTCTAAGTATTTCCAAGGGATCGCTCTATACGTGACAATCAAGGCCTGGCATCTCCAAAAAGAAAGCTGCTCTGCAGATAGGTTCTCACGGATGCAACTCGCAACGGTTTCGTTCAAGGTGTAGGCCTTTCCAGAGTCCGAGACGACCGACGACGACGACTCCAGCTCCCAAAAGGCTTTGGCCAGTCTCAATACGTCCGAAAGAAGACTGCCCAATTCCGGAACAAGACCAGCACAAATTGCATCCACCGATTCGATCTCGCCATGTACTGTCCAGCGTTTCCGAGGCGTGGCTCCATAGAACAGAAGATTGAGGGGAATTTTCTCGGATGTCGAGAGGAAAGACAGAACGATCAATAAGATATTGGTACCTTCCGAATGCATACCGCTCGATCCTGGAACGGCTTCCGACACAGCTGTTAGGGACGGAGCCTTCCACGCAGGCTGTGCTTTTGACACGGTATGTAAATCCCAGCATACAAATGCGGCACTGGCCTCGAGGCTGCTTCGGCTGGTCTTACACACCGGCGTGGTAAGAAGGGTGTTTGAATGCGATGTGAACGTGCGCGTCTCGTCGATAAAGGAGCGCTCTGCTGAGAAGAGTTAGTGCAGAAGGAAGACCGAGACTAGGGGCCGTACAGAATATTTGATTTAAGACTTTGTTGACGGAAGGGGTGAACCGTAAAGTCGACTCGTATATGTCCGTATTCGCGTGGAGATTCGCAAGCGCAGATCGATGGTCCGCAGTTACTGCTCTCTCCCAGCTAAAGGCTGGTGAATTAGAAGGCTGGCTAGAGTGCCGGTCAAACTCACGCGGATGCGGATCTCAAAGGGCAGAGGAGCCCAGTAAGCTGCTGCGGGGCGCGATTGACAATAGACGCGAATTGTTCGACAATCGTTATCCACTTCGTCCCGGCGCGGAGGATACCTTTAACCCTTTCCTTAGTGCGTTGAGCAAGAGGCAGCGTATTTTCGATTTCCTGCACCATCGGATCGACAGACGCGCCTTTCTCGTGTAACTTCGCGAACGCGTAGCAGCAGGTTCGCCGAAATAGTTGCTGGAGCTCGATCTTTGGGTCGCTTCGCTCGATAATAAGGAAGAGCTTGACAAAAACGCCGCCACAATCGGTCCCCTGTAGTATGTCAAGCCCGCTCTCTCCGAAGACCGTCACGGCGTTCTTGTAAGAGTACGTCTTTACAAGATCGGCAGCGTTGGGGGACAATGATGGTATAATCTGCAGCGGCTGCTCTCGAGGTTGACTGGGGATCAGGCTTTTGGAAGACGAGTCGGAGAGTGTTCGTGGATGCTTTCGTGACAGAGGCGCCGTATCGGACGCAGCCCTCTTCCCCTTTGCTCGGACCACAGGGTACTCCATGTCTGGTGCGGTACGCGGAGTGGCCTGGAGCAGGGGAGGTGCCGCGGCCCAGGCCCGCTGCAAGGTCTCGGTCTTACAGTAGATAAGTGAGTTCTCTCTAACGAAGTTGAGTTCGCCACCTTACCTCGGTCTCATGATACTGACCCGTCAGAAGTTTGTAGCAAAGGAACGACATTCTGACGCGAGTTGTGGATGAGGGGAACGAACACAAGTCCCCGCAGGGGTTGGCGCGTTGGGCGAGTAAGCCGAGATTTTGCCGCTTTTTAGAGCATACCCAATCCGTGCTAGGCTTGTACGAATTCAGCGTAGCGCAATTACGGACCCACGCCAACTATTTGTTTCGCAACCTAGTAGAGAGTATAACGCATAGACCCCTCTCATGAACGGATGGCTAGTTCGAGTCTGCGCTTCCATACAAATCGCTCTTTATCCATACGTGCGGTGACGTGCGCTAGCACCTGCGTAAGAAGAGAGAGACTGGTGATCGAACATAAGTATCAGCTCATCCCCATCTTATTCGACCAAGTACCTGATTCTCGGATACCAAACCACCTCAGCAAGTTTCACACCTTTTCTACCACATTCTTAGAACATGGCTCATTGCGAGATTACGCTACTCGTCAACGCCTGCGAGTGGATCACGAAGTACCGCAAGGATGGATCGGCATACAGGGCGGAAATATCGGACTGCGGACAGACGAATTGCAAATGGTCGGACAACTATGTTCCACCCCAGCAGTGAAAGTGTAAGCGAGATGCTCGTTCCCCAGTTGACAATGCATTTTCTTACATCCCAAGACGCATTAAGAAGTAGTTTGCAACAGGCAGAGCGAGGCGACTAGGGAAGACTCAACGGGAAAGTGATAGAGCTAGCTACACACCCTTTAATTTCCTTTTATAAGGGCTGCTTGTATCTTGGAGAGACTGTAGAGGTCATTGTTTCGCCTTGCGTAGGCTTCGCCGTCCAGTGTCCACCCGCAAGTTCCTGCCTTCGAACTTAGTTTGTCTCCTTCTCGCTTGCATGAGTCAAAGTCTATAATGACAGGATTGTCTCCATCCATCATGATGTTTGATGGGTTAAGATCGTTATGTACAAGCCCCAAGTCATGCATATGCCGAACACCTGCTTCAATCCCACGCAGACAATGGCTCCTGTGAAAAGGTGACTTATCCTTTAACATCTGCGAGAGAGTTATAGAGTACTTAGCAAAGCAAAGCCCTCTTATTCTACCGTCTTTAACGATGCAGCCCAGGTATTGAGCAATGTTGGGATGTGGGTGTATTCTTAAGACCTCGCATGCTTCCACCTCAGTCAGAATCTGACGACCGTAGTCAGGTTTGTCGGGAGTATTTTCATAATACAGAAGGCTGGGTCGCTTCAGGTAGCAGGTGGAAGGTAGAGGTTCGGGAGCTCGAGTGAATTTGGGATCGGCTAATGGCCAGACATGGTGCGCAGGGATTTGAATTGTATCCAGTCCGTTGATGTCGATTTGAGGGGATCGGAAGATGTACTGGCTAGTCCTCGCGTAGAAGTATTCGTCGTCGGCTCTTCGCAGAATAATTTTCGAGTGGTCAAAAATGTAGTCGTTTTCTTTCTCAATAAAGATTTGGCCTTTTTCGCAAATTTCCATTGCAGTCTAGGTGTTGAACTATTAGTATTAAAGTCATTAAAGCGAGCAAAGAGAGCTACCTCGTGCAGTTGTTTGGGGCGCCGTCACGTCGGGGGTCGATCTGCTATAGCGGTGGGATGTTCTGGAGAGAAGAGCAATATATAAGACCAGGTGGCCATTGCGGAATTATCCGCCCAAGCCACAGCTAGCTGCGCCACCGATATACGAAGGGAGCATCCTTGCTGCGGAAGCGGGAGAAACAGCGAAGAGCGATGACGCGAGGTGCCTGCGTGACGGGCTTCTGTTCGCTCCGCCGGGTGTCAAAGGCTGGTCGAGCCCTTGTTGACTCAACAACAGCGCCACGCAGCGACGAAGGCCAATGACATAATTGTGGCTAGTGATGCACCGAATGCACTGCTGCAGCTTAAATAGGCGCGCTTCGCCCACCTCCCACCGCCCATCGCCCCTCAAAGTTTCGAAGTCTCAAGTCGTGATGAGCTTATTAAAGATGGCGGCCGCCCGGCCTGCTCAACCCAAAAGCTGTCACACATCCTCGCTGAGCCCACGACCAGGTGCACGGCGATTCTTCCATGGCTCAGCGATGACCCAGACACAGAGACTGGGACTGGAGAGATAAAGACAGTTTTTTCAAGACAATTCACGCGGTGGTGGAACTTTCGTAAATCACAATGGAGCAACCGAGGGCTTGACGATAGTGAGGAGGGATTCTCTGCGTTTCTTGAGGCAAACAGGCGCAGATATGAGGAGATGGGTGCACAAGCGATGGTGTCTGCCCCTTCGTTCAACGAGACCATCCGGCGGCAGTGGCAACACATGCCAACATCCAAACAACTACCTGACGGCCAGTCGTTCTCCGCCTACAAAGACGCAGTCCAGACGCGTCTCACACCTCACCACTTCACTCGACGTCTTCAGTTGAAAAAGAATCCACACCAACAGGATGTGTGGACCAACTGGCTTGAGTATCTCAATTTTGAGAAATGGTGTTTGGAGCCGTTGACTGCCACTGCAGAATCTCTGGAGCAGCAATTCCTGGAATCCTGGAAGCTGCTCAGCGCAAGAGATCCGGATAGCAACATCGCTTCAAGCAGGCCAGTGGTTTCAAGTTCCACACAGCCTCGAAGGCGTCCGGGTGCGAAAACTGTCAGCCCAGCCAAGGAGTTGGAAGTGGCCCAAGCAGAACGGGATGCGAGCAACAAAACGATTCGCGACTTCATTCGAGAGACAAAACCGTACAAGTGTGCGCAGGCAGCTGCCTTCTACCAAAGGCATCGGGTGGAGTGGGTTATCAGGGAAGCGCGTTTGATGGAGGCTAAGATGTCCCAGCAGAGAAAGATGGCGAAGAGCAACACGAAGGACGACAATACGAAAGAGAGCAAGAAGAGACGACGTGATGACGAGGAAGAGATATCCCCCGAGTCACAATCGAAGAGGGCCAAAGGACGAGTCGGTAGTGAAAATGCAGCTTCGGGCGCAACAAGGGACAGGCCTCACACTCGAAGCGTTCGTCGGAGTGCTCGCCACACTGGCCTGCAAAACGGAATTTGAGTTCGTCTACCGGCCGGCTGCAACTGCAAACAGAGACTACTCAAAGTTTGCCCCAAGACTTGGGGCCTGGGGGTCTTCGGCACTCTCGAGCTGCACGCTCTGTATGGATCTACGAGTCAAGGACAACTGGATACACCATCGCGTCCATGGTCAAGGCGATGTGCTCCAGGGGCTGAGGCCGGGAAGTCACACAGCTTGGAGGCATTCCATCCCGAAGGGAGGCAAGGCAGCACCTTGTAAGCACATATGTCACTCCCACTGATGTGTCTAGGACTAACAATGACAAGAGACTGAGCCACGCCACGTTTCCCCCGATAATCAAAATAGCACGGCATGCGTGAATGCGCACCAGTCTTTAAGAGAGCCAAGAACCTGTTTACAAGAGGGCAGGGAGACTTGCAACGACCGCAGGGCGGCGCTCACAAGTCTCATTATCTTATCTTAGACATCTGTTTTTAGGGACGACCACTATTGTGCAAATGCAGACTCACGCAGTTCGCCACAGCCATTTCCATATGAGCTAAGCTAGCTGGCTTAATGAGAGTAATAAATTGATGCTGAAAAGGACTCGACGCGTCAACTGCCGGGCCTCCACCAAGCTATTTCTGCGCCAAGATACCTACCCCAGTCCCTATTTGCTAACTGCCGGCGGATTCTTCGGCTGCTGCCGCCGGAGGAACAGACCAACAGTTAAGCGAACTGTGGGGTTTACCGAGATTCTGATGTTCGTGCCAGCATGGAAACATGGTATTAAAGACATTAGCATTAAGTACGTCTATCTAACTGTACATGCCAGCCGAGCCATTGCAACGCGGTGATGACGGCTGAGGCGTCATCAGCACGTGGCGAGAACGGGCAGGGCATTGTATGGCAATGGTGAGTAAGGTGTCATCGAGAGAGCCTGGCAGCCTGCTCATCCCAGCCCATCATATTCCCACCGAATAAGCTCCCGTGGGCCTGGGCCGGGGCCGGCCAGGGGGCCATCGAAAACTGCAACAAAGGCTGAAACTGTTGCCAGGCCACCATCGCCCCCATCGCCTGCCAGGCTGGAGGCGCGACGTCCATCGTCTGCCAGGCTGGAGGCGCGAAGTTCATCGTCTGCGCAGCGTGCATCATTTCTACCGCGCTGTCTTGCACCTGGAAGACGCCCTCACTGCTGTTGCACGGCTCGGCAGGAGTAGTCGCGGGCGACTCGGGCGATTCAAGCCTCCACACAATCTGGCTGGGCTCTTCGCTCTTCCTCCTGTCAGCAGCGGGAGAGGACTTTCGCGATCGAGCTGGCCTCCCTCCGGCAGGCCGGAGCTCGATGTGGTGCACCCTCGGTTGGTGGGCCCTGTACTCGTCCATGTTCCTGAACTTGCAGACCATCTTGGTGCACTTGGGATGAGCACACGCCAGGAGGTTCTGGGCCAGGAGCCCGGTCAGGCTTGGCAGGTGCTGACTGTCGAAGTGCTTGTTTCTGCTTGACGTGCGAGTGTAGCGGAAAGTTCGTTCGTCGTAGGACAGTCGCCCGTCGCCGATGCACACTGGGCACTGGGACTTGTCCATGCGGCAGGGGAAGGGGTCGTCGACCAGGGCTGCATGATCGCCGACTGCAGGCTCCATTTCGATCCCAACGGCGGGAACAGCAGCGAGGCCGATAAGTTCGAAGCATGCCGAACTTCTCGAACAGCAAACAGAGCTGGAGTTGCTTTTTGCAGGTATAGAGGAGGTTATGCTCGCAGAATGCGCACAATACAAGGACGCGAAGAGGGCGAACTGGGTCCCGCTTCGGCAGATGTACCCGTCCTAAGCGTGGAAGTGGCTGCTCTGCGGAGTATACAATCAGTCTCACCGGCGACGATGAAGGACCGCCGAGGTTGAGGCTGCCCGGGCTCGTCTTGATGCTCCCATCGACTCCGCCCCGCCGCCTACGACCGCTCGTGGAAACGCTTCTTGATGATTCGACCGCCTTGTAAGTCGATGCTTCTTCGGCCGGCGCGCTAACGACTACGATTATGGATTCGAGGTGGTCCATTGCCATGTTGGACAGGATCAGACTCTTTGAGACGAGACTTTGCAGCTTTCGAAGACTCCACAGTCGGCGATGTAGGGTCTTCCAGCGGTGAGACTTGTTCAGGCCGAGGGACCGTCATTCTGGGAGGGCTTCTCCCTGCCTGCCGGTTCCTCTTCTCCAACATTATTCTATCGTCTCCCCTCCCACGCTAGATTCTCTTGTGCTCGAGCCCACTTTTCAGCCTTATAACTCTGTTTACCTTGCTCTTCAGCCGAATCTTCTTCCTCCTGGCCTCTCCAACTTTAGCTCGCTCTTCCTTTACATCGCTCTTCTTCTTAGCCAATTGTGTAACCTTGGCTTCCTCATTCCTGATGCTTTCCTCCTCCTCCTCCTTCCTGATCGCTTCCGCCTTCTTCGCAGCAACCGTGCCCTTCTTCCACATATATTTCGCATGTCGAAACGGACTCCATTCGCCCGACAGATGAATTGTATTGACAGTATCATGGTAGGGGAAATACCATTCTGTTCCGCGTTTTCCACCCACGCGTCGATAAGTTCCGGTTCGTGGGAGAATCTCAAGTTCAAGTTTGATCATGGCTTCTCCTCGGGTCGTTGACAGGGTAAATCAGGCGCCGCCGTATTGAGAGGAATGTTCGAGAGAGGAGGTGATGTTTGGGGGATGAGACGAAAGAATCAGGTCGGGCGATAAAGGTCCAGGGAAGGCAATCCTTGCCGTGTCCGGGGCGTTGAGGGTGATCGCTTTGGTTTGCTGTTGTTTTGTACCGATGTCCCGAGTTGTGGCGGTGAAGCTTGCAACCCCTTGAAAGGGTGGTTCTCGATCGAACGAGAATGACGCCGCTAATGTGACGCTTTGAATCGAAAATCGAAAAGACGTCGTTTTCACATCAACATCACCGCGCATCATCCCAACAAAGTCATCCACTTCGCAACAACACAACTCAACGACCACTACACCTTTACTTCCCACATTGAAAATCCTGAATCTACTCATCAAGCGCTTTTGTTTAAAAGATACTGCCTGCGATACCATGTCTGCTGACGCTATTCCCTCCCGCCAAAAAGCGTGCTCTACGGAGTTGTGCAGGATCATTCCTCCAGCTTTCTTGCGGAGATTCTCTTCATCTTCGGAATCGTCCAAAATTGGTCGGTACTTCCAATCAGACCTGTCAGGGAACGGTACAGCGAACACCCACCAGCGAACTTCTGCTTTTTAGGCCCTGCGTCTGAAATTTTTGAGCCCAAGGGCTTTATACACACCTGTCAGGGATCCTGGGCCAGGCCGATACCGTTACCGACGGTGCCGAGGTTAACCTGTGGCTGGTGTGGCTATGCAAAGCCTTGCCGGTGCTCGGAATATATAAAACTCCGACGCTGAAACAGTAATCTGCCCTCACGTTCCCTCAACGTATTTTCGACCCAATGGCCGCGCCAGAGTATCGAGGGTCGACTTCATTGATCTTTCCAGTACGGCCCGGCGTGATAGTGAAGCGGCCGGCTGAGGTTTGGAAGGAATCCTCGGCGTACACACGGCTGACACAGAAGATTGCAAACAACTTCTTGGTTGAACGGAAAATACTGGAAGCGCTAGGAGCCCATCCTCGTATTGTAAAGTACATTCTTCGTTCCAGCAGCACGCTGCTTCTGCTGACAATCCCTTCAGATACCATGGATGGCAAGACAAGCCCGAGAGCCTACGCGGCTTGCTTCTTTCCAAAGCCAGCCATGGCAACCTCCAACGTTACCTTGAAGCGAACCACGATATCCCGCTCTCTATCCGCCAGAGGTGGTGCCGACAAGCTGTCGAATCCATCGCATACATCCACCATCACGGGGTGATACATTCCGATCTGCGCCCAAATAATTTTCTAGTTCACGCGACTACACCGACGTCGTTAGATCTGTGGCTTTGCGACTTTGGTGGCTCAACCTGCGAGAAACTTGGTGTAGACGGGAAACAGCTTCCTGATCCTGGTTTCTTCGACCCAAACGCAGAATGGGTGTCAACAACGGCGACTGACATATTCAGCGTCGGCTCTGTTCTCTACAGCATCGTCTCGGGACATTGGCCGCATAGAGATCTTGGGCCGTTTAAGTTAGAGGAGGATTATCGTAGCTACAATGAGCGGGTCGAGGAGCATTTCAGGAATCGGGAATACCCAGATGTTGATGGACTTTTTGGAGGCACTATCATCCTTGGGTGTTGGACGAACGAGTACTCGAGCGCGGACGATGTCTTACGAGCACTGGACCAAGAGATAAAGACACAGGAATGTGGATCCTAAGCTATGGGCTTCATATAAAACTACCGCTACCTTTCCGTCTAGTCTTCTCTTCTCGTTCTGTGCCATGCCGACAGCAAATGAGTGACCGTAGAATTGAATTCGTGTTAGCGTTGCTAGGATGCCTCGCAATTCGCACCCGCCATTGTACAACAGAATACCCGCGCGCTCGTAGTCCGAATCCTTAGCGCCCTTGTGGTTTCGTCAGCAACAGACAGCCCTATACGAATCGTTTTGGTGCAAGACGCTACACCTAGAAGAGCTAGCCTTATAGAAGTTTTCTAGAAACCTTTATTACGTTATAAGTACTATATACTATAAGTTTTATAAATTATTATAGAGGTATAATAGTACTTACTAGAAGAAAACTAGATTTTATCTTAAAAGTTACTTAAATACGTATAGCTTTTTAATTACGTAATATATCTTAGTGTAATTTTTATAGTAGGTGTATATAGTATAGTTCTATCTATGCTTAAAATTTTATAGAAAAATATTAAGGTTTCGCTTAGTTATTTAAGAAAAACGGGCTAATTTTCGTTAATTTTTCTTGCTAAGAAATCGTGGGGAGTTCGCTCGTGTAGAGCTTTCGCCCGTAAAGTACGTTATACTTATTTAAATACTAATTTATTTCTTTCTAGCTTAATTATAAGTTAAGCTCTTTATCTACTTATTACTTAATAATATAGCTAAAGTAAGTTTACGTAATTATTTCTTTTTAGCTTTAGAGATATAATATAAAATTTTTTTATATAGTACTTTTAGCTTATAGTATTATACTATATAGTAGTAGTATAATATCTAACTCTTATTCTACTTATATATATTATCTTAGCTATAGTAGTAGCTAGACTAATTATAAGTCTATAATCTAAAGCTTAGTCTAATTAGAAATATAGTTATATAAAGTAATATTTAGAATCTAACTAAATATCTTAGTTATATCTAGTATATATTTTTACTACTAAACTAACTAGAAATATATATAACGTCTACTAAAATAGCTACTCTAGAGTTCTTAGAATTATAATAGGTATATACTCTATTAAAATTAGCTTATAAAATATAGAACTAAGTAGTATAGTAAAGGCTATAAAGATATTAATTTTTAAGTTAAATAGTAAAGAGTATTTCTTTAGTAAATTCTATAACCTACTTCTAATTTCTATAAATAGATAAATTAATTATATTTCTCTTACTAGTAAATATCTAATAGACTTAAAGAAGATATTTACTACTACTAGCTAAATAGTTATATAATCTAAGAGACTAAGAGAAAATATAAAGCTTTATTAGACTAAGAAGACGTAGATAAGACTATATTACTACTAAGTATATAGTATATTACCTTATCTATAGCTTTTAGTAGCTAGAATTATAAATAGTAACTTAAGATACTAATATTAGTAATTCTACTAGTTTAATCTAAGAATATAAATACTATATTTCTATAACTACTAATTAGTATACTACTATATTCTTTATATTAAATATTAAGAAATATAAGAAACTAGTTCTCTATATTCTATTAGATAGACTAGTTTATAAAGAACTCTTTACTAATAGTAATATCTATTAATATATATAAGCTACTACTATATAATTATTATCTTACTTAGGTATTATCTATAACTCTCTTTAAAAAAAATATATAATACTTCTTAATTATATAAACTTTACTATAAAAAAATACTTACTTTAAGTTATTTTTAAGTGTAAAGAAGTTAAGAAAGAGCTTTAAATAGTATAAGACTATAAGATACTATATAATATAAGATCTTTATATATAAATTAGCTATAAAAAGTTATTAGCTACTATATAAGCTATACGTAATAGAGATAGAAGTATCTAAATAGAAAGATAAATTACTCTATAAGTAGTATATAGTTTTAGAAGCTTAGTAGCTTAAATAAAAGCTCTTAAACGTTTCTATTAATTACTATAGATATATTCTTAGTAGTAAGTAGATTTATCTTTTTATTTAATAACTTCTTTTATATACTTTAACTAAGATATAATATACTTTCTATAATTATCTAGTATAATATAATTCTACTTCTTCTTTAGAATAGTTACTATCTACTCTCTTATACGTATATATTCTCTTCTCTTTAAGATATAAAGCTTTATAATTCTCTAGAGGTTTTTAATTAGATTTAGATTAGAGCTCTAAGGTAGCTAGTCTATATAAATTATTAGATTATTATCTATATACTTTTAAGTAACCTTTATAGTATAAATTAAAGCTTTATCTTATATCTATATAGCGTCTTCGCGTTTCTCTATTACTTTGTAATAGAAGAGAATACCTACGTTATATAGAATTTTAATATAGCGTTTAGCGTTATTACGTTCTTCTATACTATTAATAAAGAGCTCTAATTTAAAGTTAAGGCTAATAACTCTAAAAATACTAATAGAAGTCCTTTCGCTCTTAAAAGTAGGCTTTAAAAAGCGACTCTTATATGCCTAGCTAGGTCGTCGTCGTACGTATAGGGGTGTTGTATTAATACCAACTTTAAAAGTTGCCTTGTCGCAAAATGCCACACATGCTACATCATCCTCATCTAAGTTCCGATGGAGCCTAGCAAATCGGATGCGCTTTTTCTTGTAGAGTTTCGATAAATAAGGCTTGCGACGAGGCCTGAAGGCGTATACTTTATGCTTTGCCAGGTATTTGCGGGCGGTGTTGATGTGGATAGCGCATCCAGTCTTCGACGGCGTCGCGATCGTATGTATCGTGGCAAAAGGGTTCAACGCAACCTAGCGTATTAAGTGTCGCTCTGCGCGTTCATCTAGCTTAGGAGGACGTCCTGTACGAAGCGCTTTCGAATATATATAGAGGGGGTGCTTGCGCAGCCTTCGGATGATGGTGTTGACTGAGGACTTTGGGATATCAAGATGTCGGCCGATTTTGGCGCCAGATATCCCATAAAGATGGAATTGCCATATAGTATTGACGGTAGACTTAGAATATTCAACTCTCGACGTTTTATTTACTCTGCCCATCATGAAATTTGGATAATTATTGACTGAGTTATCGCTCACTGAAATATGTGGATTGTGGTGGCTTTCGTGGCGCTCGGGTGGCGGCCAATCACTTTTTGTAGCCCACGGTACCTCTCTGCACTCTGCCGCGCTTTAAGCCCGGCCATCTTTGCTGGCCGCCAGTCGCCCCTGGATTTCCACTCAACGTCCCCTTGCAGTCGCTTCGTACCCAGATTATCGTTTCTTCGTATTTTCTTTTCTGCCACCTAGATCCGCCGGTGCGGTAGCGGATGAACTGAGTTCGAGGTCTATCGCCAGGAGCTCAACCCATTCCTTCGCCCTGCCTTGTCGCGTTCACGACCGTGCCCAAATTGCAAGATGTTCTACACAGGTTAGTGCTTCCGCATCTTATTGCCACTAGGAGCTTCTGAGAGATCGGGTTGTTACCTACAGGCGCGTGGATCCTGATTCAAAAAGCGCAAGCTAGACCCTCTTCCTGTTCCTCGCTCTTAAACTAAGATTAGGAGTGTGCCCTGTTATTAAGTATTGTTCTTATTCCTCATCTCGTTCGTCCCCTCCTCTGTAAGTCCTTCGCGACGGAGCCGATGAGCTTACGAGGAGCCAATGTGCATATTGCGTTCTGCGGCTAACATGAGCCTAGGAGAGCTCGAAATTGGCACTGCCACAATGTGCTTATCCGAAGCCACTAGCAATGGGAAAGGGAGGCGGAGAGAAGGGTTTCGGACCTCTCCTTCCATTGGAGCTTCCTTTGGATTCCCCACGCCGCCGCCTCCTTGCAATATGGAGATGCGACGAGACTCAATTGTGTCATCTCTGGCATCGATGTCGAGCTTCGCAAGTTCCATCTCGAATTACTCCATATTGACAACGCCCACCTATGCGCCAAGTCCTATGGCTGAAGATGGTTTCGTCGATGTCACGGGCTACGATTTAAACCAGGACACAGCGAGCCACGTTGCGCATGGCCTGCCCATGGATCCTCATCCTAAGGTTGCCCCAATCGAGGATAGGTTTTCTGGTTCCTGGTTGATGGCCCCGCATACAACCGACCTTATCGTGAGCCCGATGATGCAGCTACAGCCACAGGGTCTCCTACCTACGGCTGAGGACATCCTCCAGCACCATCTAGCAGAGCCAGCAAGCATGGAAAGCGTCATGGCCTCCACTCCAGAGCCGTCGTGGGGGCATCTTCCTGCTGCTGTCTACCTAGACAACGGACATTCCTGGGACCATGAATTCCTTCGCCCCATGGCTTCCGAAGACAACATGCAGGCTTTATGGGCGGCCCAGATGCAACAATCTCAAGGATTACAGGGCCAAACGATCATCCCATCGGATGCCCTAGTCCACGCTGACGCCGGATATGGCGTCGCCTCCCCGAGCCCGTTGGCTCATGTCGAGTCCTTCGACAACACAAGGCTCTTGCTCCCTCAGTCGCCCTCTTTCATCGATGCCGAGGACCAGGCCGGCCCCTCTGCGAGGCCTATATATGTATCAGCAAGGTCGCGCACCGGAGGTAAGACAGTCGTAGAGAGGGAGCGGAGGCCCATAGGTCTTATGAATGGGTCTAAAATCCAGAGACGTCGCAAGAGATATCAAAAGAGGATCGACAACCCACCGGACAATACTGAAATCAAGCCCGACTCCGACGCCCTCAGAATCCACGAAGAAGGAGTCAAGATCCAATGGGGCAAGGAGGGCCAGATTATCTTCTTCCAAAATACGCGAGCGTGTCGTTGGTGTGACAGGCAATTCAAACGTCCGGAGCACCGCAAGCGGCATGAAGAAACACATGACCCAGAAAAGAGAGGGCAATACGGTTGTACGCTTTGCATCAGGCGTTTTGGTCGGAATGACAACTACATCGAGCATTACACCACTCACATGACAAGACAAGGCAAAGACAGATCTCGCAATCTCAGGTGGCCACTTAGACAACTCGAGCGAATGATTGACGATCCAAAGATCATCGCGAAGCTCAGGCAAAGGTATATCAAGGAGAATGGCTCTCTTGAAAACGCATATTTGGACAACGTCGACGACGAGGAGGTGGAGGAGGAGGAGGAGCAAATCGATGCCGCATGAGCGCAAGTCTGCTCTGTACGAAACACACTTTCGGTATTTCTGGCGTCATCTAGATCCTGGGTTTGCTTTCGGAACTAAATTTGTCCTGTCCATCATTAATGCCTGCTGTCCATGCTTGTTTCGATTTTTGCACGTGTAACGTTAATACATGCTAGTCAACGACCGTTTGGTACATCGCATCCACATGCAAAAGTGCCCCCACACTCACCTAGACGAGTTCGGCATCCTCCGACCATGACGTCTTCCCAGAATCACCCGAGTCGGGATGTGCGGGGGCGGGTGTGTGCGGCGCAGTTACAGCAGAGGGAGGTCGAGAGAAGCTGTGGGATGGTCGCAGCGCGCCTTTCCCTATCCGGCTTAGCACCGCCGGTGCTCCGCGCCGGCCAATGACCTGGGCGCTCAGCGGGCGCAAAGGGTCCCAGGACCGGCTGTGCTGGCAGCTGCTTTTCTGCTGTGATCTGCGCGAATCAAAAAAAGGGTGAGGGGTGATTGGCTAAGATCCTATTCCGATCGCAATAGTCGATAAACTCCATCGTAACATATGAACCATGCCTGTCAAGGATAAGTAGGTAATAATCTCTCCTTGCTTTGCTCTTAGGCTCCTTATCAAAGCATCTCTTAAGCCACGCCAGCCCTATCTCGTTGTTGGTCCACCCCGAGGATGATGAGGTGAAGAAGGCCTTGCGCTCTGGAGGATCAAAATCCTGTAACCAGGTGTCTTGTATGTTGCTGGCAACTAGTTGATAGATCAGCGCAGGATCGAGAGGACTGCTGTCGGCACATATACAGGCTATCGTCGTAATCCACTCGCGTTTACCATCCTGAAGTAGCTGGTTAACATTTCCTTGATTGCACAGCCGGCGTGAGAACACACGCTTTATCTTAGTTACTACCTCGATTAAGAAGCCCTTCTCATCCATATTGTATATATTTCAAGGGGCGATGTCGTACTGGGTAATCTTATCTTCCAAAAGCTTGAAATATAGATTGTATTTGAAGGGGGAGTCGGCGCGGTGGCGTAGGTTATCGATGCCGTGCCGCGCGACAAAGCGATCCACCTAATTTTTTCCTAGCATCTTTTAGGCTATTTCTCCTGCAAATTCTCATATCGTCTCTCTCGTATGCAGTAGACCATATCCACAGGGTCCATCGGTATACTTTGTAAGCGCTGATTCTTGTGGGTTGTTGAGGAGGCGCATATTCTCTGCATGGCTGCCCTGAGTCCCGCGATATCGCTTCAAGAGCTTTGAGCGCTCAACGCCATACTTTTTCGCAACCTATGTAATATTAGGACGTTCTCCCATATCTAGCGACTCCGACGCTTCAGGAGCTGCGCCAATCGGATCCGTTATGAGGTGTTGAAGTTATCGCGATTTTTTGATTGACCGTGCGTCAGGTGGGACCGTGCAAACCAAGTACTTATAACACCCTCGCCCACTCTCTACTACGATCCTCACGACTAATACATAACAACACCCGACACAAGCTAGCATACCCTTTCCTTCACGCAAGCGGCTATCAACATCCTCTAGGTAAGGTTTCATGTGAGACACTTCGATTGAGCACGGACTGATCGCAACTTAGGCACATACCTCTTAGCCTCATTAAAGACGTCGAACAATCGGATCCATAACAGCAGTTGGGCAGCATCATGTCCGCCGCCGCAGATTCCGGTCCAGACCCACCGCAGCAGCCAGGAACGAGCGTTGCGGATTTGTTACAACCGACCGCGAACCCCGAACTTACCATGCCTGTTACGCTGTCCAAGAAGCAACCTACTAGTAGCCCGTCGAATAACAATAATCTCGGTGGCTTTGGGCCCCCGCAAGGCGTTAACCTGGCATTCTACTTCCACCACACTAATCCTAAGTTCAAGGAATACTATCCGTGTGACGGGAAAGCTTACTGGGAGGACGAGACTGGGAAAATTGTCTCACGCGCCTCTTCGCCGTCTCTGGCGTGTGGTGATGACCTCTCTACGTGCGATGGAAACTTCACTAGCATCCCTCGTCCCCGCGATGTATTGAAGGTGCCTAAGATGCTTAACACGGGCATTGTCCAGCATGAGAACGACATAATTACTATCCCGGAAGATCTACCTTACCAAGATAATACCAACAAACTTTCACCACTCGATACCGAAAACAGTGAGGAATTTCGCTACTACGTAAAAGACCAGGTACCTGCCATCGTCAAGAAAGAGCCTGAGGAGCCCGATTTCATCATTAAGGGTAAGCTGGAATCGGGCAGCTCCACAAGCATTCAGCACTTCCGCACCTTTAGCCGGGACTTTTCCCCTCAAGTAAACGACATAACCAATGTCAATACCTCTCAGTCCGGCCCGTACTCCGAAAACATTAATAACCCCCCCGCCTTGTCTGAGCGCATGCGTCTTCCTAGCCCGCTATCGACGATTTCGCCGCTAATCAAGCGAACTCGCACGGATAAGGGTGACCATAAGGACGAGCGACCGCACGAGATCGCCAAGGCCGAGGAGTGAGCTCCTAAATCCATAATGAGCTACGAAACGGAGACATAGACTAGAGTGTTTTACCCCGGGCCGCTCACGAAAACCGTACTACCCTCCACAGTACACTTATAGTATAATACCACAACAGCCACCTAAAGGTATTATCGCGCAAGAACGTAGAGTTGTCCTAGCCCTCTAAGTAATCAATAAAGGCCAATTTCCATCCCTGGGACTTGCTGCTCTAGCCTACAACGTTCCTAAACGCACGCTGATTGACCGACACGCCCAAAGCCCTTTCGACGCGATTACCAACCCAACGGCAAGAATCTTACTCCCGCCGAGGAGGAGGCGATTGTCCGATACACACTCGGGCCCGACGACCGCGGTTTCCACCCCACGAAGCCCATGCTGCGCGACATGGCCGATACTTTGCTAGTGGAAGGGGCTAGAAGCCAGTTGGCAAGAACTAGCTAGGTCGGTTCCTTAACCGCTCTAAGGAATTTAAGATGCGCTGGGGCCGTTCGTACGATAACCAGCGAGCGTTAAGCGAAGATCTAGTTGGAACAACTCACTAGGTACATTCGGCAGCGATGCGCCTGGAGATATCGCCAGCAAGGTGAATTCAGCGGATAAGCACCACAACTCTACGCCAGCAGATATAGCTATGATTGATAGCCATCTTCAAGGACTAGAGAATGAGACTTCACAAGCAACACAGGACGCCCCGCCGGTTGCACTTGTTACTGAATCTGGTCACTGCGTGGTTTGCAGCGGTACGAGCAAAGGGGGGGCTGAAGAGATTCTAGTATTCTGTGCGCGAGATGCGTCTTAAGAACGAGTGGGCAGCAGTTTTGCGAACTACAGGCAACAAGGCAAACGTGCACAGATGCCCTTGTGGCGGCTAGCTACAGGCATCTTCCAGTGGGTCCGGCTTCGCACACCCTTCCCCCAAGCCCGCAAGCCCCGCCCTGTTTCAGGCGCGCGGCATAGCAGCCAATGCTGGCAGGGATCGTAAGCCATCGCCTGCGCCGTTGCTGCGCTCGAAGACGCGGCATCGCCCAAATCCCGCCCGGGCGGGCTGCGTCGTCATGGCTTCCCGTCCCAGCGAGCTCGCATCTGTCTAGCAAGTTCACTGCATGCATTATATCGCTCTTTAGGGCTGTTCGCCGAGCTCTAGGAGAGAATGGGTTGTTCAGGGCTAAGGGGACGTATTAATACTATAGTACAACGTATTATAAACCGTATACATGAGAAAGCTCGCGAAGGAGAGAGTCATTCGAAGAAAACTCCCTGGAAGATTCTTCGCTAAGAGCTTGAGCGAAGACGCCATCTTCAAGATCGTGATGGCTCCGTCGTAGGAAGGCGTGGACGGTACATGTAATACATCCGAGTGTGGTGTGTACCTAAGCTTGCTATTACAAGCCTCAAAAGAGCGGTGAACTTACTAAGAAATGAGCCCCAACGTCCCATAAGGAGAGCATGGCGCATGGGAGATGTGGGCGTGCGCGGGAGCACGGGTGAGGCACGTCAACATGTCTAACATTCCGGCTCCGGCATCCGCGCAGAGTGCTGTTATCTTCGTGCTCTGTGGTGCTGCTGTCTTCGTGCGCTTTGGAGGAGCAACCTCCCCGACCTCCGGGGGGCCAAACAAGCCAAAAGGTGGAAAATCGGTCTTCGAGGCCTCCGAGGGTTTGCCTTCGTCAGGCTTGTCGGGTATGATCTTCGTCCTCTTCGGTGAGCCGAGGTGCCGCAGTGAAAGGAAGAGCTTCTATGAGCCAGAAGGGTGGGCATTGGATGCCCGGGCTGAGTTTAGCTTCCTCCTCTTCGTTGAAGGACTAAGGCTCTGCTTTGGAAGGCGGATCTTCAGTAAGGCCGGAGGATTGGCACTGAATGCCTGGACGGGCTTTGCCTTGCTCTGCTTCGGTGAAGGCTGTGTTCTAAGGAGTCCGGAGGTCCGGCGTTAGAAGTCTAAACGTGCATTGCCTTCCTCTTTCGTGGACGACCTTGGCTCGCTTCCTCGAGGCAGCGCTCCAAGTCCTCCAAGGTCCGCTTCGGTTTCGCAGCACGAAGCCTGCGCTCAGCATGCTCCTTCAAGACGCCATCCTCTCCGCGGCCCGCCGTCGCCTCCTTCTCGGTCCCTACTAGCTTCAGGCAAACCTCGCACAGGCAGTCATGGTTTTTGTTGCCAAAGTACTCGTCGCCATAGCTAATGGTGATCTCCTCGCCCTCGGCGATATGGTGGAGGGCAACAACCTTGACATTACACTTATCTCCCATGACCTCCAGCTTCGCGTTGGGATTACAGCTGTGGTTTATGAGATGCGGAGGACCAACTAATAGGCTCGTAGGACAGTAACGTGTCTCGTCGAGAACGCTAAAGTCCTTCTGTGCCTTCACCAACTTCTTAAGCTCCTCCGAGCTAAGGGGAATGCGTCTGCCGTAGAGGTCCTCGATAGTCTCTCCCTTTGCGATGTGTCCCGTTGCGATGACGCAGGCTTCTCCCTTAGACAGGTACTTCTCCGTACTGCCGACTCGGAACGCGTTGTCTTGCAAGGTAGTCTTCAAGTAGTCCAGCAGAAGGCCCTTGAAAGCCTCCTGCTGGCGGCCACGGTTAAGTCTTTTATTAAACTGCCTCAAGCCTCGAAACGCGAGAAGCTCATGCAATGCTTGTTCCTCGTCATCTGGATGCTTCCGAAACTCGTCAATCAGGGCCGCGATCTTCGGTAGGTATGGCTTCCATTGCTCTACGTTATGAACAGCGTATTTGAGGCTTTTCACTGAAGAACACTCGGGGTTTCCCTCAAGTTACATTGTTAACAACAGAGCCGCAAGGCTGGACCATATAGGAATCAACTCACATTTTCAGTAAACGCGCCAGTGAGTATATCCTCCATCTGCAGGGCTTGGTCGGCCGTTAGAGCTGGTGTGCGAGTCTTTGCAACCGAGCCCCAGCTTTTCAACAGCTTGCCAGAAGCTAAAGGCTCCAAAGACGATTCGGACTCATCGTGGTCTGGGAGGTCTGGCGGATGAAAATGGCAAACATTTTGCTGCTCTTCCAGGTTCGCCATCCACGGCAGCGGGCTGCGGGCTGGGATTGTGCCTAGGAATAGATAGCTGCACGTCGGGTGTAAATAAGTATTGTAATCCAGAAAAACCCGGGAAGGTGCAGGAAAGGCTCTCGGGGGACTTTATTCTTTCGAGACAAGGCTGTGTCCTGAGGCGGACCGCTCCGCCTCGAGACGCGACGTGCATCGAACGCCTGGGGCGAAGTGCTCAAATGCATGGGGGTTGGGGGAGGAAATTAGATGGTGGTACTGAACCTGATTGGCTCTGGCTGGTGATACTGAACATGATTGGCTCCTGCAGGTGATGTTGAGCCTGATTGGCCTCTTTCCAAAGCCAACGTCTTGGGCAGAGCCGCATGGGACGTCCACGTGACCGTCATATGGCCGCCTCTAGGAGTCTTCCCGTTTTCGTAGAGATTTTCTTCGTGCAAAAACAGTTGTTTACGCCCCTGACCTTCCAAGCTCGGTGAGGGAGCTTTTGGGGTGGTGACATGCTTTTGGAATGCGACGACTTGGGAGGAGTATGCCATGAAGGAGCCGCTGCCGAAGTTTATCGAAAAGGGTTAACGTTACTGTAACTATCTTCTACCTAGCCCGAGTTAAACACTTGCCCGGATGCTATAAGCCATCTTCACTGTGTTCCACCTCCTCTGTGTGATCTCTCAGGCTTGTTGTCATCAGGATGGTCGTCCGCAGTCCTACCCTTCTCGCAACACTGTACCCACTCCTCCAGCCTTTTTGGCGGCCCTAGGTGGGTGGGGTTGGCCTTATGAAAGTCGCGAAGCTTATGTGGGCTATTTTTGAAGTTGCACGCATCGTACCACTCGGGGTCGCTTTCATACCCAAGCCATTTGGCACGGTACTGTAGATTGACGCGGACTTCAAGGATCTGTTCTACCTCGTATTCGTCATCTTCGTCTACACTACCGCGATTGCCCTTCCGCTTATGTGTGCTTGAGCGAATGGGGTATGGGTTTGACCTCAGTCGCTTGTTGCTCCTAAGATGACTGCCGTGATCACTGCCTTCTTTACTACTGTTGCTGCTGCCGCCATCACTAGAGGATACACTGGTGGCGTGACCGCTCGTTGCGGGAAGACGGTCGGGACGCGGTGTGCCCACGTGGAAGGGAAATGGCTTTCGCTGCATCGCTGAGCATGCTGTATGCTTGGGGCGCTGCTTTGATGTCGTGCTTGAAGTGCGACTGCGGCGCCTGGTTGACACAGAGCGTTTCCGCTTCTGCGTTGGTTTATCGTCGCTGTTGTCATCATCTCTATCGGTTCTACCCCCACTGCTGCTCGTGTTTTTAAGTGCAGGATATTTGCCTTGCTACTGTTAGATAGAACGAACACACTGTAATGGCGTATACTCACTCTGCCTCTTCGCCTTTATCTGCATCGGCCTCTGCGACTGTTGTGTTGCAGCTTCCGGGACGGTGTCGCCATGGGGCTCTTGCGTTGATCGTTCAATATGCGACATTCGTGATGGGTCGGCGAGAAGCACGGCATTGTACTCCTTGTCACCGCAGCTCGAGCGGGATAGTGGGTGGTCTACGGTCGGTTGCGTTGGCATGAGTTCGCGAGACGGCAGCGCGTGTGCACTAGCCCGAAGCTCCGGCCCCTCGACGGCCTCTGAGTAGACAGGAGCATCCATGCCTGCAGGACACTTTCTACCGTGATACTCCGGGGTTGAGATATCTGAGAATTCAGGGGAATTTTCTATCTGCGCACCCATATCGTCTTCCTGCAGGCAGTCTTCGTGGCGAGTATCGGTATCTGATTCGAGTTGACAGTCTTCGGTGGCCGTGTTCTCTACGCAAAGTCAGAAATAGAATGCGTAAGCCCCTACCCCGACTGGTTGATGCGCTTACCTTGACTCGTGCCCTCCGAATGAGCAGAGTGGTTTGGGCCCTCACCCCTTGTGTCTCCTGGAGAAGTTCGCCTCGAGACACCTTGCTCGAACCTTATGCTTTCATGTTCGTTCTGAGTGGATGGATCGTCGCCACACCGTCGATTTCGCAGCTGGCTTCGTCATCTGTGTTCGCGTTAGTCACCACAAGGCGCTAGTTTAGAACAACGTATTGCTTCATCGGCCATAGCAAAACCTACCTGGCCATGTCAAATCCACAACTTCAACCCTTTGGGATATGGGCGCCGGAATCTCATCAATGTCATGCCCCTCATATGGTATGAACGCAGAGGGCCGGGGAGTTTGAGGAAGGCGCAAAGATGAATATGCCATGGCCGCGCTGGCATTGCTGCTCGATCGCTTCCGCGATGGAGGCGAAGGTCGTCTAGTCTTCATTCGGGATAGTTTACCGAAAGTAGTGAAGTCAGAAAATTGGGAAAAACCTCACCAACGCAAGGCGTCGCGGGCGGCGGAGAGCGAACATTTGAAAGCGGGAAAGCCAGCCACATGACCCGTGGGTGCTGGGGGCGGGGTATTGGAGGCGAAAACACGACTATGTCGTGGCGAAAGAGCGTGTTCTTTTGGTGTTAGGGACGTGTTCGACGTGACGATTCGACGGACCGGCCGGCGGGGTTGGGGCCGAATAGACCAAGCAAGAGGGCTATTGCAACTTCGTCTCTAGCGATGGTCGTCTGCGAATAGATAGGCAGCCTGCCTTCCGGATACCAACTCTGGACCTGGAGTTCAACGTAGCTGTAACCCTTGGCGCCCAGGTGCCGTCGACGCTGATAAGCAATAGAGCAGCAACGACGGGGCCCATGGCAGCGCGGCGGCTCGAATGACGCACCGCCACAGCCCGCACGGTCTTGCATAATCCAATCGTTCCAAGATTGACGTACCTTCTACCGTACTCCCGGCTGCGGATGTCGTACTATAGGCCGCAAGCAATTGCTACCGTCAAACCCTAAGGCAGGTCCCCTCCTGGCACGTCTTTTCTGTCCCTCAAACACAGTTCACAGGTCTCGGGTTCCGGGCAGAGCCCTGCCCAATGAAACCTAGAGAAATATAACTGCAGGTATTCCTCGCTGTGGCCACTGCATGAGCTTCTCTTTCACTCTTGTTGGATGCCGCTTATAAGTCACACCACCAGCTACAGTTTTCAGAGGCGTCAGACTACTTTAGATAGCATGGAGGCTGAGGACACAGGTAGGTTCTATGGTCTTAAGAGAGCTTCAGTTCGTTGACGAGATCTTCAGATATTCAGGTGCAAATGATTGACCTGACGCGCGAGGTCGCATCCTGTTCCTTTGTGGGAACGAGCTTTTGGGGATGGCATTTAGTATCCGCTGCTGCGTACGTGTAGGGCATTGGCTTCCGTTAAGCTCTGGCTGATTCCAGTAGCTCGACAGGATCCGAAAAAATACGCATCAAGATGGAATCCCATGCGAGCGGCAGCCTCCACAGGCACACCTATCCCAGGTAGAGATACTTCCAAGGCCTACAACTCATTGCAGATTGCACCTGGGGAAGTCAGCCGCGGAAGTGTGGTTGCTATATACTGAGTCGGAATGTCCTGTCTGCTACGAAGTACCTGATACTCTCGTCAAGCTTCGATGCGGTAAGTATTTCGTTCTCCCAAAGCAGCATCTGCTAAGCGTAATCATAGGGCATGCGTTCTGTGATGATTGCTTGCCAGCTTGGCTGCTTGAAAAAAGGCAGGAAGAAACGCCGACTTGCCTAACTTGTCGGATGGTTCTGAATTGTTGCAATCATAATTGTTGCCGTCTAGAGATCGCGCATCGAGTCCATAAGCCCGAACGCAAGCCTCCTGTATCAACGGTGGCGTTGCCGATCAAAAGGCGAGTTAGGAGCGCTTCGGAAACCCTAAGACGTGAAATGACCCAGCGGAGAGTTCAGGTATGTCTTGCGTATATTGACGGCATTGACGGCACTTAGAAGCAGCAGTCGAAACAAGAGCCGCCAAAGAAGGATAGGCGTGGCGGAAAGCGCCAGAGGGCGAACAACGCCGCCGCCATCGAGTCGGATGACGCCTCAGACAACACTGCCACCAAAGTGGGAGCCTTCGCCACATTCGTTGACTTGACGTCTCCGCCGCCGTCTCCGCCATCTCGAGCCAACACGGCGGCTATGCGTCTCAACGTGAACGGCAAACGTCTCCGAAATGACGACTTTGTAAGTGCCCAGCAATTCGCCAACCGGCTGCTACGATGATTTCGTGTCGCTCGCACCGAAGCGCGGCACCATGTCAGTAGCCGGCGGTATCAAACTACCTACTACCTCCACACACACAACGACGATCTATACCTGTGAAGAAGGGCAAGTATGCACTCTGGGCGAAACATGCTAATGGCGTCTTCGAGATACAGACGGACCCGCCGCCAACCACACCAACGGCGGGTAGAGATACAGCAGATCGTAGTAGCGACCCGAATTTCGTCAACCCATAACGTAACAGCACCAACTCTCGTCAACCACGGCCCGTGCGCGCAAAATCTGCGCAGAGGATGAGTTCGAATGCGACTCGACGACGCACTCCTATCCTTGGCGAATCTACACTCCGTGACAACTGCTTTGAACGACTGTGGCCTATAGACGACAACGGCCTTGAGCAGACTATCAAAGCCATCAACCGCGAGCCGAGCAAAGACATCCGGGCGCTCAAAGCCATGAAGCTTCGCAACTGCCGCCTTCCGCAACGTATGTGTCTACTATGAAGCACTCACGAACGTACGCTGACTTATCTTGCTGCAGCCTTCGACGAACACGCCGACGATCTTATCGCTTTCGTAAACGAATAGAATCGCCGCATCGATCTCGTTATATAGAAGCTTAGCAACGGACGAGGACTCAGCCTAGCAGAGCGGGAATACAAATTCTTAGAAAGTGACACGCATCATCATAAAGTAGACGGGCGATGGCAAGGGCGACGGCAAATCTTTCAAGCACATGTAGACGCTGGTGGAGGAGCGTTTACTTGGTTTCCGTAGCTTAATGGCAGCCGCACTTCTTTTTCACAACTACTTTCGCGAGTCTGCCGGCGTTCCGAGCGGACCGACACGCCCGGTAATGATACCGTCGGGCGTCCGCTGCCGTCGACCGTCCCGATAATCCGTCTGATGGCACCTAACGTCTCTCTACTACCGAATCCGCCAATGGCGGATGGGGGATTAGGAAATGCCAATTCTGAGACCCCATTAACCTCTCCCCCTGTATGACGGAAACCCCTGCATCCCGGAAACACTGGTACTTTGACCTCCGAGCAATTCATAGCCTAAGTTACATCGGCCTTCGCCTCTAACGAGGAATACCACCATTGCACGGGACATCTGTTGGTCGCCAACCCTACCAGGTTGTACGCCGACGGCAATCTCGTGCCACCCAGACCCAGCGATTTCGAATGCGATACCTGTACGATGTCGAAATCCGTCCACCGCTGTCCTAAACCCGCCAGACCCAACGTTTCGAAGTCATACACACGGACTTGTCTGGCAAGTTCGCACGACGGTCACTTGGCGGAGCACGCTATTACATCTCATTCAATGACGATGCGACTCGCTACAGCGGGGTCAAGTACCTAGAAAAGAAAGCTGACTCTGTCGACATATTACTGTTCGTGTACTCGGGAATCCCGTTGGACGGGATTATCGGTTGCATCCCGCTTTGAATCATTGGGTGGGGCGACTGGTGCATTATGCCTCTGTTGAAGTCCTCGATGGACGCGTACTCTGGAATCGGGTTCTACATCGTATGGAGGCCTTGGGTTTGGAGGTGCGGTGGCTGCATTAGGTGGTGCATGCCGTCGTTAGGCAACTGGTTCTCAGGAATAGCGTCAATAGCGCTCATGCTCATTGTCCTAGATATCGGCACGTTCTGGTACATGGGTCGCTCCCTCCATGTCGCGGGTCGTCGCTATGCTGGCCGAGTGCGCCTGAGGAAGACTAGGTAGGGGCAGTTCTGGGAAGGGTCGCTGACCGTCCAACGGATGCTCGATGGCGCTCTGGGACTCGGAGTCCTTCTCTTCAGAGAGGCCATTGCTGCGTAATTGCGGGCTGCCACTGGCAGAGTCGCCAGAAGGGGGCGCGATGTCTTTTCTTGACAGTCTCCCGCGCTTCTTGCGCCCCCGCATGTACGAGCACGTCAGTCTACGTGAAACGTACCTATACGGCCTGCGCACTACGCGAGGTTAGCAACCACAGGCCGTCAGGTAAGAATCAGCAACTTACCGGCGCCTTTCCGTCGCACTTGGTCCTCAACTGGTTGCATTGATCACACGCTCGGCTGATGCGGTGTCGTACCGGGCCCGCTGTCGCAGCGCCGCGTCCGGCCCGCTCGTGAAGCATTGCGTCTCGCTGGTTGCGAGGCGCTGCTGCTAGAGGCTTGTTCGCGTACGGCAGGCGATAAGGCTTGACGATGCTGTTGCCGTTAGGCTACACATGGCTGTTCTGCTGGAAGTGCAGCGCGTACTGCGACGTGTGGGCTAGCGTGTCGAGCGGCGACGGCCCCATATGCTGCGCGGCGAGATGGTGCTGGTGCTGGTCGACCATGTTCGGCGTTTGCAGACTGCTGAACGCCGGCGTGTACTTGAGAGCACTATGCTCAGCGCCGGGGTGCGGGAGTCGTTAAGATGTAGATCGAACAGCTGTCGGAGCGTCCTAAACCGCGGGGTATAGCACAGCCAGCATGATGCAAGCTGAAACGCTTCTCACAGCACAGTAGCATCCACGAATCCGGCGATAGCTGCATCATGCGGATGACTTTGCCTTCACCGCCGAGGAGCTTATGATACAGGGCTACCGGGTTGAGAGACAAATTCGACTCACTGCAACGCACATTGCCGTCACAATCAACGAGCCCTCCGGCACATGACAGTGCGTGAGATCGGTTATCTGATAAGTCATGTTGGCGCTGGGTCCATGGCTATTTTTGGTTCCAGCCTTCGTTCCTGGAGAGGGACTTTTCTGTTGCTGGGACATGGTTTCTGGTTCCTGTTTTCGGGCTCTGCTAGTTTCTGTTCACTTCGGTTTTCTGGTTTCCGTTTCAAGCTCGGCCAGGTTTGGGCCCGGCCTAAACTATTTTACAGCCTCAAAGCATTCATAGGTCCGTTCTAGCTAAGCGCCTAGTCTCGACGCTCCGGTACCACTGATTGCCGCCAGGCTGGCCAATCGTGGATTGACCTACGGCGCTATTCTTGAGGCACGAAAACGGGCTCTGCAGGTGTCGCTAGGGGCTGGGGAGAGGATGCACGTGGGTGGAGCTTTGAATTTCTTACCCTAAGGAGTTGGTGCGGCCTTGGGTTCATTCATTCATTCATTCGATCCTACTCGGTTTCAGCCGCGCTCTCTGCAGCTATGCCCGGATGCAGAGGTTTGGCAGACAGCCCAAGCTTTGCCGAACGAACCAGCGCTCAGCCAACATCATCGAGTAACCCCGTCCACCATCATGGCCGCGCAACACGAGCAGCTTCGCAAACTCGACCGAACACCGCAAATACGCAGACGACGTGCTGAAGGAGGAGTTGGGGCCGATGTACGTCGGGATTCCTGGTTTCTTCGAAGCCTTCTTCGGCGAAATCGCGGGCCTCAAACTGGCAGCGCAGGCAGTGTTTGAAAGGTGCAAAGCGGGGGATAATCCGCTCTACCGGGAGGAGAGCGGCTGGCAGGGCTGGCCCGAAGGAGCGAGGGAACGCGACGTCTTGCGCTAGTTCGCATTGTCCAGAATAGATACATGAGCTCCCTCGGGTGGATGAATGTATCCGACGTTGACAGCAGCCCCATTGTCTTCGATATCCAGAGGCCAGAGTGGCCAAGTTGAGAGTTTTGGGGAAGGTTCTTGAAGAACTTCGTCAGCGAGTTTCAGAAGCTCGTTGGTTTCGTCTCCGCCCGTATCCTTCGGACCCAGCGAACTCGATTTCCAAAACACCACGGACAAGCCCTATCAGCCAAGCATTGCCGCCAGCAAGGCGCTATGGGAACTTATTAGTGGCCCATCGTGGGAAGCCGACTGCGGTATATCCCTTCCGTGCAAGCGAGACCTAAGCGACACGGCTAGCCTTGCTGCCATGTTTTTCTGTGATCCGGATAATGAGAAAAGACCTGGGGCGTGGAAAGTGAGAGAATTGTTGGAAGAGGCCTTTGATGGAATTCTCAACCAGCTGATGGCTTTGGACGTGGTCGTAGTCTTTCCGGCCATGCACTGTTAGTACGAGTGGCGATGCGCACTTTGCTTCGTCGCTCCCTACCTCCCTTTTCTCCGCCGCCAACGTCGAAAGCCCGTTGCCTCTTCCGACGCTTCTGCTGCAACATGTTGGGCGCAGCATCTGTCGTGGCCGAGGCTTCCTCACCTTCCTCGGATATCCTCCGCCGCTTCGTCCTGTGCGATGTGTTCAGAGGGCTTTTGGTGGACGGCGCCGGTGTCGGGAACTAGTCTGCCTGGCCTGGCGCCGGCGGCGTCGGCCGTCTTGGTGGCTGGTCTAGTGCTGCTACTGTTTTCCCTAGACCAACCCTAGTATAAATAACGTTAGGGTTCTTATTGCTAGTGCTACAATTACTATTCTAGAGCTTACGCTGCGCCTTTATCTTAGCCGCCTACCTCTCTTTAATCTCTAGCGGCGTATATCTAATAGGCTATTTGTTAGTAGCTTTATAGTACTTACTAGTTCTCTATTCTTATACTATAATAAGTAATTTAAGCTTCTAATAAAGTCTATTAAGAAAGTCTTTATTATAGCTATTCTTAAATACTAGTATACGTAAGTAAGAGCTAAGAAAGACACCTTAAGTAGTAATAATATTATAGAAATTCTATAAATTTTACGTAGTAGTTAAGTTAATAGACTATAATATAAACCTAAATTATAAGTAGTATACTTACTATAAGCCTATATAGGCTAGCTATAGTAGTAAGTAGACTATCTAGTTATAATTTTATAGCTAGTAATAGCTTTATATAGATATAATATAAGCTAACTATTTTACTAGACTCTTTAAAGTAGAAGTTAGAAAGGTAGAGAGGTAAGCGTTTAGAGAAGCAAGCGTTTAAACTAGGTAGCTAGTCTTAGTAAGAAATCTAGAAGTTAGTAAGAGCGTAGTAAGAGCGCGCTATTATATAGTCTAGCTATAGTAGTATTATTATCTAGAGAAATAGTAAGTTATATTACTATAAGTACTAGATAAAGTATTAATAGTAGAACTATAGTAATTTACTCTCTTGCTAACTCTTACTAATTCTATTAAATTTAATACTAAGGTAAGTCTCTATTGTCTACTCTATCTAGCAACGTATAGTAGATAAAGCTAAAAACGTAATAGTAGTAATAGTACTAAGCTAGATAGCTACGTAAAGGCTTAAGAGAAGTAGTATTATTATTAGCGCGTACACGTAGCGTATATAAAGTAGAGTAGTAGAGTCTAGAGTATATATATAAAAGTATCTTTTAAAAGTTTTAATTTAGTAGAGAGTAGTAAGCGCTACTATACTATCTAAATATAGTAGCCTTACTACTACTAGCTCTTAGTAGCTAAAATCTATAATATAGCTACTATTACTATTAACTCTCTTACTCTCTCTCTTATCTTAATATAGCTCTAAATACTAATCTTACTACTTATACCTTAATTATTAGTTTAAAATTACTCTTTAGAGGTAAATTAATAGCTAAAATTACTAAAAAGATAAGTCTCTCTATATATATAATTAATAGAATCTATACTTAAGTAATTAAATAAGAATTTAGTCTAAATTATACCTTTCTTAAGATATATAATAAATAGATTTAAGATATCTTCTACTTAAGTAGACTATAATAGTTTAACTTAGTACTTTAGCTTAACTTAGCTTTATCTAAGTTATATAATTCTATCTAGTATCTTAGTACTCTATACTCTATATATATTAAGCCTCTTAGAGTATTCTTTTACTTCTTATCTATTCTTAGTCTTATCTTTCTTATTATCTATATTATTTACGCTCTACTATTCGCCTATAAAGTTATCTAGAAATTTTAGACTCTAGACGTAAACTTAGTTATAGTTAATAAGCTAAGTAATTAATAAGAAGATTTATATAAAGCTTTAACTATTAGTCTACTAGAGAGCTATTATTAATATAGTTATTATAGCTTTATAGAAATAAAGTAATAGTAGCTACTATACTACTACTACTCTTCTTTAGTATAGTATTTTTAGAACTATATTCTTCTATAGAGTCTAGAGTAGGTAATTCTTAGACTCTTAAGCTATTAACGTAGTTAAAGTATTTAATTCTCTTTTCTTATATCTTTAACTATAATAGAGTCTCTAAAAGATTATCTAGTTATAATTTAGTAATCTAGCTATCTTTTTATCTCTAGCTTACTATACTATATCTAAGAATATATAAAAACTATATATATTATTACGCTTTTTAAACTTCTATAAATTTAAGTTCTCTCTAGTACGTAATTAAGAATACTAAATTTATAGTTTATTTATATTTATACTTTTATAGTCTAAGAACTATAAACTTCTACTCTAAGTTTTTAATATAGCTATAAGAAATACTTTATAGTAATTTTTAGTCTACTTACTCTTATAGTATAAATCTAGCTAGATACTATCTAGATTTATTTATATAATATTAGTAAAGTACCTATATAGAAAGATAGATTAGTACTAAAAATATAAGTAGATATAATATATATAATACTAATAAGAAATAAGAATACTTATAACTTCTAGCTTACTATATTATAATAATAGTAGTTATCTATTACTAGTATAATTATTAGATAGTTATCTAGTAGCTACGCTCTATATAATTATAAGGTAAACTATACTTTTACTTTCTTTAACTCTATATTATTAGAGAATCTCTACTAAGATATTATAGCTACTATATTCTTTTTCTTTTTATTACTATATTATATATAACTTATATTTAGAAAGACTACTTTCTATTTCTAGTATAGTATAGTATAAAAACTAAGTACTATTTCTATATATATTAATTAGAAGCTTAGTTACATAGGCTTATCTAGAGAGTTTAACGTCTATAGATTAAGTCTAGAGAAGAAGGTAGTAGTAGTATTAATAGTAGCTTAAAACGTTATAGAATAGAGTAGTAACCTTATTATAAAGGTAAGTAAGTAGGTTATTTATTCGAATATCTAGAGTAAGAAAAAAGATAAGAAAAGAAGAGAGTAAAAAGTAGACTTTCTAGAAGCTTAGAAAAAGTATAAAAGTAAAAGATAGTAGTAGTAGTAGATTCTATTTATAGGTAAAGAGAGAGTTTAAGAAAAGTCTAAAACGCTTATCTAGTATAGGCTCTCTACGTTAGTAGAGAGTTATAATAGTCTAGTTTAGAGATTTATCTAGGTTATATAATCTTAGGTTACGTACCTTTATTACGTAACCTAGCCTAGCGTCTTAGCGCTTAGTACCTCTATATATAGAGCCTTTTAGAGTCTTTTTTCTACTTCTTATCTTTAGATAGCTAAATTTAATCTAACCTACTCTACTAGTACTTCTTATTCTTATAGCTTATAGAGATAGTACTATCTATAGCTAACTTACCTAGCTAGATATTTAGAAACGCTTATAGTAGTAGAGACTATAAAGCTAGCTCTTATATTATCTAAAGGTTAATACCTTTTTAGCTAGAGATAGTAGTATAATATTAGGCTAAACTAAGTAGTCTTATAAGAAGCATTTACTAATAGCTATACTAAGAATTAGAGCTATAAGAGTCTAGTTACTTACTCTAAGAATTAAAGCTATAAGAGCTCTAATTACTTACCTCTCTAGCGCTATATAAGACTACTAGAAGATCTAGTAGATAGTAGAAACAATACCTTTAGTAGTAAGCTAAAGAGAGCTATAAAAGCTCTATATATAGAAGAACTTCTATAAAACTTCTATATATAGAAACTTTCTCTATTTTAAAAATTAATAATTTTCTATTCTACTAGTAGAGCTAATAATTAGCTACTACGCTAGTA